AAAATTACAGGTCAGGTGGGTAAAAGGTGTGAATCTTTATAAATAACAAGAGGAAATGTAGTCAAAGCGGTCTCTGTATTTAAAGAGTGAATTAGCAAAAAATGATGAAAGCCATTTTTCATCAAAACGACCCAGTGGCGGCTCCAGAAATGTTTTTCTGCAGGTGCCATGAAGGAGCTAGTCTTTTTATTGAGGGTGCTATGAAGGAAGCGGTCATGCGTACCTATTGTTCTCTAAAACACCTTCAACACTAGCAGACACACATGCGTGCACAAAACCTCAACAACACCTGAAACAATCATTAATATACATCATAAACATATGAGCAATCGCTGACTTTTCCATGAAATCATAAACACACACAGCCACACAGAAAACCATCTAGTGTTGCAAGGTTAGCTAACGTTAGTGTTAGCATTTCCAGCGGCAAAACCCTCGACTGCTGCGGAGGTTGAGGGTTGACTCTCTTCATCCAGATCCGTAGGTTTTTGTGGGCCTGAGATCACTTCCAAAGATTCATTAGTTTCTGACTGAACCAGTGGAAATTTGGGCAACAAAAACTGATCCATTTTACCACTAGCTCTACCTTTCACTCGTTCGCAGGTGGAAAATGAGGTCAAAGGTTAACATCAATTTCCAGTTTTGGTTTAAGTTTTTACTATCTATATGATAATCTACGGATTATTTTTGTTTTGTATGTTAAATATTATCACACCCACACGTTAATTAAAATTACATTGTAAAAAATTAAAAAAAATCTAATATTTACTTCGGGGTGCTGTGACTAATTCAGAGGTAGCTATAGCGCCCCTAGCCACTCCCCCCCCCAGCGCCACCACTGAAATGACCAGACTTTATTTTAAAGGTGTTGTGTTCGTTCTTAGAAGCTACATTTTGGAAAAATAGAAGTAATCAAAGACCCAACCAGTTTTTTTCAAGCTTCCTCGTGGTGTCACAGAAGCTGACGGTAGCAGAAACTGGTGCAACACCTGCTTGTGAGACACACGCATAAAGCACTAACACAGCTCTGCTGAGCCACTGTTCAGGTCTGGATCAGTGGTACTCAATAGGAGCTTCAACTGATCTGGTAATCTTCTAGATCCTGAAACGGACGCACCGGGGCTTTTAGTACCTAGAGTACGACTTACGAGGCATTCGTTCCTGCGAGACACAACTGCAAACGTACTGATTAAGCAAGTGAACCACACCTTTAATGGTGAAAGATTAGGCAGCTTTCTTTGTTTATTCTCTACTTCAAAATCACGACAATTCAGGGTCACCAAAAATCTGGGGAAATGCAGCCACCAACAAATGTTCCAGAGCATGAAACACACACACACACACACACACACACACACACACACACACACACACACACACACACACACACACACACACACACACACACACACACACACACACACACACACACACACACACACACACACACACACACACACACACACACACACACACAGACACACGCACGTTTGAAGGAAGTTTTTCCAGGATTATACGTTGAATTTATTTATTATGTGAAAACCATTTCGATGTTAAAACATGTTCCAGAAAAGAAATCTCAGACAATACCTTCAACTGATGTCGCTGAAATAAAAAAGTCTAAGAACAGTTTTCTGTTGAGCTTTGAACTTTAAATCTTTGATTTACAAATTGATTCTTAAGACAGTTTTTGGGAGTTCTCCCTCTGGGACCGGCTTCTAAATAATGAAACTATCGTGTTTGGAAATCCAACGTTAGGGCAAGGTTCCACCTTGCTTATGTGGACATTTTACTTGAGGCTTGTTGATCACCGAGAGACAGCTGCTCTAGACGAAACATCTGTAGTCGCTTTGATAACACGGTAAAATGGCAGCAAGGTCTTGGTTTGGTTTCCAAACACTGGATCCAGTTGGGCATCTGTGGAATGTGCTGGAAAGTCTGTGAGTTCCAGAAAAGTAAACCAAGAAGGATCCACCACCAAATGTCCTGATGCCACAAAGTTCCTTCATGAATCCCGTTGTCACGTATGGAAGGATATGGGTTCTTTTTAACGGAACACTAGCCTAGTGAACTAGACCAAATTCTTGCTTTGCAAAGTTTGGTCTAGGCATGCTCCATTGGAACGTCTGCAGCTCCTACCAGGACTCTGGCTAGCCAATCACAGCTCTCTAGAGGGGTTCCAAACACATAAAGAGCTGTGATTGGTCCATAATGGTGGGCCAATCATAGTGCTCTATCTGCTTAGTGAACAAATCACAGAGCTTTATCCGCTTTGTGGGCCAATCAGGGCACTCTATATGCCTGGTGGGTGGGATGATGCAGCAGAGTGAAACAAGAGTAAGTCACATTCATTGTCCAGTGGAATGCAGAGATCATTTGAAAGACAACGGTAGAACCCGCCCCACAACCGAGAGCCGTCAATGGAGCGTGGCCAGACTAAATAATACATTTATTTAGTCTGGCTTGCCAGGCTAACGGAACACAACAGCGACATGTGCATTATTGTCTCAGTTCCCTCTAAAAAGCTTTAATTAGTCCTGAAACCCATTTTTTAAATCCTGAATCAACCCGATACTGGGGGTAATACGGGTATAGAGGAAGACCGTTTAGTTCCTCATGACTCTCAGCTGTATGAAGCTAAATGTGACTTCCCATGCTTCCTGTCTCGTGTCCACCTTCCTTTTTACATAATAATCCAAAATTAACCAATGAAAACAGTTGAAGTGCTTCACATTGTGGCTAAAATGTCAGAAACCCTGAACAGGATAAGGGTCCTGACCATTTACTGTTGACCTCAGAGCTTTTTGGCCTTGCTGGCTGCACCCTTTAAACAAACAGCAACCTATTGGTTTTCAGCCTGCAGGCTCTGAATGCAGACAGACAGAACTTGAGCAGATTATGGGCTGCATATCTCATCCCTTTCTTTCCAAGATGGCGTCTGGAGATGAGACAGGCAGACCGATGGAGGTTAAGCCTGTCAAAAGAGGTGTGATGGGGAAATGGGGAAGATGGAATTAAATACACTGTTTGCAGATTCACTTCCTCTCTCTCTCTCCAACATTTATTTTTTTTAAGCCAAGATGCTGATTGGCAAGCATGAACACACGTGCATAGAAAGCTGCACACGCAAGCAAAGCTGAGCTAGACGTGAGTCTGTTACGGATGACGTGGAGTCGTTTCGGCTGAATGCACGGGCGCATTTTATCTTTCCCTCAACAAGATAGGTGGAAAACGAGTTTTATCGTATGGAGGAAATCTCGGCGGCACCGATAGTGGAGCAATGACGACGCTGCTTTGCAGAACCGTAAAAAGGCAGCTCTCCTTTCAACGTAGATGGTTAAACCAAATCACATTTACAGTATCTGTTTCCTCAAAACCAGGCTCTAACATCCTACATTAGAAATGTTCATTTTACAGAATCTTGACTTCCACATCTAGTTCGGTCTAGCTCAGCACATCTTTGGTTCAGGTATTTTTTTAAATACCATTTTATTTATTTGCTAATTCCTTTTTTTTTTGCACTTCTATAAAAAGCTTGGGAAGCTCTAAACATGGAGTCCGTATAAATCCACACGGATCATCAGATTTGTTCTAGAGATCAACAGATAAGGGTATTTCTAATGCCGACACTGATGCCAATACGTATAGGTCATGATCGGCTTCAGGCCGACATGTCGATGTTCTGGCCGATTTTTTTTTTGTGGCCGATATTTTTTTTTCTGCCTTATTTACGTGCAAAAATATCACTAATAACAGCATTCCTAAACCTGAATCAGTAACATCGGCTGAATCTTAATTTTTTGCACCGTATTGACATCAAAACTTTTTACCAGATGTAATCAAACAAATCAATCAAACCACCATGTGTTCAAGGTCAAGGTCATCCAGAAACAGTTTTTTACTTATATTTTTAAGACACGATCGGTCACTCCTGAGTTTCACATGAAACGGTGGCAGAAGAGTAAAGTGCCCGTAGCGTCCCATTGTCAAGTTATCATTCATGCACTCACCCATCTTGGCTCCCAACGGGGAAGGCTGTTGTTGATTTAGCATCCAGGAGAGAGCAGAGTGGGCTGCACAGTGGTTAGAGCTGTTGCCTTGCAGCGAGAAGGTCCTGGGTTTGCTTCCCGGCCTGGGATCTTTCTGCATGGAGTTTGCATGTTCTCCCTGTGCATGTGTGGGTTCTCTCCAGGTACTCAGGCTACCTGGTGTGAGTGTGTGTGTGCATGATTATTTGTCCTGTGTGTCTCTGTTGCCCTGCGATGGACTGGCTCTCTGTCCAGGGTGTACCCCGCCTGATTGCCCATTGACCACTGGAGATAGGCACCAGACCCCCCCCCCCCCCCCCCCCCCCCCCCCCCGCGACCCCACGTGGACAAGCGGGTTCAGAAAATGGATGGATGGATGAGAGTGCATCTCAGCTAGTAGAAGCTAACTATTAGCAGTAGCCACTCCACCACACATCAGAGCTCCTTCAGGCCTGTGTTCTTTGCGGTATGAAAACATCAATGTTGCAGAGCAAACGGAGTCAGTGGTAGAGCCGTGTTGCTGTTAGCCAATCAGTAACGAGATGTAAGAATTTCAGGAAATAGGGCTCCAAACCCGCCGTTTTCTGCTCACCTCTGCTCTGATTCACTTCTGGTTCCTGAAACAGGAGCACCAGAGCTTTTTCAGACAGAGGTTAACTCACCAGGGATTCATTTACACTGCAAATGTCTTGGAAAAAAAAGAGTGAACTTGGTCTTTAAATATGAAACAATGAATAAAAATAAATGTCAGTTGACAATAATGTTTTAGAGCGTCTACACGAACATTTAAATCGGCAGCATCACTGGGTTGTCCACACATATGCCTGATTTTAATTCAGCATCGGCTGAGACCAGTATATTAAGAACGGTAAATATTGGTTTGATATATTGATCTGTCTTTAATCTGAACCTCATCAACATTAAATGATAAATCTGATTTTTACATCCACTCTGTTTCTATTTTCTCCTCAGGCATTTTTGCACAGATTCAAACAAATTCCAGATGACCAACAGTGTCTCTCACCTGAACACGTGAAGGTATGACCTAATGTTCCTTATTACGTTATTAAGTTCTATTATGTGCACATAAACTCTCATTTGCAGCTTTTCTCTCATGTCTACCCACCCTTCCTCTTTACACCTTCCTCTTTACATCTTCCTTCCTTTGACCCCCCCCCCCCCCCCCCCCCCCTACATCACCCATTTTCATATAGATCCTGTTTTCAAACATCGAGGACATCCTGGAGCTGCACAAAGAGGTGCTGTCGGCTGTGGAGGCCGGCTTGCAGCCCGAACCCCATCCTAACCACACTCTGGGACACGTGTTCCTCCAGTTTGTAAGGGCATGACACACACATAGTGTAAAGGAAACAGCGAAATGTCACGTGCATGTGTGTGTGTGTGTGTATGTGTGTCAGCAGTGGCACGTATGAATTCTTCTTTCATGCACAGAAACATAAACTCTTTTCACGGGCTTCCCTTAACCGCAGATGCAGCACAACCCCTCGGACCACCCTTCTCTTTCCCTCCGTCTTCCTACAGACCTGCATCCTGAACGCGCTCTCTTCCCTCCACCTTTGTGCTGCTATTTTCATCTTTTGCCCAGGGGCGGCGTTAGGCCCGGCTACTTGGGCTGAAGCCCCGGATCTTTCATGATAAGCCCCGGTTCTAAATCGCGGAAGTAACATGCAGTACCAAAGTCCAACAGAGAGGGCGCAGCTGGCAGTAGTTTGTATACAGTCTGCCTGAGCCTCCACCACTGAAGAAGAAGCCCTTCAGCAGCCGGCTTCTTCTACACTCTGCCTGAAACGCATGAGTAAAGATGGACATAAGGACGTTTTTTAGACCAAAAGTACAACGACAGAACCCCAGCTTTGATGAGACTGGTGTTGACTCAGGTTTGTGAGTCTTATTTGAAAATATTTGTTGTGCTGCTGGTTTGCCTAAAGTTAGCTTATCAGGTAAAGTTGTTGGAGAAAAAAAGGGAATATTTACCATCATCTCACACTAAACACTAACAGGAACAATACTCTGCCCTGAATATGCTTAATATGTAGCTTCAGATAAAAAATTATGTGGTACAAGACACATATATATATGATGTTGACTAGTGCGTGTCACGTGCGTGCGCGCGTGCGTGCGCGCGTGTGTTAAGCCCCGGATCTTCTTCAGTCCTAAATCCGGCCCTGCTTTTGCCACTCCATCCTTCTGCACAGAGGCTCCTCTCCGTTATGTTGCTCCAACACACATACACCCTCACCCCACCCTCCCATCTCCCCTCCATTTGAACTCGTATGGCCCCCAGGAACAAACAAAGAAGGATCTGTGTCCGAAGAGGAAGCGATGGTGTGTCACTCCGCGAGGGCACACTGTTTCTACTGGCAGCACTCAATCTCAAGCTCCTTTTTCCTCTCCCTGTTTGTGCCTCTGTGATAATCTGTCTCCTGTTCACTTTCACCAAAGCGCAAAGTGCGTCAACTTGTTGTTCGTCCGTGAGTATGCGCCACCAACCTGCAGGAGCCCAACCGCACCGAGCCCTGAGCTTTGGTTTTGTGGTGTTTTGTCTCGTTGCTTCCTGTGTAAACTCAGTCACGGCCTTTTTTCATGAAATGCACCAACTCATGTTGTGAAGTCTTCTGGTGATCGGTAACATTTCATCTCCTGCCTGCTTGTAGCACGAATGACATTTAATGACTTTAGCCGAATTAGCTCCTCAAAATGTACCTTCACCCATGAAGACTGCATGGTGGCGCAGTGGTCAGCACTGTTGCCTCGCAGCACGAAGGTTGCAGGTTCGAAACTCGGCTGCGGCCTTTCTGCGTGGAGTTCTCCCCATGCATGCGTGGGTTTCCTCCGGGTACTCCGGTTTCCCCCACAGATCACAACATGCCCTATAGGTTATAAATTGTAAGTCGCTTTGGATAAAAGTGTCTGCTAAATAAATAAACATAAACATAAACACATGTGCAGGCTGTCACGCTGCAGACCACGTGTCGGTGTGAAGAATTGATTAAAGCAGCTCTGTGCTCAGACTTCAAATAAGAATGGACCGACTGAACAAAAAACCTGCAGGTGAAGTCGGTTTAAAAAATAACTTTATTGATCGCTGTGTCATTTCACCACGGCAGGAAATTTGAACTAATGTCTTAGTGAGTAATAATTATGTAATACATTTGTGTACCAATAACATAAAGACCAGTATTTTATTACTAAAATGCAAAGCTTTTGAACTTTTGCTCAGATAGCTGTGGACATATAAACAAAACATATGTTTTCTTGCTCAAAGGTCAAGGTGAGTGCAGTCTCAGGACCTTCTCTTTCTTTTGGGGGACATGTCTCCAAGACACACGGAGGGAATTTCATTGCATCTGGCACGAATGTCCGCTCTGACTCTTGGATGAACGGATTAAATTTTGGGCCAGAGATGTCCAAACGCAAGACGAGGACCAAAACTGTCATGCTGACTGTCCTCCAGGCCACAATAAAAAAAAAAAATAATAATAATACAAAAATTATTTTATTGTAATTTTTTTTTAGCTCATCAAAAAAGACACATTAACCCTAACCCATCCACAAAATGTGGTTAGAGACGACACAAAATCACTCCAAGGCTCAGTGGCCTAGTGGGAGAGTGTCCCTGGGACCGGGAGATCGGGGTTCAAATCCCGGTCGGGTCATACCAAAGGCTTTGAAAAAAGTGGGACCCACTGCCTCCCAGCTTGACCCTCAGCCTTAAGGGGTTGGATTTGGGGGGTTAAACCACCAAATGGTTCCCGAGCACGGCCGTGTCTGCAGCTCACCACTCCCCCATAGGGATGGGTCAAATGCGGAGAACAAATTTCACGCACGCACGCACGCACACGCACGCATGCACGCACGCGCACACGCACACACACACACGCACGCACGCACGCACGCACTCACACACACACACACACACACACACACACACACACACACACACACACACACACACACACACACACACACCAGTTCCTCTTTGCTAGATGTTTTTTGTTGCTTTCTTGTGTATTTTCCGTTTCTGATAACCAAAGAAATGAACAAAATGTGTTTTAACTGGTGAACAACCTATAGATTTAAAGAAATGACAACTTCATATCCCTTCTCTCTGTTGCATAGATCAACACTGGTTTTGAACACACACACTCACACATCTTTCTGTTGAGGTATTGAGCTTCCCACACCTCTGTTCCTCTGTATCATTACACTTCCCTTACCAACCCCATGGCCTTTGTCTCCCTCACCACTGACACCTCTCAGCCAATCAGCTAGCACCGTCTGGCGCCCTCCAGCCGTGGCCCTTGACCTCAACCAGAGGTCAACACCGTGACTGGGATTTGATTAACCTCCCACATTGTTCTGCAAGATCACAGAACTGGGGAGATTCATTGGTACCAAAATGTCAGCTGATGATGAGATTTCACCAAAGATCAGAAGTGCATTACAGAAAAACAAACATTTTCAGTTTTTGTTTAACTTTTTAGAAAAATGTCTCATTCTGAATAAAATACAAATCCGAAGCCCTTGGAAAAATCATCACAGTTTTCCGACCTTTGCAGCAGAAGTGACTCATATTTTATCGATGTTTTCTGCGTTTTTAGGGCCAACAGTTATGTCATTATGTGTTTTCTGAACTGTAACCAAGATGCTTTGGCATGTTTTTCCTTGTAAGTGACCTTTCCCTTTCATCCCTCTCATCCCTCAACATTCCAATGACGGAGAATTTAAATAAAGATTCATCAAAGCAACAACTGAAGTCTTTGAGCTATTGTGGGCACAAATGATGTCTTTTAGAGTAGCTCTGAAACTTTGAGATAACTCAGACTTTACCTTTTTGCACCTGGTAGGATAAACAGTCATAGCAACTTGAACTGGCTGGGTTGTTGTTGTCAGCTGAGGAAATGAAATAGCTCGAGTGGCCTTTCGCCGTGCACGGAGGTACCGATGCTCTTGCTGTTTTTGTTAGTGGAGGGATGGTAATTAGGGCTGAAAGAGTTGTTTCAGGTTCAGTAAGTGACTCTATTCAGGAGTATTCTGACTGCAAACAGATACACAACGGCTCTGTACTCAAGTCTGCTTTTTGCTGTAGAGTGTAGAACAACATTTCAAATTTCAATAAGAAAATTCTTTTATGACTTTAGCTCCAGAGTTTGCCTCAGACGGAGCTTTATTTCCGAAATGCATTCCTCCTGTTCTAGTGAGACATCACATTAATGTCTGTATCATAGATGCGTTTAATTTCACCAGAAGCCAAAATGTTTTGTCTGGCTTGCGATTGTGTTCTGTAGGCTCGACAGTACCGGGGGATTCACGCCATATGCCAGCCCAGCTGCTGCTCCCAGTGGTGGTTTGTATGGCGTGGTATGGGGGCCAAAATTAAGACTACTGCCCAGCAGCAGGAGGCTATAAAAATTCTAAAGCAAACTACTGATCTGATTAATGATAAGCTGGCGCCGGTAACTGAGAGGCTGGCGTTGCTTACTGAGGAATAGCACCTTTACCAGCGTTATTACTAGATACGCTAGGGACTAGCAGCCCTCGGCTGGTCATTGACTGGTGGCCAGCCTAGGCACGCTAATGGCTAGCCTCTCCGATGCTAATGCCAGCCTTTTCATGCTAATGGTCCGTCGAGGCGGTAGGAAATCCAGCTAGTGGCCAGCCTAGGCACGCTAATGGCTAGCCTCTCCAATGCTAACACCAGCCCGTCCAGGCTAACGCTATCCTATCCATGCTAGTAGACAGCAGAGGGAGTGTGTGAACCAGTCAATGACCAGCCGAGGGCTGCTAGTCCCTAGCGTATCTAGTAGTAATGCCGGTAAAGTTGCTATTTCTCAGTAAGCAGTGCCAGCCTCTCAGTTACCGGCACCAGCTTATCATTAATCAGGTCAGTAGTCTGCTTCAGAATTTATATAGCATCCTGCTGCTGGGCAGGAGTCTTAATTTTGGCCCCCATACCACGCCATAGTTTTGGACTGGAATCCCCTGCCAAACCAGATGCTGGTTGTGTGGAAACACCGCCCACCGTTTACTTTTTGTTGCTCACTTGTGTGAGGCTTAGGCCGTGTTCACACGTAGCTGGGTTTTTATGAAACCTAACATCCTCCCCCGTCCATCTAGCAAAAAAAACTTTGGTCCACACCCCCTCGTTTCCAGCTAAAAAATATTTGTGCATCGTGAAGCACGTTCAAAGGCGCGCCAGGCCTGTAGGTGGCAGAAGCTCCCCGAATCTTTGGCGTCTACCAAAAACAAACATTTTAGATGTGGAACAACTAGATTTGGGGCAACCGACCTTAACGTCTTTCTTTGCCCCAAACCGCTTCTGGGACGCGTCAATTTACGCAGCTAACATAGGGCTAGACAGGAAATCACACACTGTTTCAGTGTAAAACATCTGGTAATTTTCTAAATAAAAGACTGTTGCAGCGATACGATTTTATATCTATGTAGATTACATCTATACACGTGACCAAACGGCTTATTTGCACTCAGCATTTTTCGAGAAGTGCAGTGGTGTGTTTTTCATGGCTTTAATCCAGACAGTGGAGTAGAAACAACATCATATATGACCTCAAACACGATCTCATTTCTCTTCTTTTTGGTTTAATGGTGAATGACGTAAACAAACCGTGACCTTTGAAGGCAGGAGGGATTTTGTGATCTTATGAGTCCAGCGAGGAGGACGGTGGAGAAGCCACACTGAGGCTGAGAGACTTCCCTGGTGTGGATTGACGCACTGTGAAGCATAAACGGTCCCGATGCCATTCTGCATCGCTGACGCCTCCAGTGTGGACCCGGTATAAGGCGTAAAACGCATATGCAATAATAAAAACTGTAAATAAATTACATTTGCATAGGATTTGTACAGACTGTCTTGTATACGTTTAGTTCCAAAGGGTTTGAATTATATTTTTATTTTATGTTCATTTTCATTTCATTATAAATGTCAAAGTTTCTCTCATTTGTCTCCAGTCTTTGTCCTCTGAAGTTACCAACTCCTCCCAACGGTTGTCTCATGTTTCATAAACTTTTGGATACATGGAAACAAACTTGAGGAGCTTAAGGTGGATTCCAGATGTCTAAAATATTTTTCCAGAGAGTGTTCATGAAAGTATTCCAACTGCATTACACCGTTTACACTTTGGACATCAAACCCGGGGACTGAATTTTGTCCCTTTAAAAGTCAAAGCCTTCCAGCAGCAGCAGCAGCAACAATTTGGTTGGGGCTGAAAGTAACAACCAGGCACCTGTAGTTTTGGATTTCACTTATGAGGCTGTTTCAAATGACAGTTTCAGTTTCTAGAACTTGAGATCGAGCTCCGTGCCTGAAGTTTCACATCCTAACAGCTAGGAATGGATAATAGGCCCATGCTGCAGCCGTGTGTACTTTGTTTTCTCGCGTGCTGCATTATTAATGCATTTCAGATAGTATTTTCACAGCCTCAGGTGTTGGGTTGTATATTGTAACAAAAAGCTTCTGCATCAGCTGCTGCTTTATCTTGTTTCTTTTTTGTTTATTTATTTCTTGCATCCTGTGATGCTCACCTAAGAGGAATGAGGAAGTGTCATGCCATGTATTTGTTTAAAATATGATGTGCTGTACAAAAAATGAGATGTGTGGAAATGGATACTGACAAATAAGAAGTTTTATACGAACCGTTCTGATGTATTCATGCATCATCAGAGTCTAAACCTGTGCTGATGTGAAAGTATTGCATTAGAGGAAGTACAAGCTGTTACACACACACACACACACACACACACACACACACACACACACACACACACACACACACACACACACACACACACACACACACACACACACACACACACGCACACGCACACGCACACGCACACGCACACGCACACACGCACACGCACACACACAGGGGTGCTCCTCTGAGGTTTTGATTCATGGTGTCATCTCTTTGGTTTCTATTGTGAACGTTTATTTGTCTTTTAAGAATTTTTCTTCTTTTTGTTTGATTATTTCATATAAAACTATGATTATTATGACTTGAAACTCAAACTCCTATTTCCATTTCTAATATGAATTAAAAGCTCAGGCTCGTCCGTCAGATAAAATGGGAAAGAAAACTATCTTCACTCGAGGAGGAGCACCCGTGCTACTAAAGCTGGAGACTTTCCAGTTTCCCCTAACTAAATTCCTGCTGTCAGCTGTCTGCTGATTCTTCTAGGCAGAGAACTGATGTGTAAAACATGATATCAAGTTCCTGGTGGGCAGTTTTGACTTTTTTTTTCTTTTGCAGAGGGACAGGTTCTCCGTATATGGCGAATACTGCAGTAACCACGAAAAGGCTTTACGGCTTCTTATAGAACTGAACAAGATTCCTAACATCAGGACATTCCTACTGGTAAGACATCAAAGCTTTTTCTCTCGGGATTCCTCCGGTGCTTATTTAGAGACTAAAGCCCCGTTTCCACTATTGAGACTTCTGGGTAATTTTACCGGACATTTACGGTATAGGGAGCCTAAATCTACTTCCGCACCAGGGGTCCCTGGAAGAGCAATAAAATGAATGCAAGTCAACGGGGCTAAAAACGCTATTTTCTAATCCGCTTAGCTTTACGCCCTGGATCACACTAATTAATGTTGTGCTGTAATTTTAAAGAAACGTAGTGATGGGAGTTTCGACCATGCCAGTCACATACTTTGAGATTTATTAGCTTGTAAAAGTTTGTAATTAGCATGACTACAAACTAGAAATCGGCACATCGCAAAAGTGACGTCACCACATAATCTCCTCTCCCCAAAGTAGGTGCTACTTACCAAATGTCCAGATTTAGGGCGGTTCTTTTCTCCTGTGGGCAGTTTGCTGAACTTGTAGCCCTTTTCCCTCCGTTTTCTCCATGTCTGGTTTAATGACGTCACTTTCGTGAAACGCATTTGTATTCCTGGACCTATTTTCACCATTCATCCATCCATCAGTCCATCCGTCCGTCCATCCAATTTCATCCACTTATCCGGAGTCGGGTCGCAGGGGCAGCAGCCTAAGTCAAGAGGCCCAGGCTTCCCTCTCCCCAGCCAATAGCTCTTCTGGGGGAATCCCAAGGCGTTCCCTGGCCAGGTGAGAGACATAGTCCCTTCCAACATGTCCTGGGTCTCCCTTTAGGCCTCCTCCCATTTGGACGTGCCTGGAAAACCTCACCAGGGAGGCGTCCAGGAGGTATTCTGACCAGATGCCCAAGCCGCCTCAAACTGGCTCCTCTCGATGTGGAGGAGCAGCAGGTCTACTCTGAGCCCCTCCCGGATGACTGAGCTTCTCACCCTATCTCTAAGGGAGAGTCCAGACACTCTGCGGAGAAAACTAATTTCGGCCGCCTGTATCCACAATCTCGTTCTTTCGGTCACTACCCAAAGCTCATGACCGTAGGTGAGGGTAGGAACGTAGATCGACTGGTAAATCGAGAGCTTCGCCTTCTGGCTCAGCTCTCTCTTCACCACGACAGACCCGTACAACGCCCGCATCACTGCAGATGCAGCACCAATCCGCCTATCGATCTTGCGCTCCAGCTTTCCCTCACTTGTGAACAAGACCCCAAGAAGGCATTCTACCCTTTTCCGAATCAAGGCCAAGGTCTCAGACTTATTTTCACACAAAACTTAAAATAGCGTTTGCCCCTGTTTGAAAATAAGCGTGTTCTTGGTATCAAAATGTGTCTTTAAAATTGACGGACATCATATGTGAAATCCATGGCACAAAACAAGCAGAATTAGAAAATAGCGTTTTTAGCCCCGTTGACTTGCGTTAATTTTTTTTGCTCTTCTGGGGACCCGTGGTGCGGAAGTGACTTAGGCTCCCCATGCGCTTGTCTCCGTTTCACTGGGCCATTTCAGGGGCAAACCAAGTACCTGACCCGAGGTGTGTACTCAGGAATGGCCTGGTAGAGAAGCTGGGCAGGACTTGCGGTTAGCTCATCCTGATTGGTTTAAACTTGGTGGGGAATTGGTAAACGTCAACAAACAAGTGGGAGTTGCTGTGGAAGCAGAATGAAGGGGAAAGGGAAAAAAAATCACCTTTTCTCAACTCCTAACATCGAAAAATTAAGCAGAAAATGTTGTAATTTGTGTGGCTTTGGGATTTCCTACAGAACACAGTAAAACAGGACATTTCCTCTTGATTATTGTATGTCACCATTTCTGTCCCACTGCTGTTTTCCTCATCCCTGGAATAAATTGAATGACTGCATACGTGGACAGAATAAAGCGTAAAACATATTTGTCATTGTTTGTGGACGCCTTTTGGCACTGATCAGTGACATCACTCACTGCCGAAATGGTTTCAATATACTGACGTCTAGGGAAAGTCTTGAAAGGGGCCATCATATTTTCTCAGTCATTTTCCCCCCTCAAAGAAATTTCTCGAACCCCTATGGTGGAAAACGCAGTTTAAATCTAATATTGGTAATTTCACTACCTTTTTCTATGATTTCTGCCACTTTTTCCATCAACCCCCATTCAGTTATATATGCAAGCATGGAAGTAGAATAAGAAGTCAAAGTTTATGCATCCCTCTCTTATAAGAGAAACTAGTTCACTAAACATGCTGCTGTAACACTGACACTGTTTATTATTCAGCTAATTCTGCAACACCAACCTGCTCTGTTACACCAAACCTCTGCTTTAATTTTTTTCTTGACACCTTTCCATCCTTCTCCTCCTGCCAGTTCATTCTTCTCACCTCAGTTTCCACGTTTAACACTTGAATAAATAACAAAAACCATAACAAGGTCTGCAAATTCTTCCTGTGTGGACAGGATGCAACCCCCATCAAGGTTACCTTTGTGTATTGTTGCGCTTTCCGCAGCCAGCTGTTTCCATGTTTTGACACCCAAACCATCGGGCACCAGATGACGAGTTTAAAAAAAGGGGACAAGGGTCTTGAGTGGGGGCCCCAACTAAGGAAATCCATTTGCAGTTCAACCAGCATTAGTGTTGGTGAGCTTTTTGGGATGGGTGATGATGTCTCTGCCTCGTTTTTGCCCTAGTCTTAAGTTTCTTCCATGATATTTTTCTGATTGGGGCTGGGCAATAAATCGAAAATTTATCGTTTTTTGTCTCTTATCTTGATAATTTGTCCCATGTCAATAAATTTGATAATAAAAAAATAAAATGATGTATGTAGGTTGGCAGTGTCCATGTCCCTTTAAGAAGCTGTACCACCGTGAGTCACGTAAAAATGTGACTCAACTAATACATGCAACACCCCCATCTAGTGGACAAATGTTGTTTCTGCGCATGCCGTCAATTTATCGCTATCAAGGTGAAATCCTCAATATATTGTGAAATTGATTTTAGGCCAAATTACCCAGCCCTACTCAGGACTGATTATACGCATCTATTGATGAACCTGTGGTGCAATAGAAAAAAATAGGCCAAATAAAACTCCCAATAAAAAGTTTTTAATAGTTGCTACCACTTCAACTTTAGGAAAAAAGTTCCCAAAAGAAAAAAGTCGCAGACACAAAAGACGTTTGGACCTCGAAAATGACGACTGGTGTTTAGTGCTCTCTTGTTAACTCTGAAAATGTGGGTCTCCGGTTGTGGCAGAAACGTCTCAGGGAAGATACCCGAAGGAAGGGTAATGTTCCTTGACCGTGTTTGTGTTCAAACCTAGCTAGTTCTGTAGATCTGCTATAGCAGCTTTAACACAACCAACTTGATTTATCATAAAGTACTGACAGAAAACGGCCTTGGCTGCACTTAAAATATATATTCAACATTTTTTATAGTTATCCGTAATATTGACATCGATCAAACAGATTTATTTTTAATCGATATGCGTTTTTTTCCCTATATTGTCCTGACCTAATCCGGATCCACGCGGGAAGAATCTCTTTCCTCTTCCTGGCTCAGTCATGGACCTGCGTGTTGCTGATGCTTCCTAATGAAATTCCTCTAAAACCATCTGGTTGTGAATAAAAGCTGACTTTATATTGAAATAACAACACTTGGAGGACCATTTGTATTTTGTGAAGCAACCAACAAGAATAGTAACAAAAAACAGAAGCTTAGGAACTAACCTTTATTTTTTTGTAAAACCGAGACTAACAGAGGAAGAAGAAAACCCAAAGCTATTGCCATGTTTTAATGCTCAGTTTTGGATTTAGTGTGACGTTTCAAGCTAACTGAAATAATTAAATCTATGAAAGGAGCTTCTGGAAATTTCTCCAAATTTTTACATTGAAGTGTTAATTGCATTGTGGGAGATGAGAGAAGAGAAGCAAACATAAAACGAGGTCAGGGTGACGAGCGGAGACTTTTGGCTTCAGGCTGGCAGATTACAAATAAGCAGCAGATGAGAGAGAAAAAGGAAGATGGCAGAAATTGGTGTAGAAGATGTGGGTGTGGAAGGGAAATGCCACAGAGAAGAAATTAATGCAGCAGGAATGTGTGGAGTTAGTTATTCTTTTCTTTAGTTTACATCAGAAATACTTTACAAGTCCCACCAGCCTCTCCCGCTCTGTTTAAACTTGAAAGGAATTGCTACGTTATTATTGTAATGCTTAAGAATGATCTCCGGCCCTCCCTCCCCACCCAGAACACTCCTGCGGTTTATCTACATGACTGTTTTTTTATCTTTCCTCTCATCCCACAAGCTTAGAGTATACAAACGGCCTGCGTTCCATCAAAATCCAAGGTGAAGTGACACCAAGACCGCTGCTATGGGTTAAAGTCTGCAAAATCCCTTGTAGAATGAGGAAGCACACATTGTTTTTTCACTAATTTGTGTGTAGAAATGTGTGTATGTCTTTAAAGGGGACATATTATGCAAAACTCGCCATGTAGGACTCTACTGCCTTTGTAAGCACTCCAAACATGAAACAAACCCATCCAGGAATAATTAAATGATGCGCCTAAAATGAGCCATTTTAAAAAGGCCCTGTTTGTGACATCATAAATGGGGACATTTGCATAAAAATCCCCTCTTCTCTTCAGGCAGGAGAAGGAGGGAATCTATTCCAAGCCCCTCCCAAAAATAGGAGCTTCTCAGCTCATAGCAGCCAAACAGGGAATGGGTGGGCGTGGCCAGCTCCAGCTTCTTTTCTTAAAGTGACATAGCCCTGAAACGGCTCATTCTGGAAGGTACTGAAAATGTTCAGTCAGCTGAGATGGCTTAATGCGAGAATGATTTTGTATAAAAATACTTCGTTAACAAGTCAATTATATACCTTTTAAAAGTCATAACATGTCTCTCAATAGAAGTCCAATTTTCCTACAGTCGTCTGACACTTTTGAGTGAATCTACATCTTGTAAAAAATTTGGACGTGTTTCAAAACTCAATCACGACCAGTGCAATACCTCGTGAGTCACACGGGGAAATTAGGAACCCCTGCAAATGTTTCAAGGCATTCTGGAGCCTCTGTGATGCCGCTTCCAATTTGTCACAACAATCTAAGCCCAGTGAGATTTAATATAAGAATATTCACTGCCTTATAATCAAAACATGAATTAAATTATATTTTATTTCAACAGCAACGTGGACTTTTTTCTGAGATCAGCTGGTCTCATTCTTCCAACTTGTTCCACGTGCACACGCTTTGCTGTTTAAGTCCATAAATGCTCGGTTGTGTCTAATACTGCTTGTTTTCTTTTTCCAAAGCACTGCATGCTTCTGGGAGGAAAGAAGAGTACGGATATTCCCCTGGAGGGTTACCTTCTCACTCCCATTCAGAGGATCTGCAAGTACCCTTTGCTGCTGAAGGTATGGCAGCACCTGCTCTTTAGGATGGAGGGTTTAATTCGTCCAAACCCATGTTGACTGTGTAAAAACTGAGCTGAGATCATAGTGGGTCTGAGTTGGCACAAGTGACTCATTTAGGAACTTGGTTAGACGAGCACCTATCCGCTGACATTGTGGGCGGCTGATTAGGGACTTGAGCTAGTAAAGGTCACACTTATCCTCCCATTTTTAACCTGCCTGCTACTCAACACTTTTTTTCTCCCACCTCTTTTTTCTGTGATGTAGGAACTGCTCAAAAGGACTCCTAAGAAGCACACAGATTATCCCGCAGTGGAGGAGGCTCTGCAGCTCATGAAGGCCGTCTGCTCCAACATCAATGAGACCAAGAGGCAAATGGAGAAGCTGGAGGCCCTGGAACAACTTCAGTCCCACATCGAAGGCTGGGAGGTGAGAACACCATCGTCATCGGCTTTCAGGATAGACAATTTCACTCACTGGAAAATGTGATATTTCTGTAATGAAACCACAGTAAAACTAGTAGAATTGCCTTAGAAAGACCTTGACAGTCGTGGTTCCCATTTATCTTAGCAGCGAATCGCTTGCTGCAGCTGAAGCACAGGGGCCACAGACAGGGCTTGGGAGTCGAGTGAAGGGGTCCAGTGCATTTTTCATGCCTGCCTCACCCACCACAACAGAGTCCTTGTCTTAGCAGGCACCGAGGGGACAATCCACCCACACAGGGTGCTGAGCGGGAATGCCAACAGGCTTAATGCCCAATTAAAAGAGACCTAAGAAGCTGAGCTTGAGTCTCACTTGTCCACAGAGGGTTGTATGGTAGGACCTTTCTTAAAAACCAGGAGTAAAATTGATGGATCAGAGCACTGATTGGGCCCCTCTGGAGCATCCTATTATCTTCCTGCCAAAGTCTCCCTTTCCCTTCTGCAGAAAGTCACCATTTAACCCTGACAATGGTCCTCTAAGACAACAAAATCAGCAAATGGTCGTTTACATTGGATGCATTACCAGTTAAAGTGATATTCCACCCCTAAGGGAAATTTTATCTGTTGCCATATCCCCCAGAGTTGGATACATGGGGAAAAAACATTTAGTAACCAGCCCAGTCATCTTCCTAATCTGGCCGTATTCCATTAGCTTTAGCTTTGCATAAACAATATAAGTGAATGGTAACAACTAGCATTTTATGTGGAAAAAGTCACGAAACTTACTCGATAATTATCCAAATTTTTCTATTTGACCTCAATAATCATATTGGCTATTGATCATATTGATTGAATCATATTGAGGAGTCGATTTAGGTTTGGGACCACATTATGACACAACACCGCTGTGAGGAAATAACGCAGCAGCCCCAAAAGACACCTAAGTAGCAGCATTGGATCTTGCACTAGCGATGGCAGACAACGTACGTGTCTTTTAGGGGCCACTGCATCATGTCCTGGCACCTTGCAGCGGTGCTTTTTCAGTCTTGGGTGTCGAGTCTAAATTGGCCCCTGTAATTCCTTTGAGTTACTTATTGTTTATTTAATATTTATTTGCATTCAAAATCATTATTAATGTCACCAAGAAAAATTTGGATAATTATTGAGTCATTTTCATGACTTTTTCACAAAAAATGCTAACTGTTACCATTCACTTACATTGTTTATGCTAAGCTAAAGCTAATGGAATACTGCCAGGTTTGGAGAATGACTGGGGTGGTTACTTAATGCTTTTTCCCACTCATCTAACTCTGGGGATTATTGCAACAGACTAAGCTTCACTTAGGGGTGGAATATCTCTTTAAAGTCCACGCAGAGCTTTTGTGCTCTCATTTAACATCAAAACAACCTTTTTTGTATATTTCTTTTTGATTTTTAGTTTATATCAACAAGTTTCTCCTTACTCGTTTAGCTAGTCCTATTCTATGTCAACTTGAGTGTTTAAATTCTTCAAAAACTTCCTTATAGGGGGTTGAAATCCTGAATGAAGTCGTCGCCACAAATCAAGTGTAATAAATATTAATCTTGAGATAATGTGATCTTTGTGCTCATGACTAAACAAAAACTTTTATCTGTGACTAACCAAATACATGTGTTTAGCAGTGAATGTTCACATCTTGTTTTCTTTTCAACAACAAACCAGATCCCCGCACAGGCGCTTCACTCCGACCCTGCGACCTCCACACTGAGCCCTCAACCTAACAAGCATTAGTCTCGCTCTTCTTTCCTCTCTCCAGCCAATCTCAGGCTAATCGTCTCCAGCTTTAATGGAGGAGACCACCACTAGTGTCGATTCAGGCCCAGATGCATTATTTGTGCTCGTATGCACTGCGCACTAACGCATGCATTCACCAGTGCTGCATCTTTGCCCACTTTCTGCCTATGCATTACATTAAGCGACCATAACAGTAGGTGTGTCTGCAGACACAAGCTGGGAGATGTTAATGAGTGTGTTCAAGCACCAGGCCTGCCACAGGAGCTTTTACCCCTCTTCTACCTCAGCACACTGCAGCTGACGTGAGTTTAAATGGATTGTCTGACATGTGAGCCCCTCCCCCATCCCAGCAGGGAAATGCCTTAGGAGAAGAAATTAAGAAATGCAAGATAGTTAAAGAAATAAACACTTAAAATTTGATTATAAATACGCCAGAGTGGATGGTGGTGGAGGGACATCCTTTCAGGGGTGGACTCGTGTCAGAAACGGGGAGGCGATCCTGAGCCCACACATGGATGCATTTAGTTCTGGATGATTTGGAGAAGAATGATCCGTTTAACGATGAGTAATGAGTTGTCTTTTACCTTTATTATCTCATTTATTGGCGGCCTTGTTTTAACAGCTTTACCAAGCGGTGTGTATTTCCATGCCCGCCCTTGTTCACGTTAAATTAAATCCAATTATACTTCCTGGTGGGCATGAATTAGATGTGTTAAAAATGGTTTGATTTGTCATTCACAGCTTGAGCAAGAACATGATAATGGCATTTTTTTATCCGTGGAATCTATTTCCGGTCTCCAACTGAAAACGCTAATAATGGCTTCCTAAAATTAAAATGGTCATAATTGGTCTTGCAGTTTAGCCACTTAGTGGAAAAGCTAATTAGACACCATGTTCTGGTCAGCTTCATTTTTCCACCCAAGAGAAGAGTTTGACGTCAACAACCTCCCAAATAGTGTAATTTATTCACTTAAAATATCTGATGTGTGCGTGTGTTGAGTCTAACTCACCTTCGCCCTCCTTCGTAGAGACGGCTCGTGGTTTATTTAATAACTGGCAGGACAAAAACTTTGAGTCAGATTCCATATCCTGCAGAGGCAGCGGGCTGCAAAATGTCACGCTGCATGTCTAAATCTGTAGTTTGCAGTTTGCAAAGCTGTTATTGCATGGTCTAATTCTTATTAAGAAAGAAATAAGTACTTGGGTAAGAAATTGGGAACTTCTGTTGAGCCCATACACTGTAAGAAGGGCTTATTGTTGTTTGTGTTTAAGATAAAATGTGGTGGTTTTTAAAGATCATCATACTAGGTTACAGTTGTGGGCTCTTCTAGTTTCATATGAAGAGCTTCAACAGGAACGAGGACTTGCAGAATACCAAAAGTCCTAGAACTCCCACGGATGGTCAGTTTGACCGCTGGCATTTGGGCCAGTGGAATGTGAGACTGGAAAAGACATCATAGAGTAAAATGGTTCTAGTGTGGTTAACTCGTGCATATGTGTTTTTGCTGGGTGACTGACGTGACTTTGTTTGCACAGGGAGTGATTCCTACTGACCAGTTATCATCAGTTTCTGCATCTCCACCCAAAGCAGCATCATTTCTAATGACCGCTGGACAACTTTCTTCTAAAAACAATTTTTGCAACAATTCCAAAGATGACCAGAGCGAACATGCAAGTTAAATGTTGGTTGTTAGGCAACAGTGACGTTCTCCATCACCCACATGAAAATTTTGCAACGTAAATCAGGGATAGGTAATGTCGGTCCTCAGTTGTTCCCATCCAGCATGTTTTAGTTATTTCCTTGCTCTAACACATCAATTTCAATAGTTGAATCACCTGCTCACCAGCTCATCAAGCTCTGCACAAGACTGTTAATCACCTTCCAATTAAAATCAGGTGTTTTGGAGCAGGGAAACGACTAAAACATGCTGGATAGGACAGGAGGACCAGGACTGCCAACCATGGTTATAATAGAGCCATCAAAATGACAGTTGGTATAGATGAAGGAAAAAACAACCAGATATAATGTTTTATTTTTATTATATTGAAATAACATGGAAAAAAGAACACATATATAGGAAAAGTCAAGAAAATCCATGTAATTAAAGTTTTTACATTTCAAAATAATAAAACTGGTCAAAATGACGAGATTAGGAGTCAAACTCAACCTAAAGCTGAGCTCTCAAAAGCTGGAGATGAGATCCAGGAATGGTACCAGACCTGATTTAACAGTAGTTCAGCTGCAAGTGGAAAAACGGGTAGGATTTGTTTGTTGTTGTTTTCAGTGACTGACCTAACTACTGTTGTATTTGTTGCCATTTTATACATTTCAGAATGGCATTCGCCTTTATTGGCCAAGAATGTTACACAGTGAAGGAATCTGGCTTGGGTTTCACAGGCTCAGATCGTACAGTCAGTATGGATAATGGGAAAAATAGGAAACAAGTTCTTTAAAAACATATAGAAATAAATATATTTTTTTTAAAGGCAGGGGCCATCGTGCTGCCTTTGAGTGAACTTGGAAGTTCGAACTTCCAAGAACAAATGGAATGCACCATTACTACAGAACTTTTGTTGCAAATCCCTTCTTTAATTTTCCATCCTAATGGTGAACAGTTGTTATGGTTTTGCTCAAACATGTGTTCAGTGTTTCCTACCATTGTCAACAGAATAAAAGTTACCATCTCTGTGTCAGAGTTTAACCATCTTATTGTTGCATTCAGGTTGTGAACTCTCGAGTTTTCATACAGAAAGCTTTGTTTTCTTTGCAGCTCTTGTACTCTGTGCTCATCTCAGACAAAATAACGTGGCTGCTGCACGTCACTGTGAAGTCTCCTGATTTACATTTCTGGTTTTTTTTTTCTCTTCAGGGAACCAACTTGACGGATATCTGCACAGAATTACTCCTTCATGGAAATCTTCTCAAGATTTCAGCGGGAAACATCCAGGAACGCGTGTTCTTCCTGTTTGACAACCTTTTGGTTTACTGTAAAAGGAAATCCAGGTGAGAAATTCCAGACTCAGAAATTAGTTTAGAGAAAACAAATATTCCATTTAAACTAGGGATGTCTTATATTATTGGTCTACCAATGACATCGGCCTATATTAGCATTAAAATGTAATGTTGGAAAACATTTGCACTGATTTTTACTCTAAATGAGCCAACTTTGACATCCCATACACATATTATACATCACATTCTTTCATCTTCTCCTCACACTCAAAATATAATTATATGATAGATCTGTGGTTTAGATTTTGAGATAGACCTAGTTTCGTCTGGCACAACTTAATAAGTTGAAATTTGTCCATTTGTAGTGATATGCTATCCTCACAACTAATAGCTATGTGTAGCTAGCCAGTTAGCAAACCACTAAAACAAAAATATTCACTATGTTCGATATTATCGGTTTATATCGGTCTTAAAATGTAATATCGGAAAATATCAATATAGTTTTTACTCCATTAGTGACCCAACCTTTACACACCATGCATATATTACACATCAAACTCTTTCATCTCCTCTTTCTCAAAATGCCAAAGTATGACAGATCTGAGGTTTAGTTTTTGAGATATTTTAGTTTTATTTAGCACAACTTGTGAATAATTAGGAGTTTGCCCTGTGTAGAGAGGATCTGCTGTCCCTAACAGGATGTAGCTATGTTTAGCTAGCAGCTAACAACCAACTAAAACACACACCAGAATCTTCACCCAAGGCTTGCTTTTCTTATATGTAGGCCTTTGTAAATGTTATCACAATAAAAACAATATACAGACACAGAAAAAATACATTACAGACTTATTCACACGTGTTAGCATCGTGCTTAGGAATTAGCCTTACTTAGCATGTGTACGCTGCTTACGTTTTATCAACTCAGTAACTTTAACACATTCTCTAAACCTTTTGATAGTTAAAAAGATGAATGTTCTCCAAGGCACAAACATATAGAACACATTCAGCGTGTTTGTGAGTTGCTTACTCTCTTATTTCTGCCTAAAAACAACGTGAACAGGGAAAAATGTCAAAGATCGGTGAGAGTGCTCACTCTGTCGCGTTTCCGCACAGATGACATAGCAGATTGTATGTAACTTCGATCCGATTTCCAAACCTAAAACATTTTAACCTTTTTAACATGAATTTATTTTTAGTATGAATTAACTTAGGACTCTTAACGTTTATTAATGTTACTTAGTGCATCATTAAGTATTAATAAGCAAAGGATCCCTTTATTAACGTTCCCAATATTAACTTTTAAGTGTCCTTAAGGTTAGGACAAAGGGCTGGAGGGGCCTGCTTAGTAATGCATTACTTAATACTAACATTAATATTAAGCAGTTGTTAGTATTTCATTTAATAGTTTTTTAATGCTTAAAAATGCACTAACGTTAATAAAGAGACCCATTTTTTTCAACACTAATGAAAGTTATCCAGACGTAGAAAATCCTTTGCAGATGCCCACATACCCTTTGATGTTGACTCTTAATGAGGATGCAAACCAAATAGAATCGCCTACATGTTGGTCACATACCTGTATCTGTATGAATGTGTGGGTATGGCGGAGACAGTCGGTTCCTTACTGCGTGGCGCTGGCATCAGCGGATGTTTTTCCTGTTGAGAGTAACCGCAGTGTTGCCTCTCTTCCAAGGGTGTCCGGAAAGAAGTCGACCAAGAGGACCAAGTCTATGAACGGGCCTCACTATGTGTTCAGGGGCCGAATCAACACCGAGGTGATGGAGGTGGAAAACGTGGAAGATGGAACAGGTTTGTGTTTGCTCAGGAGTGTATCACATTTGGAGACTGTGTGTATCTATTCATGCAATTCTCCTGTCAGGGTTGTATTAGCTTTCCCATGAGGCTCAGGTTGATAGTTACTCAATTTAAATAAAGACTAAAATGTGCAAAAGGAAAAACCAGTCATTTACATCCAGAACTCACATTTGATTGATGAAACTACAAGTTTGACCTGAATCAGGTGCTTGTTGACAGTTTGGGTGGAGTGTTTCTAACAGGATGTAGCGTGCAACCCCGTGTAGCTTTTGATGTCAGCTATGCAGTGATGGGTTGGTGTGGCGATAGACATCTGAAGCAGCTTTCACCTTGGCAATAAACTTAATGCGATCTGGTTGGGGTTTAGATAATGGGCCAAAGATCAACAAGTCATTGGGGACAGGTGCTGATCTTTACGCAGATCGTTTTGCTATTGCGGTTTGCCGGGCTTGGTGCACGTTGTTCTCCAGTTTAAAAACACTTCCTCTCTCTCTCTCTCTCTCTCTCTCTCTCTCTCTCTCTCTCTCTCTCTCTCTCTCTCTCTCTCTCTCTCTCTCTCTCTCTCTCTCTCTCTCTCACTCTCTCTCTCTCTCGCTTGCTTCCTCTTTTCAGTCTCTCTCATCTCAGTGCTGGCAGAATATTTCTGCAAGCCCACATGACTTGTGTTGGTTGCTGGCTGTAACATTTTGGTCGCTGAAAGGGAAACCACAAAGAAAAATAACTCTCATCTGCAGAATTCAGGGGTCCTACTTTCAGAACAGTTTATCTGATAGCTGTGAACGTTGAACAAGGTGTGTCTGTTTGAGAAACTAAGGAAAGACAAGCTCTGATTGACCGAATAAGATTTTCCTCTAACAATAAAAAATAATCTTTTTGTTCCTTTCCTGTTTAAATAACTTCCACAGATGAATGATTTTTTTATGTGCACAGTGGTTTTTCAATTAAAATCTAAAGAAAAATCAAATACAAAACATTTTCATCATTCTAAAATAAAAAAATAAATTTTAAATGTCCTTGAGCTAACAGGAAAATGTCTTATAGTGTCCACGAAGTGAGCATGTAGCTAATAGCTGCTATTATATTAAATAGGTGTGTTTCCCCCACCAACAAAGCGATACCTTTTGAACGCGTTGCTGAATTTACCCATCGAGTCTATTATTTACATCAGGGGCCACCAACCTTACCGAAGCTGAGATCTACTTCATAGGTATTGAGCCACTTGAAGTGAACTACAATCGATCACATTTAAACTAAATTCATGTATAATCAACATATTTTATTGTTTTTAAAGAAATGTGTAGCTTTCTGCACGCATTTTTGATTTTTTAAATTCATTTTCTTTAGACTTGTGCTATTTAGAGACCTTATATGGTTCATGTGGGCACCAGGTTGGTGACCCCTGCTTTACATGCTACATATCTAGAAAGCATCAAGCACAGCAACACAAAAGCAGTGTAAAACATTTGGCAACTTTCAAAATAAAACACATGTACATGTGAAAATTTGACCACTTGGATACGTAACACCAGTTGCTTAACTAGTAGCGAAAAACACACCATTACCAGAGACATCTCTGTCGCCGAGGTGAAAAGAAGAAACCAGACCTTTTTGGATACATGCTGTTGTCTTTCTACTTGTTTGTTATCACATAAACAGCCAAAATTATGCGTGACCAAGGATTCTCTAATGATTTGGTAACCTTGCAGGACCAGCTGCTGATTCCAGTCTGAAATACTCTCGACGGAAAGGGTCGCGCCGCTGAGGTTGCAGGGAAAACACGTCTGCACATCTGGTGGAGAGCCGGGGTTGTGATCCTAAACGTTAAACTGTTGGATCTCATGTATTCACCTCTTTAAGGGGCACTGATCCTTGAGTCAGATCCTGGATGAGCCCCCAATTTAAAAAAAAGGCCACAACTGTAATTGGAGTGATTTAAAGATTTCCATCAAAAATAAGTGGTTATATTCACAAAAATAAACAGCAAATCTAGAAAACCATAATGAGACCAGGAGCTCAGTATAATCAGGCATTCTCGTCCCGTCTCGTCTTCTTCTGCCTATCCGGGTCGGGGTCGCGGGGACAGCAGCATCCCAACTAGGGATTACCCGGCCACCTCCACCTCTACCTCTGGTAGGACCCCAAGGCGTTCCTGGACCAGGTCGAACTATAATCAGGGATTGTATTCGTTTTTTCTTGACCACATGTTCCTCAGTAGGGTCATGTGGACCTGGGCTCTATCTCCAGCAGTCATTGGGTGAAAGGTTGCGGACGCCATAGACAGGTCGCTTACACTTGGGGACAACTGAGAGTTACCTGGTAACCTAACATGGATGTTTTTGGCCTGTGGAAGGAAACGCCTGAAAAAAATCCACATATGCATGGAAGAACGTGCTAACATGTTAAATTTAAAACATGCAACCTTACTGCTGTAAGGCAACCATAATCCCAACAGCACCACAACGCAAATCCACTTTTTCACCACATTTTGCACAATCCCCTAAGTTCACAGGAGTCTTCAGTTTATTGTATTTCAGTAAGAAAAATCAGAATTAATTGATGCTCTGTTTGAATAATGCATTTCTAATAGAAAATCTACAGCATGCACTTTGAAACTTTCCCCATTTTCCACCTTTTTGGATGCATTCAGCAGAAATCTAGCTCGGCACATTTGTTCTTTATGCATCTCTGGACACAGTTTGATTCTCTGTGAAGAAAGGCAGAAGCTGCTCCTAGTGGGGCCAAAAGTATCAAATCTATTTATACGACTTTGAGCATGAGACTAATGCAGCCCATTACCACTGGCCATTCATTATTCAGTGGCTGCTCACCTGCAGCTAAATGGATGATAGAATTGGAGAGAAGTGCGAGGGGAGAATGTGATGAGTCAGTGGAAGAACGGTCTTTTATTGCTTTTATGATGCGCGCTGTTTGTCTCTTTGATTGGCTTTTAAATCCAACTTAGACATCTAAAGTCTCTTCAGAGATGACTTTATTGCAAACATCTTTACAAACTCATTTGATTACTTTTATTATTCTCTTTATTTAAAACTATTGTCCATTTTTTTTTCCTTCTGTGGCTGTCGGGCAGGAGGGATTAAAATGTTTTTGTTAGCAAGCCTAAAAACTCAGACGCGATGATCGAATAATGCGTCCTGGGGATTATTATGTCGACCTTTTTCTGTCTAAGCTCGGTCCTCTTTTGCTTTACAGCTGACTATCACAGCAACAACTACACCGTGACCAATGGCTGGAAGATTCACAACACGGCTAAGAACAAGTGGTTTGTCTGCATGGCCAAAAATGCAGAGGACAAACAAAAGTGGCTGGATGCCATCTTGAGGGAACGGGAGCAGAGAGAGAGTAAGTGATGCACCTTTATGTTTTTGATGAGACCTTCAGATTTTCTTCTTCCTCTCTTTATGTAATACAGCTTAGAAAAAGGTGTAAACATCACAGAGGCGTCAGTAAAACACCCGCAGGTGGGATTAAATATTAATGTCTTACAACTGTGTTGCACAAAACAGAGAAGCACTGGTTTTCCATGTATTTAATTTGTTGTTTTTGCCCACAAATGGTAATCACCCTAAATCCTCTAATACAGACCCGGGCCTGTATTTGACTCAAGCTCATCAAGCTCCAGGCCTTTATTGGAAGGAGGACCAGAATTAGAGGCAGGCCTCAATTTCTATTTGAGCAAAATGAACTAATGGTTCGCTGGAGTTTTTGACAATTAAAATTGCGCCCACATTTTCAAAGTTAAACACATTTCTTTTAACAATGGTAGTTTCTGCATCTTGCTTCAGCCCTCTCCCCCCTCCCCCTGCGCAGCGGCCGCAAACCCACTGATGCGCCTGCAGCCTCTCAGAGTTCCTGCTGCTCTAAACATTAAAATAATTATTTCATTTTCTGTTCCTCACTTCTGATTACCTTCAATGGTGTCTGTTTGTTGCTACCACCAGGTAAAAGAACTAACTTGTTTTTATTTGACTATTTTTCTGTCCTGCCTGTTTATTATCTTCCTGCATCTCCTCTCAATCCTAAAGAGAAACTGCTACCTGGGTTCATATATATTCACCTCATGAGTTACCTTTGAACTGCAGTTCTAAAAGATCTACCGACCGCAAAAACAGCAGAGTGCTCGCCGGCCGCATCAGTTAGGTGTGTCACCGAGGACAAAACAGGTGATGCGCCCCGATCCACAGCAGCGAAATGCATCAGGCACAAATAAAAGAATAAAAGGCAGAAAACATAAAAGGAAATGAGCCGATATGAATGATCGCGTGCTAAATTAGTTTTTGAGGTGGCGACAACTGATTTGATAATGTTACTGTGGCCGTGCTCAGGACGCAGATGTCTGGAGCACGTCAACAATCAGAGCTTTGCATGCGCAAGCTGGTTAAGGTTAGATGGGGGTGAGGGGAAGGTTAAATTGCAAGAGGGTAAACGTCACAATTTGGTTAAATGTCCGTTTTAAGGCGGGTGTCAGTACCGACGCTCTGGCACAGCGCGTTGCCTCCCGACGCGCAGGAGCTCGTCACCTGCTGACAGCAGGCTGCTGTCTTTTCCGTGGACTGCATCTTGCCGGTCATTATCACGTGACAGCGACTAGTCGATGACAGGCATAAAAAGTCACTATAGAGCGGTGAAGTTGACTAGTGACTAGTTCATACAACCCCTGCTACTGCTCCCCAGAGTGTTCTGCAGCATAATCAGCACGTTCTCTTTGAACTTGATATCAAATTTTTTCCTCCTCTTCGTCTTCGCACGGTTAAAGTTACCCTCGCGGTCTATCACTGGCAAATCAAAAGTGAGACGGATGACACAACTGCCCCCCGTACTTGCTTGTTACCACATTCCACCCGGCCACAATAAAAAAACGGCCATTATTCACCTCCGCCGACTCCGACACCGGCCACAATATGATACCCGGCAGTTAATTAAATACAGGCTAATATTAGAGGATTTATGGTAAATAGATTTTAACATCGAAATTTTCTGCTGTACGGTGCTGGACCTTTTCCAGGTTGCAATTCTGCAGTAAACCTCTAAACATGAATGTCCGATACTGGCATTAAAATGTAATATCTTAATTTGCTTTTGTCTTTAAATCAAACAACTTTTACATACCATTCTCATACTATACATCAAAATCTTCAGCTACGTCTCCTCTCACTCCTAATGTCTAAATATGGCAGATCCGAGGTTTAGTTTTGGGATATCTTTGTTTGTTTGGCAAAACTGGGCTAACTTAAAGTAGTTTTCATAATTTGCACAGATCATATTTAAAGTTTTAAGTCTGTGTGATAGAAGATAAGTGATGTTAGTTAACTAAAGTCATTTAATGTTTCTTCTTTTATACGCGTATTGGAGTCAGTAATCAGTGGAGTACATTATAGTGGTGTACCGGACATTGGTTAAAAAAAGCCGATATTGAACACTGAGAGCACTTTTCAGTGTTAACTCGGCTTCAACACACCTGGTTTCAATCAGCAGGTGATTAACAGGCTTCTGCAGAGCCTGATGAGCTGCTGCACAGGTGATTCAGCCACTGAATCAAGTGTGTTGGAGCAGAGAAACCACTAAAACATGCTGGATACCGGCCCTCCAGGACCAGAATTGAATGCCGTGGTTCTAGATGCACAAACTATTAAAGTACCAGAGCTTCCACAGGGTAACTGTAGTCTGTGACCTGGGAAGGGGTGTTTACATCCTGCTTATAAAACAGAAGCTTTGTTTAAAATGCTGAAACTAAAAGGTGCACCAGTAGTGAGGCTGATACAAATTTATGCTCTTTTATTTCAAAGAACTATAATTGGTGTTTATGTTATTTTTGGATTTATTGTGGAATTGTTGCACAAAATCCAAGAAAATCCTGTAAAAGCTCAGTTTCGTTCATGAATATAACTTGCACTAATTCCATTATTTTGAAATGATTGATGTAAGCTGAGATCTTTTATTCTCCTGCGGTTATTTTCCTTTCAACTTTTCTCTTCCTGCCTGTTCAGCACTCGCCATCTGTCTTTATTATGTTCTGAGAGGTGGACAGTGTGTGAATGGCTGAGGTCAGATTTGTGGCGCTGCACATCGGGCCACCCAATAGCACTGATGGCTAAAAATGAGAACCGAATCCTGGAAGCTGTTAGGGGATTTAAACATTATTCTTCCGCAGCTGACATGTGGACATAATTAGTTATCAAAGTAAATTGAATAGTTGGAAGCATTTTAATTGTATTTTGAGGAAGTTGACGCCGTAATCTGAGCTTGGTGTTATCACCGTTTGAGTCTTGATTAAAGGGGTTCGGAGTACAGATACGTATGAAGGAGTGTGCTGCAGCTTGGGGTGTTGAGTTTCAGCCCTGCGGAAGCCGACCTGAGGCAAGCAGATGTCAGATCAGTCACACCGTCCAGTTTCTTGTCTCAGCCCTCCTCTGTTACTTTCTACCGTATACTTTACTTTCAGTGTTCCTACCTTTCTTTCAGCCCCTTCCACTCCCATCTAGACAGCGGTGCGAGGTTTTTCTGCAGTAACGGACTCTTTTTTACATTTTATTGTCTAAGTTGCACCTTATTTTTTCTCTGTGTATTTCATACGTTTAATTTTTCTTTTCTTTTTCTTGCGACACATGGCTTCCCTTATTCGGGCCCCCCAAAAGGCTTTCATTGCTCAGCGACTGCCAGTTGGAGGTGTTGTGTCTTATCAGCGTTTTATTGAAGGTTAGGGCGGGTTAATGTGTTCCGGTTTTCCTTCGAGCCAGTGAGGACAGGAAGACGAGGGGCAGCTTAAGACGAGCTCTGACAGCTGGACCAGAAGGCTCTGTGCTGGAGAGGCCCCCCGTCTGCTCAATGACACTTATTGTCTAACTCTACTCCAGCTGCTGCCAAGTGTAATCTAACCCCACCTCCATCAGTGTGCCGGCGGAGCTCTCTGCAGACTCAAAGAGAAATTTGGTGTTGCGAATAAGAAGAAGAGGAAAATATCATTTCTATAGCGCCTCTCAAGATAAAAATCACGAGGCGCTTCACAAAAGCAAAAAATGTTAAAATAAAAAAGCATTTAGAAAATGTTTAAAAATATATTTAAAATGAGCAAAAATAGGCAATTGTGATTAAAAAATGTGAAGAGAGAGAGAGAGTGAAGAGGAAAGAGGGAAATCGGTGGATCCTGAGGAAGGTGGAATAGGTGGGGAGAGCAGAATAAAGAGAGAGAGGTGAAGAAGGTCATACAAAAACCAGCTTGAACAAGTGAGTCTTCAGCTGCTTTTTAAAGGAGACCACTGAGTCCACTGATCTCAGGCTCAGGGGGAGAGAGTTCCAGAGTCTGGGGGCCACAGCAGCAAATGATCTGTCACCTTTGACCTTTAGTCTGGTGCTGCACAACCAGTAGGCTTTGATCACTGGACCTCAGGGACCTGCTGGGGGTGTAGGGACTGAGAAGATCACCAATGTAAGATGGTGCTTGTCCATGTAAGGCCCTATAGACCAGAACCAGGATCTTGAAATGAACCCTGAAGGTGACTGGCAGCCAGTGAAGCTGGAGGAGAAGTGGGGTGATGTGGGTGTGTTTGGAGGACTTGGTCAGAAGCCGAGCACAGGCATTCTGAACCACCTGTAGACGGTTCAGGGAGGTTCTGCTCAGACACGTGAAAAGAGAGTTACAGTAGTCTAAGCGTGAGGAGATGAAGGTGTGGAGAACTGTCTCAAGTTCAGAGCGGGACAGAATGGGACTCAGCTTAGCAACGTTCCTGAGATGGAAGAAGGAAGAGCGAACAAGAGAACTGACATGAGAAGCTGTGTTGCATGTTTCTGCCCCCCCCCCCCCCCCCAGATTCCCAACCATCACTCAACTTTCTCATTTAAAAATGTAAAATTGACTTATTGAATTTGTGAAATCCAGTGAACTGAACTTTGTGAGTTTTTTTTAACCAAAAGATAAAAGTAGCAAAGGCTCCAACCGGTGGTGTGTGGAGCGGTAAAGAGGTCACCTGACGAAGATCCGAAGATTTTAAAAGCTCTTGTTAAGGTTTCGCACATATATAATATGAGCTTTATCCTTTATCCATTATGACTTGTAAAACTGAATCCTTTAGTTTCTAGTTTAGGAGCTCGATGTGCCGCTAGTGGAGTTAAGCAGATTATGGCGTCCCATTGAACTAGAGCTGAGTTGCCAGAGTCAGAAATTCTCCAGAGTCCAGTTCAGAAGTTCATCAAAACCCAGGATGAGGGTAAGCAGCAAAAAAACCGCTGAAGTGGTTTTACAGAATCACGATGGGCCCTCACATGTTCCACCACACATTACAGCTATAATAGTTAACACATCAACACCACAACCACCCCGTCCTGAACTTGAGGCACATCCATGCTGTAAAAGTTTTATTCCTGACTGTAAGCCGTCTGCACAATACCGAAACATAACCAGACGGTCCGTGAAAAGACTCATTTGTGTCGTCTAACAGCACCGTGACGAGCGTTTGGCTTTGATGCATTAAAAAGCTTTGGAAATCAAGCAGAGATCTCTGGATTTGCTGTTTCTCTTGGCTGAGACTTTGTTTGCACTTTCATTTCCTTTCCCACATTTTTAACAACCTTCACCCCAGCAGAGTCTCACTCCGTTGACGGTAAATGCAGAACACGTGATCGAGTCTCTTGTTTTATTTGTTTTTAGGTCTTAAGTTGGGAATGGAGCGAGATGCCTATGTGATGATCGCGGAGAAGGGGGAGAAGCTCTACCACATGATGATGACCAAGAACAGGCACCTGATTAAGGACAGGCGCAGGAAGCTCAGCATTGTGCCCAAGTGCTTCATGGGAAAGTGAGTTTCTATTCCTGCTCCCTCTGAGTCTTTTGGTTCCAAGAATGTGACTGGAACATCACGCCGTTCACATGGAGGTCTTTGCAAACAGTTACGTAAGCTTTCAAAAGAGCTGGAATCCAGTCCCCCCCCCCCCCTGAAGTTCTGGCATAAGGTCCCCCGTCCCCGGTCTCTGCTCATGGGTAGCAAGACAACGTGACACTGCCCTGTGGTCGTTTACAGATTATTAAATGTTTTCATATTAAAGGATCATTAGTTATGATCACATCATCGCACAACCATGACGGATATTTAATGAGCTGTTTGAAAACTCAAGGGTTTCCCAGAGATGCGTTGGTGGATGCATGAAATCCTCATCTTCTCTCAGCTCCACGTGTTTCACAAGATGATCTGTAGAATCTATAACATTTATTTTTAGGGTTTTCCTAGAGACTCCATCATAATTTAACTCCAACATATTCCCAGCTCTGAATTGATCTGGGAAACCTTATTTGATGCAGGTGATTTTTTTTGTCCTTTTTCTGTCTCTATCTATTTTTTCCACCCACGCTCTTTTTAAAAACAATTTACCGCGTCCTGCTTTTCTCACTATCTATCGTTCATTTCCTGTTGATGAGTTAGCCCTTCATTATCTGAACATTTGTCTTTCCGATTAAATTAGCCTCTGGATCGTTTGCGTTCTTATCGTGTTAAACAACGATGGCTGCCGGTTTGATAGCACCCACCGGTTCCAACTTTAAAATAATCACCACAGATACATTTTTGTCATGCTTTAACTTTGGTTATGTTGATGTTTGGGATTTAAATTGGACGTCTTATGCAAAACTCACCTGTAGTATCCTTTTCTGCACTCATGTGGGTCTGTACTGCCGCTATAAACACATTCCAAACACAAGAAAACCGATTCATCTGTTTTCTGTCAGTGGTTGGTTTAAAATTTTGTGCCTAAAACAAGCTAATTAAATAAGTTCCTGTTTGTGATGTCACAAATGTGGGAATTATCATAAAATACCCTCTCAGCTCTCCAGGCTGGAGGAGCAGCAGCTCTACTCAGAGCTCCTCCAAGATTTCAGAGCTCCTCGGTTTATAGCAGCCTAAACTGCAAGGCATGGGTGGGCGGGGCCAGCTTGAGTTTGTTTTCTTAAAGTGACAGAGCCCTAAAAGGGCTCATTCTGGAAGGTACTGAAAATGTCAAGAATAAAACTGCAGAGATCGCTTTATGTGAGAGAGCTTTATGCAGAACATCATAAACATGTTCTGTTTGAACCATATAACTATTATAACTTCTGAAAAAAGTCATATTATCATTTTCATCCTTTTTATTAACTTGTCCAAACCGTTTTATGCCGCATGTTCCCCTCAGGATAAAACAGATACTTTTAAGTCTCAGCTATTCAAGTTCATATGTGGGCTAGCTTTATCCCCATTAGCATTTTGCTCCTAATGCATTACTTTACCCTCAGTGGGAGAAACTTTCCCTGCATCTAATTTCCTTTTCTGTCATCGCTTCTAAAAAGCTCTTGCTCATGTAGAAAACTTAACTATAAAACGTTTAAGTGTAAGTTTGTACCCTGTGATCCGAAACAAATAAAAAAACGCTTCAAGAATGAAAATCAGCAGAAATTCCAACAAATCCGTAATGCTCATCCATCAGATCTTGCCTGCCCCCCCCCCCCCCCCCCCCCCCCCCCCACTGTTCACTATTCATGCTCACTATTGACTCTGTGTCCAAAATTAACCTCTTACGTAACACACACACACACAAGCATGGACGCATGCACGCACACATAAACACACACACACACTTCCATAATACCCCCTTGAATTCAGTTGTATCCCTTCAATGCTAATTAACAACCTCTTGGCGAGTCATGGGCATAAAAAGAGATGATCGACACAATCATTCAAGAATATTTGAAGCAGAAAGTGAAATAAACTTTTAGAGCAGCCTACTGTCCACATTCTACCCTCGTACAAATTACTACATGCACCCGATTGGCTACTTGAGGACTGTTCTTGTGACAAAAATAATGTTCTCACCTTTACAAAAGGACCAGTTACAGATGGCTCGAGGTGTCTTTAGCTGGAGTGCACACGATGAACTTGAACTTTTATTCATGCAGAGACACTTTCACACCTTGTCAGCTTTGGACTTGCCTCCCAGCTAGGCTGCATCATAAACTAATCGACTCTTAAGAGCCAATTCCCATTCCCATTTGGTTCAAAATGAGTCGTTTTGTCTCAGATTGCATGATCCTACACTAAAACACACCCATCAATCTCAAATTCACTCCTTGCAATCAGCCAAAAGGTGAAGAAGTGGAGAAAGTCATTTTCTCCCTCAAACATTTGCTCAGCAGACAAGACTGCAGATCTGAAATGCATGAATATGGATGAGGTGTGTGTGTGTGTGTGTGTGTGTGTGTGTGGGGGGGGGGGGGGGGGGGGAGAGATCATTTGTAAAGCATGCACCACCTGTGCCTGTGGTCTAAGCTAACCATTAAAACACTGTAACACCTTTCAATTTGGAAGCGCAGACGGCCCCTGCATAAATAACATTCCCACTGTGTCAACATGTTGCATTGCTCAGAGCTCCCAGAGGACACCTGAGCCTGCTCGGATTCAGAAAGGATATATTTCTCTAGATGAACCACATGGGTCAAGTGAAACCAAGCTTTTGCTTATGAGACCTACAAATAAACAACATATTCCCAGGTAGCCTTAATGGTCCAGCCACGCTTTAGCCAGAATCTAGCTGCCAGTTACGCAGGACGATAAATTCAACTTCAGTTAAATTAATCCACCCTGTGTGTGTTCATACCTGTGTTATACCTGCAGCCTGCTTGTGATCAGACCACCCCAAAAGCATGCTAGTACCAGATCTATGCAGAACCTTCAGCTTGTATTAAGCTTCTGTACCAATGAAGCACCCTCTGCATTTATTTAGAAGTGAACTGTTTCATTCACACACATTAGGGATGCAAACAATTAATCGATTATCAATTAATTGTCGGTAAGAAATTACTCAAGAAAAATGATTTAATTGCAATTAATTGAATTTTGAGTCTGTAATTCCCCGCCAGTCCTCGCGGGGTGTGCTTGACGCCAGACGTAGTTGACGCACACGCAGAAACGCAAGCAAAGCTGGGCTCTGACGACAACAGACAAAGGAGAAACGATCCTTACACTGAGGATGAAGACGTCAAAACGGAGTGGTCAACGACAATGACCCCAAATGCACAATATGTGGAAGTATTTTGAAGTACAACAATTCCACAACTTCGTTGAATTACCACCTAAATATGCCACATTCAGCCGTGCTACAAACAGCGTGAGGTTCTTAGCCTACATTCACCACAGCATTGGGAAGAAGGGTGTGTGACTCCATGAAAGCAGAGGGCATTACCCAGCTAATATGTAACATGGTTACTACAGACATGCTGCTGATAAATGTTGTTGATGGACAGGGATTTCAAGAAGTGATAAAGTACATTGAGCTGGGGTAGTTGAGACTTACATAAGCTGGACTGAACAACATGTTGTGGAGCATGTACTCAGCAGCTGGGCTGCCTGGTAAACAAGAAGTTGCACAGCACGTATGCGGCTGGTATTGATAAGCAACATGTCAACATGCACGTACACAAAACACTGCTTTTAGCTCCTACACAATATCCCCTCTAGAACAACCATAACAATTAATCTTTGATTAGGGAATATGGTTTGCATTTTGTCTTTACACGATACAGAATATAGCATTTTATGTTACGTTTACAGTAGATGGAACCGATTCAGAGGGAAGTTCAACTTTTCAGAAAAATTGCCACTTATCAATTAATCGATCATCGATCGATAAGATGAAACAACTATTGATTATTGAATTACTCGATAATTCGCATCCCTAACACACGTACACTTTTCTACTTTCTCCAACACTAGTGAGCACTTAATTTGCACTGAAATGTAATTTAGCCTAAATGTGGCACAAACAACCAATTTTAACCGCAGTCATCTTCACAAGTAACAGGTCTTATAGAAATGACAGGTCTGGTTAATGGAAAAGCAGCAAATGGCAATGAAACCATTCCTAGTGTTTTAGGATGGTGTTTTAACTAAATGTGTAAAGGTGACATCATGCAAAACTCGCCTTTAACTTCCTTTTGAGCTGCCATGTGGAACTCGATTGCCTCTAAAAACTCATCCATCCATTTTTGTCAGTGTGTGGTTTCAGGAACCGTGTGCTTTAAACGAGCCATTTGAAAATGTTCCTATTTGTGATGTCACAAACAGGAAAACTAGCATTGAACCACCATTAACCTCTTCATGCTGGAGGAGCATCAGCTCGACTCCAAGCATCTCTCAGATTTTGGAGCCGCCTAGCGCCCAATCAGTGGATGAGTGGGCGTGGCCAGCAACAGCTTGTTCTTTTAAAGTGACAGAGACCTGAAATGGCTCATTTGGGAGGGTACTGAAAATGTCAAGAAAAAAGCTGCTGATATTGCTTTATAATAATGCATTGAACTTATATAGCGCTTTTCTAGACACCCAAAGACGCTTTCACACACTCTCACATTCACACACTGCTAGTGATGGTAAGCTACTTGTAGCCACAGCCGCCCTGGGGAGGTCTGACAGAGGCGAGGCTGCCATTTGGCGCCGTCGGCCCCTCTGACCACCACTAACACAGGCAAGTTGGGTGAAGTATCTTGCCCAAGGACACAACAGCAGGATAGCCCTGGCGGGAGCTGGAATCACACCCATGACCCTCCGATCATGAGGCAACCCGCTCTACTGCTGCCTTTATGTGAGAGTGCTTTAGTGTAAAAGACTTGATTTACATGTTTTGAATCGACCATAGGACTATTATCACTTAAGAAGAAAAGTCATAATATGTCTCTTTTAAATCAACAACACAGAACAAACGTGCCAAAAAGGTCTCCTTATGTACATTTGGGCTGACGTGTGAATTAATCGATGTAAGAAATAAGAGACAAAATTCAGTAATAATAAATTAACACCATAAACTGTTATTTAAAGAAATAATATTTTTTTTGTCTCAGTGAATTTGTGTCGTGGCTGATAGAAAGTGGAGAGATCAGTAATGCCGACGAGGGAGTAAATCTGGGACAAGCCTTACTGGAAAATGGCATCATTCACCACGGTAAGACAACGCAGAATTTTATTTCTGCCTTTTGCACCTTGTTGCTATCAATCAGTTGTTTTTTATCATCTACTTTTATCCAATTTTCACCCTGCTTCTAAGACACGTTATAAATAAGTCCAACACCTTTTATGGTGGAAGCCACCACGAACACGAGTCTTTCCTGAAATGTCCCATTATTTCTACTTTTGTGATTTAGACTTCAGAGGGACACTTTTAGGTTTTCCTAACCTGAAATATGCATTTAGAAATCTAACTTACACACACACACACACACACACACACACACACACACACACACACACACACACACACACACACACACACACACACACACACACACACACACACACACACACACACACACGCGCGCACACACAAACACACACACGCGCACACACAAACACACACACGCACGCACGCACATACAAACACACACACACGCACGTACAGACAGACAGACAGACACACACCCACACGCACACACACACACGCACACACACACACACACACGCACGTACAGACAGACACACACACACACACGCACGTACACACACGCACACACACACAAACACGCACGCACGTACAGACAGACAGACACACACGCACGTACAGACAGACACACACACACGCGCACACACACACACACACACACACACACACACACACACACACACACACACACACACACACACAGATAATGTATGTATGCAGTTGTCCAGGATGTTTATACTCAACACTCTCTCAGGAAAATTTGCTCAAACCCAATGTTCGTGTTCCTTCATACCTGTGGAAAATCCCCAGAGATTCTGTCTGCCAGCTGCTTTCAGCCACAGAGTGAAACAATAACGACATGGACGCCTCTGTGGCATAGCAAGATGGCACTGTGGGTAAACTGGAGAGGTTCAGACCTTGCGGGTGATATAAAGGCGTCACGAGCTAGCTATTGAAAAGGTATCATTGGTTTTTCTGTTGTAACATAATTGAAAGACTCGACCTCGGAGAACAATTAGTCCAATGTTCCTGTTTCCTTTACACATCTGTTCGTACTTGAATATCTGCACTTTGCTCTGAGGATAAATGGCTATCATTTCATTTCACGTACAGTAAAATCTCCTACTTGACAGGAGCCGCTTTGCTTGTGCATTCCTTTGCTTTTATTGTGGGCATTTCAAGTCTAGACTGAGAAATCCAGTAGCTTGTTTGAGTCGGTGCCAGCTTGTTGTGGTGGAACCAAAGATTTTTCTCCCCAGTCATGTCTTTGTGCATCATGTTCTATTTGCTGGGCCTGTTTTAGACGTATTGGGTTCATGAGTACAAGTTGGAGAGCTTCAGTTCCTTTCTTAAAGAGCAAGTCACCCCCCAAATCAACTCTATTAACGAGTGTCTAATAGTGCTGTAGACATGTGTCGCCACTATTTTGGAATTGTGTTTAAAATTTAAAAGTTCCGCCTAAAACCGTTTATGTTGCGCACTCTTCAGGTTAAAAGTCTGCATTTTATCTGCATTTGAATCAGCCATCGCTATTGGCAAATACACCGTCATGTGATCTGCTGCACAGCCGAATCTCGGCCATGCCTCCAGCTGGCCGGGTCACTCACGAGCCGATATGAAACGTTGGGGGGGGGGGATGTCAGTCAGCAGTGCTGCCCTTTTGGCCTGCCAGGCCACGCCTCCTTTTGGCACATATTTCCAGCAGGAAATGCAAGAAAACATTGATACACCAAAAAAAATCACAATGTTTCACGTTGAATTGATGTATAAAAGCAGTATATCAAATTATTTGTTGAAGTTTTACGTTCGATCATTTACCTACCCTTTCCATACCCCTATTGTTGACGGTGCACAACACACTAATCCTACTACCATTACTGCCTAATACTGCCCAATGGTTTCTTTTTATACACAAGCTTGGTTTGTGATTATTTAGTTTTTTTTGTTTAGCATCCTGAATGGATTCAAATTTCAGACATTTCACTCCTGACTCGTATCTGTTGTTTATTGTATTATAATTGTTGCCATGGTAGTCCCAAGACATTAAAGGGACATTATGGAAGTTTGACAGCCAAAACATGAATAGAAATAATAAATGTCTTCTTCATACATTCTCCTGCAATGCCCTGGTCCTGTAGAATGAGTCCTGGCATTTTTACTGTGATTGCCTGTTTTTCTGTAAAATCACAGAAAAAGAGAGCTGCTCGGGACGAGCAGGCTTCTTCATGCGCGTTCACGCTCAGGCATAGCCCGTAGCATTTGCTATCCGTAGCTTTAGCAGCAGAGAGAGAGGTAGTGCCACTTTGTCGCTGTTCCTAACGCCTAGTGACAAAGCTAGCTACATTTCTGAGGACCCTTAGCTACTTTCTGTAGAACTTTCTTCTAGATATTTCCTGCAAATTAGCAACAAAATAGCCATTTTCGCTTCGACCCGTTCTTTGAACGTTGTTTCAGCTGTCATCAAGGATATAAATGTTACAGATACAAAGGGCGTCAGTGGCGCTTTAGCTCACCTAGTAAGATGTTGGATTCCTGTGTAGGAGTCCTGGGTTCGATTCTGGATGTGAACATAGTTAATTTAGAGTTTCTTTTTTACATTAATGGTATCTTTTTTACAGTAAGATGCCCAAATTTTTATTTGAGACTCGCCGAACGGCATTGAATTCACTGATAAAAAAGATGTGGGTTCAACTTTCATTTTGGAACAATTTTTCAAGCAAGGGAAGGGAATGATCTGAGCATGCAGGAGGACTGACCCATCATAAACACACACACACACACACACACACACACACACACACACACACACACACACACACACACACACACACACACGCGCGCACACACACACACACACACACACACACGCACGCGCGCACACACACACTCACACACACACGGGACTGTCTTAGCTGATATTTTCATTAAGGAGTGTGCACGTACAGCATGCGCGCCTCGTGCACAAGCCTACTATTGAAGCTGCCATTACGCTTTTGGCCTGAGGGGGCAATCGCGAGCATAAAAATTCAAAAGTCCGTAAAGTCCCTTTAAATATAAAAAACAGGGGTGTCCAAATTTTTAACGATAAAGTCCTAATTTGTCATGTTAATGGTCCTTTCGGGCCACGTAACCCCCCCCCCCCCCCCCCCAAAAAAAAAAAACAGAAATTCTGTTTTGGTGATCTTTTCTTTTATTTGCACTCAAAGTAAGGTCAAAGTGGGCCAAAGTAGGCCGAAGGAGGGAAGGTGAAGGCATTAAAAGCCTAAAGCTTAAAATCGTAATAATAAGAATAGTTTGTGTTTTGCACTGCTTTTAATTCCTTAACCCAGAAAATAGTTCTTGATGTGTTTATAACCCGTTTTCCTGATTTTTACATTCTAAATTGATGCCAAAGGAACATTGCCATTAATGGGGGGGTGGGGGTGCACACTGTGTTCCGTAGCTCAGCTCAGATGAGGTGACCTTCTCCTCTTCTGGTGACGTTTCAGTGTCCGACAGGCACCAGTTCAAGAATGAGCAGGTGCTGTACCGCTTCCGCTATGACGACGGCACCTACAAGGCCCGCAGCGAGATGGAGGACATCATGTCAAAGGTAAACGACGATCCTGCCTCGGGATTCGTGTCGTGTAAGAAATGCCAAAAAGAGAAATGAGGGTTTTCGAAGCCACTATAAATTACTAAAAGAAATCTCAATCATCATCAAGATATTTTCATATATTTTACCCTTTTCATTTTATCCCACATTCATCGCAACACCTAATCGGCAAATATGTAGAAACTTAGAGTTTTTATCACGACCTTTGTTTGTGTTTTGAAATCAGTTTTATTTACTTTGTGCACAAAAACAACAATTTTAAGGTTTGTGTTCAATGTTAACAGACACAAACACACGAGTTAAATGTTTGGAAGACCCGGTTTTAAACATCTGTAGTAAAATAACTCAAAGCAGAGAGCTGAAGTTTTTTTCCTCAGAAGCGCCGGAATGACCCCCGAGAATTCAGCTGGAGGAGAGAGTCAGACAGCCAGATTTGGAGTCTTATTTCCTGATATTTGGACATCTCTCCTCTGATTGGCTAACAGCAACACGCCTCTACCACTGACTCTCTTTGCTCTGCAACGTTGATGTTTTATCTCCACAAATAACACAAGCCTGAAGGAGTTATGCTGTGTGGTGGAGATGCTAATGCTAATGTTAGCTTCTGGTAGTTGAGACATTCTCTGCTGTTTCCTGGAAGCTAAGCTAACAGAGTCCCTCCCCATCGCAGGTCAAGATGGGTGAAACAGTGACGGTGTGACGTAGATCTGTCAGACTGGATAATTCTTCGAGCTCCCCCTGGGTGTTGAGGGTTTCAGCGGAGAGGTTCTGGGGGAGCACTAGCTCCCCTAGCTCCCCGGAACTTTAAACCCTGTGGCCAACTCTGCATCAGTACGTCCACAAACGCGCCCCTACGCTCTGTGTTTGACATCTGTATGTAAGCAGATGCTTAGAGGCGCTCAATTTAAATAGCATGTTGCTCCACGCGACGAGGGTCAGGCTTAGCAAAAGAAAAATAAGAACTGCCTGTATTGTTTCACAGGTAAGACTATCATACAAATCACTTAAAGAGGGAAAACTCCAGATTTCAGCTTTAAACCCGGGCATTTATGCTTGCCTCCATTTGGAAGCAACAGACTGCAGCTTTGACGTTTCTAACCTAAAATAATCCCCTCAGGGAAACGCTTTTCAAGCTCTAAGTTGGCCTTTGTTCATGATCCGACATGTTTATCCTAGGTGTGTACGATCTGTGAGTCAGCGGCTCCGTTTTCTTTTCTTTCAGGGCATCAGGCTTTACTGCCGCCTTCACAGCCTCCACACTCCTGTCATCAAGTAAGTACCTGCCCTCCCCTCCTCTCTGCTTTCACTTTTATTGTCCCCCCCCCCCCCCCCCCCCCACCCCCCCCGCCACCCCCCCCGCATCTGCCCTCCAGGTGCATGAATGCATATTCATGCCGGGTTCACATCCACCCGGCTGCAATCCTTTCTGTAATGACTGCGTCTCCGCCAGGAGTGACGGCCCTCAAATGTCACTAATTTAACCTCCTGTAGGTTAAATTCAACGTTCGCTGCAGCTAATAGACGCCAAATTTTCATGGATTTTAATGTGAGAAAGCTCTTAAATGACCTGCATTCTTTTTCTAATCTTTCCTGTGCTGTGTGGGTTAATTCAGTTGGGATTAATCACTCGCGTTCATTAATTTAAGCCCTTTTTTTGCTTTAATTTCCCATCTTTGCCTTTCCATCTTATTGAAACAGATGTTCATGATTCAATTAAAGGTCTAAAAGGAGTTAATATATTATTCCTAATGTAAATATTACTTTGCATGAGGATTTGGATAAAATATTAACTTTTCTTCACCTCAAGGGAAACTGAAAATATTCTGTTACATAAAAGAGACTATTCCCACTTCCCAGCGTGATCTTCCACCCAGATCTTCCCGTCTTCTCTCTATCTTTCCCTCTATCGCTCACTTGCTGATTGAAGAGCCAGCGTTGCCATCGGAGCAAACAAAAGAGGTTTTGGTCCAAGGACAAATCCTATTAACACACAAAGGCAGTTCCTCTGCCTGCCTGGCAGCTATTATGTAACATGGCCCTCCTTTTTGAATCTATTACTAAATTGGAATTGCTGTAGCAATTAATTAACCGGTTTAAATCATAGATTGATTTGTGAATAATAACATCTATAAAACTTGCCCCTGCTTCATTTAATTTGTAGACTAATGAAGCCACAGCTGAGTTCATCTGTTTGAGTTCCCTTGTAAAGAAATTGCTCATCGTCGGATGATTTTAGTTCAGCATTGAATTTTGCTGATATTATGTCTGGATCTGCACCTAAAAGATGCAGCTTTCTATTTTTGGTTGACTGTAAAATGTGGCGTTTGATTGACTCCACATGAGGTGTTGTTCACTGAGCAGCCGTGTAACCGTTGCTCTTTTTGAAATATAATAATAATAATAATACATTTTATTTAAAAGCACCTTTCAGAACACCCAAGGTCACTTGACAGAAAATACTTTCAGAAAATACATTAAAACCACAATAAAATGCAAAGACGAAAAAACAAAGAGAGAAACAGTTCAATAAAATCAGAGGTCATAGGCAGATTTAAACATGTGTGTTTTGAGTTTGGTTTTGAAAAGGGTAAAACTGTCGAAGTTCCTGATGTCTGGGGGGAGTGAGTTCCAGAGACGGGGAGCAGAGCGGCTGAAAGCTCTGCTCCCCGTGGTAGTGAGACGGGCAGAAGGAACAGCAAGATGGATGGAAGAAGAAGATCTGAGAGAACGGGATGGGGTGTTGATACTTATAAGGTCTGAGATATATGGAGGAGAGACGTTACGGATGGCTTTGAAGGTATGGAGGAGAATTTTGAAGATGGACCTGAATTTAACTGGGAGCCAGTGAAGCTGTTGGAGAACCGGGGTGATGTGGTGAAAGGAAGGGGTTCTGGTGATAATACGTAATAATATGATTGGTAACTTTGAGTTGCGTATGCATGCTGAACGTAAACTTTTCTTCAACCCTGATCGCGCGCGTTTGCCGCAGAAAAGAAATAAACGGGAAAACGATCGTGTCAGAAAAAGCCCGTTTCTTCTACGTCACAGGGAAGTTAGAAATCATGGCCCCGCCCACCTTGGCTTGTGACCGCGGAAAGCCATGTTGATGTTGCAGCCTGGAGAGAGCAGAGCGTGTCTCGGCTAGTGCAAGGTAACCATTAGCATTAGCAACTCCACAACATAACTGAACACACTCGGAATTATGGTTTTACCCAAGAAAGAAGAGCGAATAAAGGCAGCGGAAGAGTTGTGTTGCTTTTAGCCAATCAGAGGCAACGTGCTTGCCCCGCCCACACCTTGACAAACTTCTACCCCCTGAAACAGGAGCACCAGAACTTTTTTCTATAGAAAACGACTCTAGAGGCAATCATTCAGACTAGACACCACTGCAAATGTATTGGAATGAGACCTTTAAACTTAGCATTTTGCACCCGCAGTACTTCGGCCCTCCACCAGGGGGCAGGATATGAGATGAAGATACAACGGGTTAGTGAGGAACGTACTAGTCCTGTTCTGTTACAGAAGTAGAGGCCTTAGAAGTAAAGAAGACTTGTCAGATACCAAACGGAAGGTTTTAGGGTTAAAGTTCAAGCCTGAACAGATGATATCTGACTGCTGAAGCTCTGATGCTGCAAGACTTTGGTCGTCATGTCGTGAGTTGTCTCTCAACAGGATTCTGCCTTTAGATGATGCTCTTTTCACTCGAGCCTGGATTTAATTAAGAAGCGCTTAACCATATGTTGTGGATTTCTGTTTACGTATTTTGTTTCTGAAGCAACTCATACGTTTATTTTTCACAGGGACAGAGATTACCATTTGAAAACCTTCAGATCTGTTGTCCCCGCTTGCAAACTGGTGGACTGGCTGATCTCACAGGTACGGCACACAAGACACCAATGCTGAGGTTACTTTTTAGTTCTCTGGCTGCAGACTTATAAAATGCATATTTTATGATTTGTTTAGCTGTTTTCAGCATTGTTTTTAGTATGTTTACATAAACAGAGATCGGTCTAATTCACCTGGGTAGTGTTGGGTCAGCCTTCTGGCTGTCATCACCTGGACTGGACGTGTGGTTGTGAACGCGTGCTTTTGGACCACCACCTGTGATGCTGTGATTGAGAAGGTGCAAGCAGGCATTGTGACCAACTGACTGTGTGCGTCACTGATTTGGTTTCCCAGGGAGACTGCTCGACCCGTGAGGATGCGGTGACGCTGGGCGTCGGGCTCTGCAACAGTGGCTTCATGCACCACGGTCAGTCTCCGTCTCCCTCACAGACGCTTATCGAATCAGTCCGACAAAAAGATTCTCCTTTGTGTTTGTCATCTAGCACACTTCCTCTTGTAACGCGTCATTTTTGTTGCTGCTCCTCCATTTGCCTCCTCATTCCAGGGATTTCACGTCTGCGCCACCGTGTTACATCACCTCGTCCTTAAATTGCCCTGAAGTCGGTTCTGCTGTCAACCTGCAAGAATTCAAAGCTGGTCTTGCCTCTGTGTGCCGTCATAGTTCCAAATTTGTAAATTTGCATGCCCAGTCTGAATTTTGTTACCTCACCGACCACATGGCACTGGCACGGATCCGGTTTCAAGCCAGAATGTTGAATGTAAACAGCCTTAGCAGTGCACCCTAACCAGAGTTGCTTGGCTTTGCCTCCCGGCCGTCTGGGTCAGCCCACAGAACCGTGACCACTGGATAAGGTCTGTAATTGAATCGACCGTACCCTCAGTCTCGTGAGTTAAGTGTAAAGTGAGAGCTTTTAAAGGATGCGGTGTTGAAACATTGTTGAAGGGATACAATGACATTGCTTCCTGTGAAATGTAAGCTGAAGATCACTAATTCACTAGTCTGGTAAAAATATCAGGTTAGGATAATTAGTTGTTTATTTTTAATTGGCGCATGTTGGAAGAACCTTCAGTGATGCACGAGTCTGAAAACACTTACAAGTTTAGCTTCCTCTAATGTTTTGGCTTCACACATCCACTCCCTGACAGTTGTTTAGCCCGGTTTCACCTCACCTGACACAGACTTAACCTTCCACCATCTGTTCAGGCGTGTCATCTGCTCTCCTTTTCTTTCCTCTTATTCACAGTAATGACCTCTTTTCCTCAACCCGTCTGCACTCATTACCTCCACCTAAGACACCTTCCTAAGATCTTAGTCGGCTTTTGCTCTTTCTTCAACTTTTCTGTTTATGTTTTTTCCTCAATGTCCTCATCTGTCCTTTTTCCTTCTTAACCATCTGTTTTTTCGGCCTTGGACTGTTATTAAAGCCTGCAGCCTTCAGACAAATCACTCTGCCAGATGCAGCAGAACATTAACTCTTTTATGTGACGAGGCTAAACGGATCCTAATGTAAATAATAACACGTTGAACCACATATTATAGCAGAAATGTGAATAAAGTCACAAAGCTGTTATCATTACCAACGTCTGGCAAAGCCTTTGTGCTTTAACTCGGAGATATAGTTGTATTACTGCTAAAATGCACACAGAGGGGTTCATGTTTTATTAAGAGATACCAAACAAAACCGGACCACGATATTTCCATATGACCGAGCAGATAATGCCACATAGCAAAGTAATTTCACTCACAGATTTAATCTGCATTCAAATCGTGATTTAGCAGTGTGCAAAAATATGCAAATGAGTGTCAGCGGGCTTTAACCGTTTCCACATTAACACGCCCTGCAGTTAATAGTTGGTGTAAAGTATTATAAGGCCACAGCCTTCGAGACTCAGAGGAAATGACACGTATTCAGAAATAGTTAGTGTTGGAGTCCAGCCAGTGAGGGTGGGTGTGGCGCTGTGGCTGCGTAGTGAAGTTGTGAAAGTTCATCTTTGGGTAGCAGATGTTCTCTGAACGGCCTGGTGTCTCTTGGTGTTCAGATTTGCCTGCACAAGCCCTGTTGCACAGTTAGCTTGAACTTAAGCTGCAAACTCCTCATGTGATCCCTAACCCTATCATAAAGGTTTCTTAGGAAGCAACACATGTTAGATAATGGATGCATTTTATGTTTATCCTCTATTTACTCGGTGCTTCGGCTGAGAGAAGCGTCCAGCTGGACTGTTGCTGTTGACAACAATTTACAATCGGCAGTGTCTTCAGAATATCATTCTCCGTTTAGTTTCTGAGAGTCAAACTGGTGCAAGAAGTGTGAAAACTCTTTGTTCCGGGTGGGTGAACAAACTATGAATAAAATGTTGAATTGCAAACAAACACTAAATTAAAATGGTTTTTTTTTAAATCAATGGCAACAAAAAAATGTGGTCATAAGTAAGAAAAGGGTAGAGCACCTTCTCCAGGTCGGGGACGAGGTCCTGCCTCAAGAGGAGGAGTTAAAGTGCCTCGGGTCACCATTGATAGGAAGGTGGAACGTGGGATCGATAGGTGGACTGGTGCTGAGAGTTGAGCCGGAATGCAAAACTTTTGGTTTACTAGTCGATCTTGGTTCCTACCTTCGTCCAGAGTAGTGACTGAAATTATACAAGTGGTTGAAATGCCATATTACCGCCGCACGCTAACCCCTTATGAATGACCAAAGCCTCACTGATGCCGCGTCTTCTTTGCAGCAGTGGCACCATTGTTTTTTGAAACGGGATTTAGAGATAGGGTGAGAAACTCATTTATCCAGGAGGGGCTCAGAGTAGACCCGCTGCTTCTCCACATCAAGAGGAGCCATTTGAGATGGCTCGGACGTCTAGCTAGGATGCCTCCCTGGTGAGGTTTTCCAGGCACGTACAACTGGGAGGACGCCTAAAGGAAGACCCAGGACACTCTGGAGCGACTATGTCTCTAGACTGGCTGGGGAACGCCTTAGGATTCCCCGGAGGAGCTGGCCCAAGTGGCTTGGGAGAGGAAAGTCTGGACCTCTCTGCTTAGGCTGCTGCCCTCGTGACCCGACTCCCGATAAGCAGAGATTATTAAATGAATGGATGGAAGAAAATCGGCGCAGCAGTTGTAATTAAGCCATACATAAACCGACTATGTTCAGAACCTGCAGTAGATGTTTAGCATCATTTCAGTGTGATTCCAGCTGCAAATGCACACGTTTTCCTGTCGTTTTGCGCCTCCTGCTAGACTTGATTTTCTTTTATATGAACACGTTTTGTTTCTACTCGTTCTGTTAAAAACAGGTTGAATGGCTCTTAAAGTGCCGTGTCTGGAGAAGCATCAGTAAAAGACTCTCACCTGTCCGAGGTGCCCCATGTGTTAAAGCTGTGGGATTCCCACACACACTCTGAAAAACACAACCCAGTACATTTAGTTTCCCCAGGAGAGCAGTCCTCTGGCTTTTCCACAGATGTGATGCATCTCCAGATGTTGAGACTCACATCATCAGTTAATGAGTGATCCTCCATTATTTTGTCTGCATGAAGCTTCTTTTAGTTTCTGCCTGTTCCTGTGCCAACGCATCAGTTTTTCCATCATGAGCCTGGTGCAATTTGAGTTCCCAAATAATGAGCCGTCATGTACAATCGAAGCCTTTAAAAGGGTTTCTGGCTTTTCCGTTGCTGGATCCAATCTTTCTGCAGATGGATCTAGACCAAAATGCTACGTACTTTTGTTTACCTCCCCTGCAGCTGCTTCGTCCTCACATGTGCTCTGTGTCTTTCTTCCCTTTAGTCCTGGAAAAAAGCGAGTTTAAAGACGAGTCGCAGTTTTTCCGTTTCTATGCCGACGAGGAAACCGAGGGAACCGGCATCAAGTGCAAGCAACTCCAACGAAATGATTTCAAACTCATCGAAAACATCCTAGCCAAGTCCCTTGTGGTGAGTTGGAACCTTAAATCAACACACACATACAGGAATTCACACGTTGTTTTGAGGAATTGTTGTTAACGCTGTGAAAATCACGATCAAAAGTCAACGAGGATGCCTCAAGAGTAATAAACGTGGCACACAGATGTGCTGATCTTCTTCTTGGAGCATCCTTATCGCTATGGCTACACAAACACACACAAAAAAACGTGTGGAGCTGTTGTGGATCAAGATAAAAACGGACCAGAAGCTTCTCACTCCCTAAAATATGCACATTTGGCAAGACAGATTTCTTTTTCTATGCACATACATTAACATTTTCTGAAGAGTATGTGTGTGTGTGTGTGGGGGGGGGGCACAATGTAGTCATCCTTAAGCCGGGCGTACACTGTGCGACTTTTTCACTTTTTTGAGCCGATTTTCCAGTCGTGCGAGAATCCACAAGATCGGGGCGAGTTTTGCACTGAGCGTCGTGTAGTATACAGGGGGTTACGAGAGGCAATTAACACCACGTGACCAGCTACCGATCAGCAATCGTGAGCTCGCACGGACTTCTGGCGTGTTTGATATTTTGCTTGTTCCTCGTGAGGGTATCGCACTGTTGAAGCGGCGCTGCGAGCATCTGCGACCCAAAAAGTATCAGAACCGCTCACGGCGCAATCATGCATCAACACCGCTCGCCTGCTATTTCCCTAATAACACACATTGTTCGTTTTTATTTCTACACGTTTTTTTACTCACAAAGGTTGTCAACAAAGCGTGTTTGTCGTGTTCATGTCAAATTAAACTGATCACAAAACACAGATTTACTTTCTTTATTTCGTTTTCCTCATCCAACCCCCATAAATCCCTGTGTGTCCTCCTGCAGCACTCCCGAAGGACAACAGGCAAGACAAGACAAAAAAGTCTGACGTGTTGAGTAAAAACTGCTATTTTTAGCATATTTTTAGGTCCGACGTGTTGCTACCAGACGTACAGTGTGAGCTCATGACTCGTGAGATCTGACCTGCGAGGATGTCGTACAGTTTGAGCTGAAGCTGAGTGCTATGAGTGAAAAAGTCGCACAGTGTCCACCCAGCTTTAGGTACCACTTTAAAGAACAAGCCTCCCCCTACTACAGTCTTACTCCAGACCCACTTCCTGTTTGAAAAATGCTGTTGCCTGGCAGACCAAAAGGGCGGCACCATTAACAATTAATCACACAGACTCGCAACAACATTGTGACATCATTATGGTACCAGTTAACATCATAGTCTACCTCTTAACCAATAGCGATGGCAGATTTGTATTCAAATCCAGTGCAGAGTTTTTACCTGTAGAGTGCACCACACTGACAGTTTTAGCCAGAATATTTAAATTTGAACAAAGATGCACTAAAGCGCAAAATTATTGACTACACATGTCAACAGTACGGTTAGACATTCATTTATATAGTTTATCAGCAAAAAAAAGTGGATTTGGGGGTGACTTGCTCTTTAAAAACAATAAACATGTTAGAATGAGCTCTGATCATTCTGCATCTTAATGTGTTTCGAATGTAATCACTTCATAATCTGCGGCATCGGTGAGGATAAAGTCTCGGTTCTTTTGATGCAGAGTCAAGATTAAACAGTCACTGTCATCAGTTTCGGTAAACATTGTGGTACATATTATTTTTCCTTTTTTTAAAGTGCCCCTTGCCTAAAATCTACCGATAAAATACTTTCATTTTATTTATTTATTACTTATTTTCTAACTTTTGTCCCTCATATTAGCTTTTATTATATTTTTTACTCATTTTAATCCAGTGTTTCCTCTGTAGGGGGCCCTCTGCCCCAGGAGCGGTGGTCGACTGTAGCTTCCTGGGCGCTCTATAGGTAGTGTTTAAGTGGAGATGGGGGTTTATGCTCCCCCTCCACTGAGTGAGCGCCCTGACTTAGTGTGGAAGACCCGATGCTGCCGGGGCACATGGCTCCTCTAATGGCGTTTCCTTGCCTTACCTTACTGGGCTCATCTGGACTCAGCCAAATATAATTTTTACTTGTGTGTGTGTGTGTGTGTGTGTGTGTGTGTGTGCATGTGTGTGTGTGCGTGCGTGTGTGTGTGTGTGTGTGTGTGTGTGTGTGTGTGTGTGTGTGTGTGTGCGTGTGTGCGTGTGTGCGTGTGTGTGTGTGTGTGTGTGTGTGTGTGTGTGTGTGTGTGCATGTGTGTGTGTGCGTGCGTGTGTGTGTGTGTGTGTGTGTGTGTGTGTGTGTGTGTGTGTGTGTGTGTGTGTGTGTGTGCGTGTGTGCGTGTGTGTGCTTGCATATGTCTGTTAATGTTTTTAACCTGTTATGGTAATCTGGGGTCATTTTGAAAAGCACTTTGTTTGAAAAGCGCTTCATAAATAAATCTGATTGATTGATTGATTGACAGAAGCGGCTGGGATGAGGATCAGCACCTCCAAATCTGAGACCATGGTTCTCGACCGGAAAAGGGTGGCTTGCCACCTCCGGGTCGGGGGAGAGGTCCTACCTCAAGTGGAGGAGTTTAAGTATCTCGGGGTCTTGTTCACGAGTGAGGGTAGGAGGGATCGGGAGATCGACAGGCGGATTGGTTCGGCGTCTGCAGTGATGCGGACGCTGAGCCGATCTGTCGTGGGGAAGAGGGAGCTGAGCCAGAAAGCCAGGCTCTCGATTTACCGGTCGATCTACGTCCCAATCCTCACCTATGGTCATGAGCTTTGGGTAATGACCGAAAGAACGAGATCGCGGATACAAGCGGCCGAAATGAGTTTCCTCCGTAGGGTGGCCGGGCTCAGCCTTAGAGATAGGGTGAGGAGCTCGGACATTCGGGAGGGACTCGGAGTAGAACCGCTGCTCCTCCGGATCGAAAGGAGCCAGTTGAGGTGGTTTGGGCATCTGGTCAGGATGCCTCCTGGACGCCTCCCCGGGGAGGTGTTTCGGGCATGTCCTGCCGGCAGAAGGCCCCCGGGTCGACCCAGGACACGTTGGAGAGGTTACATCTCCAATCTGGTCCGGGAACGCCTTGGGGTCCTGCCGGAGGAGCTGGTGGACAAGGCCGGGGAGAGAACGGCCTGGAGCTCCCTAGTTGGGATGCTGCCCCCGCGACCCGGACCCGGATAAGCGGAGGAAGACGAGACGAGACGAGACAGAATAATACTCTGACCCAGTAACCTTAAAATAAAATGAATACATTTTGAGGTTTTGTAACTTGGTTAGAACTCATTGAAGCCCCAATGCTTTTTTGCAGACACCTAACATTCACTTATATCACTAACCCAATAATGCGTGGCTGCAGAGGTAACAGCCATGTTACTGGAGAAAAAGTGCTAAAATACGATTAATGAGAATTCAGTGGTGTGTCGTGACTTTTTTCCCCCAAGCGTCACCAAGGCTCTGTTGTGTGCACAATTTCCTTACAAGACAGCATTTCACACACTAAACACTTATTAGTCTTGTGAAATTAGGTCAGTGTGCGATGTTCACCATCAGAAAGGCAGAAAGTGAACATGGGAACAAATAAGCATCGCCAGCATCCTTTTTCATGTCTGAGGAGGAAGTAGGCGTTCAGTCTGGCCTTCCGCGAGAAGTGGGAAAAAGGTTTGTTCCTTGATTAGTGGAGCTAATCCTTCTTGCCCATTATTGAACTAAAGTGCAGGAACTCTTTATTTACCGCAGCCATCTCTTCTGATTCAACAAAAGAGATTGCCATCTTATCAGGGCTGTGCAGCAGGAAGATGGCCCCAGCAGCTTAACTAATGGAAGCTTCTAATGGCTTTGTTGATGACGTTTTACTAAGCCTCATGTCACAGGGGACTATCGGGACCAGAGAACATCGTCAGCCATGAGACACCTGACACACGATGAAAATCATAAACGCTTAAAGGATGGTTTCAAATGAGACCATCCAGACATTTTCAAGAGTGAAACTTCAGTCGTTCTTTCTGGGAAAAGCTAGTTTTAGGTGATGCTAAAGAGCATAGCATAATGTTATAGGCCTTGCAAATCTGCTTTTGGAACGTAGTAAGGCTAGTGGTGTCTTTATAGTTTACCCGTGATGGCGAACCAGTGGAAATCGTTCATGTCTGACAATCAACTATCGGTGTAAACGTGCAATGTTCTCTCTTTATCTCTCTCCCCGCTAGATTCACCCTGAGGAGGAAGACTATGGCTTTGAGATAGAGGAGAAAAACAAGGCCATTGTGGTGAAATCTGTCACCAGGGGCTCACATGCTGAGGTAATGGCCAACACACACACACACACACACACACACACACACACACACACACACACACACACACACACACACACACACACACACACGGAGTGTGTGTTCGTCCCGCCACATGGCGTTAGTTCCGGTAGGTAATGGCTGTCCACTGTTTTGACGGCAGCTGTCAGTCTCCCTGTTTTCCTTTTTGGCAGAAGCTTTGCTGTGATTGGCTGCAGAGTCATCGCCATGCTTGCTCACATTACCGTCAGACAAAATGGGAACATGCACATCTTTGCTCATTTAGAGCAGTCTAAAAATAGATGTTGCCCTTTTTTAAATTCAAATAATTTGTGGTATTTTGTCACATCTGTAGTTTCTGTTGCAAGTGTCCCATTTGTCTTTAGCGTATCAATCAAAGTGACCTTTAGTGATTGCACTGATGAGAGGCACCATTTATTTTCTTGTCTTTTCTGTTTTTTTCATGCTCATCTTTTTGGACCACATCCTCTTTAGTCAGAAGATGTACCTTTGGCCGATCTGACTATCACACTAAACCCTGTTGGTTTATTCAGTCCAGTCAAACTCTTAAAACTCTTTTCACAACACATTTGAAGTTGGGACTGAAATGCCGTCTTTCTGCTTTGGTGATTGTGGTGGAATGGGGAAGCCACCACTTACACCTCTGAGTGCGGTAGTCAAAGAGCTCAAGTTCTCTATAGCGTTGTAAAACACTGATTTTACTGTGATACGATATAAAATCAATATTGGGGATTAGATTTGTTGTTTGCCGATATTTAAAATTCAGTCAAAATACCGTTTTGATTTGATCGATCAACAGGAAATAGAATTACAAGGGATTGAATGCCATCATTTCCTCAGGGGAGAGAGGATTTCCTCACTGCTCACCACAACGCCACTCGCTTCGTCATTTAACACGTTTGGTGATGTTCAGTAGTAAAGCTTGGTTTATGCTTGACGCATTTACTTTCCGCTTGGTGATGCGGCTCGCGGTTGGAACGCGCTTCACAACTCGCAGCGTTTATGGTTCATGCGGCTTGTCTCTGCGGTGAGCCAATATTCTCCCAAACTGTAGGGGGCAGCATGGAGCTCTACGGCATGCATCCAACACTACACCTTAGTAGAAGTACAAATTACTGTTGTTTACAACATGGCATTCCAGCATTTTTTAACAGCGTTCTCGTCTTTTCTGACAGTGCGAGCTATTTCTCTCCAAGAATTATTAACAACATGTTGATCACGGTGATCTCTGAGAGCTGAATCATACAAATGTCTGTATTTACGAACCTCTGCCATACTAGTTCTTGCCAGTCCGCCATGTTTTTCCGCGTCTGACCGTCCGTGTGGGTATAAAATTTCCTAGGTGTGCGGAAAGTTTGTGCCGTGCGGAGGCGCGGTGGAGGGGCGTGGTTGTTAAAATGGTGCAATTTCGCCGCTCGGAGCCGTGCGAACCTCGCAGACGCGTCAAGCATAAACCAAACAGGCAGAAAACAGCTTGTCAGCCAAACTTCAAAACAAAGCAATTTTCTAAATAAAATTGTATTTGATAAAACGTAATCACATTGATTTTTGTGTTTTGGATCAATGACCAAAGTATTAATGCATCAATGATGACCGCATAATCGATGTATGGATGTAGATCGATGTATTGTTACACTCTCTAATGCTTCAGTGATTGATATAATTTAAAACTGTTCCTAGTAACAGAATCGTGAGGAAAATCTTGAATTGTTGGTCTTTAGTCCTGAAGTGTGACAGTATTCAGGTTTAGAACGGAGATAACGAACTTAAAGCAGTGTTTAGGAGGAAAATCATGCCAGGGGATACCTCTTTCCTCCTCCTTTCCTCCACAACTGTCTCAGTTTCCTCATCCTCTTCCCTCATTTTAAATTCTTATAATAAGAGCAAGTGCTTGATTCCCTTCCGTTGTTGGCGCCACATCTGTCGATGCGATTCCGTCGTAATGAGAACTCATACCGGCTGTACTCTATTAGCTACGTCTTACATCATACAGAGGGAAATGATGAATGACTCACACTTGTATAGCGCCTTTCAGAGTCAGAGGACTCCAGAGCACTTCACTCTACTGTGCATCAGTCATCCATTCACACACTGATGGTGATGAGCTACGATGTAGCCACAGCTAGTCTGGGGCACAGTGACAGAGGTGATGTGTACGAGTCCTTTATGCTGGCTGAAAATAAAATGTGATGCCGCCCTAAAGGAGCCATGTGTGTGTTACAGGGATAAATGGTTCTCCCGACAACCTGGCTTGTACTTGAAGCCTTGGATTTGAACAGCCAACAAATGAATTTTGATGACAGAATTATCCTTTCTTATTTGAAAACCGTATTTTGAATGATGTCTTACTCATATTCAGTGCATTATTCCAAACATTGTGTTGTGAGCTTCACCTTCTTTGATGCTCTAAAGCTGTGACACAAACACATATTATCTTGGGACTTGGCCAGCTTAAGCGGTTCATGTGTGAACGATCAGAGGCGGCTTATAAAAGGAGGTCTTTGCAGCCTCGTAGTGTGAAATGGGCTTAAATTCACTGCTGTTTAACTTTTTCTTCCACTTCTCTGATGTACTGCCTCACTTCCCTGAATTCAAGTTTTTCTCACATTATTGCGATTCAGGTTCCCCTTCCCCGCTTCCACGAAATTTAGCCCTCCCTCCACGGCTCCTTGGTGCTCCCTTGTCCATCGTTTCTTCCTCCCGCTAGTCTGTTGTACACCTCCTCCAGCCCCTCACAATAACAGGATTGCAGGTTGTGACATGGCTTGTGTGCCAGCACAGTGAATGAAGCTCAGCTGATTCCCATGGGGCTCTGAAAAGGGACACACACTCGCACACTGAGGCTCTTTCACTGTATGATACCATTATAGAAAGTCACGTGTAGAGCAGCACCCATGCTGAGTAGTCACATACATCCTTCCTTTTTCAAATGGCTGTGGCTCCTCCCTGTCGTTCCTACATCCATCCGGGGCCGTCATCCAGAGTCAGGGTGTCTAGCTCAGCCAAGGCCACCCCACCCCACCGGATCTGTGCCCAGGACACTGGACTCACACAGCCAACATACAGAGGCAGCATTATTCCCACAACGTGACTGAAGATGTGAAAGATGACTGCGTTCAGTGACCTGCAACAGGCTATGGTGCTGTGTCATTTTAAATGGGTTATAGAAGGTGATATATGACCATGCCCAGCTGGTGGTGCCTGACGCTTTGGGAGTGTGTCCATGTTCATGGGACATGTTCACATATTTAAAGGACTTGTTCAATGATAAACTGTGTAAAACACGTTCCTTTTAAAGTCAATCGGTCAGTCTGAGTAGCATATGCATACTGGAGGTGAAAGTTTTCTGCAGCCCCCATCACCTGCATAAAGGACATGGACAGGAAAGCGATCAGGGGAGATCAAAATGCGTCTCGGCTAGTAGAAGCTAACCATTAGCCATTCCACAACATGGCAGGACACATTTGGGCTTGTGGTATTTGTGGATGTAACACATCAATGTAGCATTTTTACTAGAAAATATGTTTTACTAGCCTAAAATCTAGACCGTCGTCTGCCAAAGCAAGACTGACAGTCTAGCAGCGCTCCATAATGGTGGACTGTAGCAGTCCAATGACTTCGCTCTTTTGCGTTGGTATGCCAATCGCAGCACTCTTATCAGCCAGGTGGGCAGGATGTTACTGCGACTGAACGAAACTAAGATGGCCACATCTCCGTAGCGGTCCAATCAGAGGGCTCTTGGTTAGGGATGCAACGATACCACATTTTCCAAACCGATACCATACCGATACTTGGATCTGAATACTCACCGATACCAATTACCAATACCAAAACTTCTACCACACAAAAAAATGCAATGATTTGGAATACAGATTTTATTTTCTTCTCTGCTTTCAACGGGAAAAGACTGTGAGGTAGATAAAAAGTAAAATATACGAATAGAAATCATCACAAAACTAAAATATTAGGTGAACAGAAATGACAAGTTACAGTGAAGCCATTTTCAAGCAACTGCATTGGTATCGGTTCCTGGTATCGGTTAACTTTTACCAATACCGATACCAGCATTGTATCGGTATCTGCACTGATACCGATACCAGTATCGGTGCATCCCTACTCTTGGTTCACCAGAGCTCCCAGGCTAGAACAGCTAACCTGACAGCAAGCACGTCTGGAAAAACTCCATGTCTGTATCATGAAGTGAAAAAATGTGGCGAATCAAGGAAAATTGTGCAAATCTGTCAAACGTCAACAATGTAAACAACTTTCTGCACAATCCTATCTAGTACCCATCTTGATGAGCGCTTCATCCATAACAAAAACACCACTCTTATGCTCAAAAATACTTGACTGGTTTTGTCTCCCTTGTGTTTATTTGTGTGTTCCTCCTTGGAAGCACAGTATGCTTTACTTCCTTGTGAGTAATCCACACTAGATGCTGGACACATCTGAGCCAAAGGGAGAACACCACTTGAGGCGTTGCTCGTGAGCCGAGTGTGTTTCAAATTCGAAACACTTATTAAATCTGGAGCAAGCTGTAAACCATAAATGAGAACATTCTGTCTGCTGTCTGTCCGTCTGTCCTTCCAGATGGCCGGCCTGCAGGTGGGCAGGAAGATCTACACCATCAACGAGGATCTGCTGTTCCTCAGGCCGTTCTCAGAAGTGGAAACCATGATTAGCCAGGCCTTCTGCATACGACGCTCTCTGCGGCTGCTGGTTGCCACCAAAGCAAAAGAGTGAGGCATCGTGAACAATCGGTCGATCAAACAAACATGTACAGCAGACACGAAGCAGAGGCTGTTCTGACTCGTCTCTCCCTCTCCAGGATTGTAAAGATCCCTGATAATCCAGATAACCTCTCCTTCAGACTCTCTGGATCAGCACCTCCTCATGTTCACGCTGTCAGAAAAGGTGAGAAAATGGCCCAGCTGCCTTTTAGAGCTGAATAATTCATCAGAAGATTCTGATATGGCAAAAGGCATGATGATGTTTTTAGCTTAACATTTAACTGATTACTATCACTTTTAAAACAAATAAATGAATTAATTAGGTTATTTATCTATTTATCAATTTATGTATTTTATGTATTCTTTCTTTATACGTGCTATTTTTAAACAGAGTGCTATTTTTAAACAGAGTTTTTTTTTACCATAGATTTATGATCAACATTATTTTTATAACTATATAACTTTTTATATTGCAAATCTCATTTTAGCTCTTATGATTTTATATTTTAACCTTAATTTAACTTTTTCCAGTGTTTCCTCTGTGGGTGCCCTCTGCCCCGGGGGCGGTGGTCGGCTGTGGCGGTCTGGGTGCTTTCCAGGTGTGCCTGGGTGGAGGTGGGGGTCTCCGCCCTCCCTGCCCTGGGCGCCCTGTTTTGGTGCCTCAGCTGCTGCTGTGGATCTGCTGCTGTCAGGGCGGATGGCTCCCCTGATGGCGTTTCCTTAACCTTATCTTAGCTGGTCTGGCTCATCTGATCTCAGCCCATCGTGTTATTTTTTTGTGGGTGGGGGGGTGGTGTGTGTGTGTGTGTGTGTGCGCGCGTGCGCCTGCGTGCGTGCGTGCGTGCGCCGGTTAAGGGTTTTTTATTGTCAGACTGTTTTTAAAATGCTGAGGATGGGAGGGAATGCGGGGCCTTTTTAATTTGTTAAGCACTTGGAGTTGCATGTATTGCATGATCAAGTGCTATATAATTAAAGTTTGATTGATTGATCGATGATTGTAGGAAACACGAAAAGCTTTTTTTCCCCATTTTTCTGACTCAAAATAAAATCTGAATTACATTTTGTATGCAAGAATAACCACGTGATTCGTATTGCTTGAGATCTTTTCAGAGTCTGGGGTGTCCACAAAAATAAACGATAATGAACAAGAATCTGTTTCTAGACCTACAGAAAGAGAGAAGGACAAAAACCGACAAAACAAACAAAAAATACAACAATACAACAAGATCCAGTTATCACTGAGTCAGCCTGATGATGAAATATAAAATCAACATTGTTTAACTGAACAATCGCACGATAATAAATAACAGTGCAATAAGTGCCAACCACAGCCTTAAGACCTGTGTTTAACATGCCCAAGTCCATACTTATGAGAGCACCATGTGAGCACCTGTGTGTGTACACGTGCTTGTTTATGTAAGGTTTCTCTATAGGAGCGTCCAACAGAGAGTGTGAGGGGCCACAGATCTGCCCCCTAAAGATGTGCAGGAGACGGAGGGAGCTCCAAGTCCCAGAGATCCAGGAGCTGCCCCAGAGCACAGGAACCCCAGGGAGACTGCAACCAGAAAGGCCCCCGCCCCCCTCGAAAGGCGCAGAGGACCGCCCCTGGGGCCACAACCAGCAGCCGGCAGAGTCCCGGGAGATATCGGCGGCAAGCCCACTGGCCCGCCCGCAGCCTCCCACCCCCTAGCCGGCCGAGCCCGGGACCCAGGGGCGACCACCCCCGCCGGGGACCCAGCAGAGCCCAGGGACCCAGACCCCACCAGGCAGCCACCGGGATTGGTCAGGCAGATGCCAAAAATCTTAAACCCCCTGACCCGGGAGCCACAAACACTCAGGCAGACCAAGGCACCGCACTCCACACCAGGTGTGGCAGGGAGAGGGGAGATGAAGATCTATATTATCAAAAGAAGTCCCAGGATAAGGGAGGAGTCAGAGGCCCCACCTGACATATACAGTCATACACACAGTCACACACTCCCTCCCTCATGCTCACACATACACATACAACCAAAGACTTACAAAAATGCACGCCAGACACCCACTCATGCTCCCCATACACACCCTACTCACTCTGGTCCCGGTACTGCTGCACATAGGGTACAACCATTACCGGTTACCAGAGTTTGACCCTTTCTGCTGGGGTGCTGATGAGCAGGCTCCCCCGCCCAACATTGAGCACAGCAACCCACCACCCCAGACCCCAACCGGACGGTCAGATCTCCCTCCTAACCTCCAGCCCCAGGAAGCCAAGCGACAACAGAGGTGTGCTAAGACCCCTAGTCTCCCTCCGCCTGCTCCAGCATGGTGTTAGTGAGTGTTGATGAGGTGTATTCCATGGCTGTGGTGAGCGGGCAGTGCGGGCATCGTCTGGCCTATGCCAGCTGATGCCACCACCTCACCCCACTTGCACCTACAGCCCTTATTGTCTATGTGCAGTTTAAAATTGGAAGTGGGCACCGGCACTTGGGATGAGGCTGAGCTATCCCCCCTGCCGTTGAATGTGTTCACTCCTAAGGTCCAAGCTACCATTAATGCCACTAATTATGCTAGTCCGAAATATTGCTAATGCTAGCTCTACCTACTGCTACGTCCTTGTTGAACGAGAGGAAAATAACGAATCGTTTTGGAGCACCACTCATGTTTCAGGAAGTACTGGGAAAGTCTAGACTCTGAATGAATGCTAGATAGATCCACAGCTAGCAGTCCAGTCTGATGGTACGGCTTCACACTTCCATTTCTGTGCCACACACATACACACATGCACACACATAACCTGATTCAATTTAGTAGACTAAACGCTTCCTGGCCTGCACTAAATGTGATAAAAAGTCATTCTGAATAAAGTTGAGGGAAAGATGAAGTAATTGTAGCTTCACCACCTGTTATTTTCTGCTTTTAGGTCTTATTATTAGTTTTATGACCACCTGTTGGCCAGACGGTTTGCAGTCTGAGTTTAAACCTCTTGACAGACAAACTTTACTTAGGAAAACACCCTCAAACATCCATCTTCTGTAATATTTGTACCGGCTCCATTTATGCGATCAGAGCTAAAAGTATAAGACGACACTCAAAATTTGTCAGTTGTTTTTATCTCTCTGCTACACTCTCCTCACGACCTCATTACCAGATGTTAGACTGATTCAAAAGAGAGATTTACTGTTTGACGGGGGACACGATGGATGAGTATGTGTGGAGGCCAGATGGAAGCAGGAGGACAAACACGTTGAAAAGAGCTGTTGCTGAATGGTGCATCTGAGGAATGTGATAACTCAGTTTTGTTTTACTTTATTATGACCTCTCCTCTTTCCCCTTCTAACCCTCCCCTCTCTGCTTTCCTTCTCTATTTGTCTCCTTATTGTAGCAGATTACCTCTGGCTCTGTTTTTGTACGAGGTGCATTTTTTCCGTCTAAATTCAAAGTCAGGCTTGGAGTTTTTATGCCAAGCATTGATTTGGTTTGAATTAGGTCATTTTTGGCACCCCGAGTGGAAGTGAGAGGTGTTGACTGGCCTTAAAGCCGTCCGTGCCATGAAACAACACGTTTATGACACAGAACTGAATTAAGTAACTTAATGTTTTCCTCAAATAACTTTGTCGTATTTATTACTTTTGACACGCTGCAGGCTGGGAGGCGGCCGCTGCGGGTCTTCAGCCTGGCCAAGTAGTTCTGAAAGTCAACGGCAATAATGTCAACCACGGTGATTACCAGGAGGTTCTGGAGCACTTCACCGCCCAGAACACGCACCAGGAGCCTCCTCAAGCGGTGAGAGGATTAAGTCTGCCTTTCAGTGTTTTCTGTAAAGTGATTTTCCAACAAGCAGCATCATCACACACAACACGTGGTGCCCAGAGAGGTTTTTATGGTGCTTGAATGTGTGAGCCAACTGGTACAAGAGAAGCTTTAAGTGATTTTCTCTTTTTGTCCAGCTTAGTAAAGCCACAAAACGGTATTATATGGTATTTGTAGTAACTTAAGGGGTAATTCAACCATGTAGGATCAAATTATACTAGGGTTGTCAGATAAATATTGGCTGATATTGGTATTAAAATGTGATATCGGAAATTATCAGTATTGGTTTTTAATTGCATCTAATGGTATCTGTTTATATTGGTATCTGAATTGAATAGTTAGTTGGGATGTAAGAACATATTGATCTGGCAATATATCATGATATTTTTGCCTGCAATATTATATCAATATTCAAAAGCAGTGTGTTGATTTTTTTGGAAGATTTTAAATGCAAACATTTGTGCATTTTCTTTTCATTTGGTGCAATTCAAACACTGACCTTTAGTTGGCAGCAGTATGCAATGGGGTTGTTTCCTCCACTGATATGTAAATCCATCTATTATGGTTCAGATACCTCATGTTAAACGTTTACTTATCAGTTTGGATTGCTCATGAAATTTTCCTGCAACGATTTCCGTCTGGGTGAATGTATCGCAATATATCGTGATATATCGTATCGTCTCCCCTGTATTGTGATACGCATCGTATCGCCAGATTTCCACCAATGCACATCCCTAATACTTCAACTGTTTTAATACTTTAGATATTGGCAATGAAGCCGAAATCAAACATCTTTAAACTTAAACATAAAAATCTGAAGGATTAGAGAGAATTAATGACTTTTAATGTGTTTATAACATTAACTGAAGCAGAACGAGTGGGCAAAGAATCATTTTATTTCTAATGTTTATCACAGTAATAGTGAGTTTGATGGTTTGTTTTAAACATATATAGAGATGCACCAAAATTTGGCCAAAATAAAACTTTGTAATCAGAGCTTTTTTTCTAGTCATGTGTTCACCATCGTTAAATGCTAATTCACTCGAGCAATAGCAGATCATTGTTGTGAAATATGTTACTTTCAGAATTTTCCAAGTTAACTGGACATTCTTAAAATGCTGTTAATTATAAGATGTAGTCATACATTAGATCTGTCTGAGTCGGTATCACCTTTCAAAACTAGAATCAGAGCTTCTCCGCTGCTATTTATTCTAACAATTCTTAGGTTTAAAAATAAACCTCAAGCTGGTGAGCATCATGTTGTCCTGTTTTCATTAACATGTCTTCTATTTTGATGAAGATTTTAAATTCTTCAGCACTGATTCATGAATGGACTCCTTCCTTCTACCCAATACCGCATGGCTGGTGTCAAACTCTAAAGTCGACTTGTTTTGACATTCCTGTAGCAGCACTTCGTGTCTCCAGGCAGTATTTCACAAGCCTGCAGACAGAGCCGGGTGTCTTCCGTACCGTGTAAAACACAGTGTTTTGTTTCGTTTCATTCGGGTTCGCCTACTCTTCCGACTAATCCCTTTTTGCTCCAGCCTGCTGAAGCAGTCTTATTCTAGCCCGATTCCAGTAAGTTCAGCTGGTTTATTTAACAGCAGGATATGTTTCCTGGATGTGGTTTCCTGCAACTTTAAGTAATTTTCATTCAGTTTTTGATTGTTACGTGCAAAATGTCTACACAAGGCTGAGTGATCCTTTAGGCCTTGACTGATTTAATCTGTTATTCCCAACAGTGTCACTGGGTGTATCGTGCATTTGAAGATGTGGAAGAGTTGCACAAAGCAAGGGGTGAAGGAGAGATGGAGGATCAGTCTTTTAGGCCTTACCCAGTGGAGAACGGCTCTGACCACGAGGAGGAGAACACCACCAATGGGACAGGTGAAACCTGATACTGTGTCCTTTTAAAATCATTTAATAGTTTTTCTACTTTTGTAACATAAGCCGTGTTTCCACTATGGGAGCTCAGGGAGATTTCTGGTAGGGGAAAAGTGAGAGGAAATACGATGGCTCAGTCCTCTTAGCTGTTCAGGACTTTGCTAAGATGTCCGCATACTGCAATAGTTTCTGTAGTGAGTGATGTCACCGATCAGTGGCAAAAGTCGACTTTAAAACATTAGACGTCTTATTCTGTCAAGCACGCTGTCATATGTCCTGTTTAGGGGACCGGGAGAGTGGCTGTGTGGGATAAAAAAGTGGTATTTGATGACCAGAAGAAACGTCTCTCTTTTATGGCGCTGTGTAAGAGACGACAAAGCGGCATAAATGACGGCATTGTGGCGGGATCCAACAGTGGTTTTTGGCATTGGGAGGTTAGAAAGGGTCATTTGAAAGCAGCATCCACACTTATGTTTATGCTTCCATTCTACTTTGTTAATAACTCTTTCAATTTTTCAAATGCTGGTTGTTTTGGCGACATCTAGTGATATTGTTTCCTACCGAGTTATTCGACCAATAAGCGTGAGTTAAAGTGATGGTGTGTATTTTCCCTGGCAATAGGAGGCAGTACATACCTAAAACGAAGTAATTGTGGCCAACTAAGCAAGTGGTATGTTTGTGTTTGAGCAAGATCTTATGAACGGATGGCCGTTAGGGTCAAAAATCCCTGGGAGCGCCATTTTCGAATGATCAGACTGCCGTTCATCACTGGCAACAAACAATTAGGTAAATGTGTAAAATGTTTATGAATGGCAAAAGTTTTGTAACCACTTTTTACAAATCATTGAATGTATGTGGTTCTCACGGGCTCCCGTAGAAGGAAAAACTGCGTCTTATATGGCGTCGCCCAGAGACTCCCATGTATTTTAGACCTGATTTTTATGGTTATGTATTATGAAGCCGCCAATACTTTTCAACAACAGGGCATCATTTAATTCACTGTTAACAACATTTCAATGAATGTTTCCAGAGATTAAAGGTAAAATATTAAATACACACGTTGTCACTCTAACCACAAGTCAAACCCGGCGACTCGACCGTGCGAGAACACGCTCCGGTTCAGGTACTTGTTGGTTCATGGAAGTGATCATCGAAATGGAGACACACTCATGCTGTCGTGGTCCGGTGAAATAACTCGAAAGTTCCCATAGTGGAAACGAGAATTGAAGTTGTAGCTCTCTGTTTACGGGTTGTAAAATGTATTATCTGTATTTATTAGTTAAGAAGGCATTTAAACACATTTCAAATGTTTTATATATAATTTTTTAAAACATCACAGAGCAGGTTTGTATTAATTTAAATGTATTACTGAAAGTATAATGTTTAAATGCGTGAAACTGCTCTACAGACCACAGACTTGGCAGACTCTCCCTCTCCAGCGATCTGCCACTGGTCAATCTGACGGTTGATAACGTCCACCAGGAGCACGGCGTGGTTTACGAATATGTCAGCACTGCTGGCATCAAGAGCCACGTCCTGGAGAAGATTGTGGAGCCCAAAGGTTGCTTCAGCCTAACTGCCAAGGTGCTTATGAGGAAATGGAAGTCTCAGATATTTGTTTCTTAACCCTTTAAAACCTGAACTGTATTGGCTATTTATTGGCTAATGTTAAAGAAAGATTATGTAAGAATTTTACAGTAAAATAATTAATAAAGTCATTGTTTTACATCTGTGAGCTCGTTAGGTCGCCGAGTTTGCACCAAGCTAATGGTGCAGCTTCGGCATATGTAATTTGACACCGGCAGGCAAAAAGCTCCAGAGTTGCTTAAAGAACCAAAGTCAGTAAGCAGGAGCGACCTAGAAGTAATTTCTTGCAACTCTAAGAAGCTATAGCATCTTTTTGTTTTACTCTAATATTGGGTAATGATGGCTAGAGGCAACGTTGAGCCAACAATCCTAATGGTGAATTAGAAACAACCCGGCTCCAAAAATATCTCAAGCTACTTTTTCAGGGACCAACAACTGGATATTCTAGTGAAACGCATGTGTGAAGTGAATAATGAGTCAATGTAGTGTTTCACTTCCCTTAAGCCGGGCATACACTGTGCGACTTTTTCACTCGTAGCACTCAGCTTCAGCTCAAACTGTACGACTTCCTCGCAGGGCAGATCTCACGAGTCATGTGCTCACACTGCACGACCCAGTTCTCGGATGCAATCTGACTGCTCACACTGTTCGTCTGGTAGAAGCACGTCGGACCTAAAACTATGCTAAAAATAGCAGTTTTTACTCAACACGTGAGACTTTTTTGTCTTGTTTTGCCTGTTGTCCTTCGGGAGTGCTGCAGGACGACACACAGGGATTTATGGGGGCTGGATGAGGAAAACAAAATAAAGAAAGTAAATCTGTTTTGTGATCATTTTAATTTGACATGAACATGACAAACACGCTTTCTTGACAATCTTTTTGAGTAAAAAAACGTGTAGAAATTAAAACGAACAACGTGTGTTATTAGGGAAATAGCGGGTGAGCGGTGTTGATGCATGATTGCGCATGCGCCGTGAGCGGTTCTGGTACTTTTTGGGTCGCAGCTGCTTGCAGCGCCGCTTCAACAGTGCGATACCCTCACGAGGGACGAGCAAAATATCAAACGCGCCAGAAGTTTGTGTGAGCTCACGATTGCTGATCGGTAGCTGGTCACGGGGTGTTAATCGCCTCCCGTAACCCCCTGTACACTACACGACGCTCGGCGCAAAACTCGCCCCGATCTTGTGGATTCTCGCATGAGTGGAAAATCGGCTCAAAAAAGTGAAAAAGTCGCACATTGTCCGCCCGGCTTTAACGAGCTTCAGTAATCTACTTGGTGACTGCTGTGCATGTATTTTTTGATAGTTTGTTGCTCATTTATTCAGTGCTTTTTATTTTTCTCATTTATATACGTCCATCAGCATATTGATAATAATACTTCACCCAATGGTCAACAAGGATTCTATTATGTCTCTAAGTTATACTTTCTATGTAAATGTGATTTGATTTCACATTCGACCATCTCCAGGAAAACTCAGAGTTGTCTCAAATGTTCTCAAACTTAAAAAGGATCACGAATCTGAAAGCCTCACAGGGTTTTTGTTTCTCCACTGCTGCTTTCAGTTAATTATTTATCTGAACTGAAATGCTAGTTTTTGTGTTGCTGCTGGTAGAACATCCAATTGGACTACAATTGTTCCAAAACTTTCCTCAGTAGGCGCGATCAGTCCTTATCAGTGGTTCCTTTTCTCCAGATCCTGGAGGCGTTCTCTGGTGATGACAACCTCTTTGTGCAGAACTGCAGCCAGCTCATCTCCCAGAGCGATCGAGTTGTTACCATGCCGCAGTACGAGTTCAGACAAATCTGTGACACCAAGCTGGAGAGTATCAAACTTCGTATCAGCAGCTATCAGCAGGTAATTAGACACACTCCTGACCAGGCCAGAGGCCACAGCTCCCTTTACTTATCAACATCATTATCAAACACATTTGTTTAACCCATTATGAGGCGATAGTGCAAGTTAGTGCCTGGGGATTAAATAGTTAAACATCCACACAATGGATGGTTTGTTATGCTTCAAACAGAGAATAAGCAAATGGTTTGAACTCTGATATTTTACACTGATCAGTGCCCTATGGGGAAGGCATACTAATATTTTTATCATTTTCTTGTGCCAGTATGTGCTAAAATGACCCTTTGGAGGGTTAATGAAATGTCACTCAGGCCCCTACCGCCCTTCTGTGGTCGAAATATTGCACTTGCAACATGCCGGTCCGATCCCTGTTGGACTTAAGTGGAGCAGATATGCCAGCGTTGCAGCCTGCTTCCGGCACGTTTCCTGAGCACATCTGATTTGTTTGATTTAGTGATTAACTGCACCTGTAGACACCAATGGCTGAGGAGACGTTTCAGCTGTTAGATTAAGGTGTTAAAATAACAAACGCAAAGCAGGGAGATAAGTTTCACTTTTGGTTTTACTAACACACAGTAGGGGCTGCTAAAGGAAGCCAAAGCAACACAGTATCCCTTAAAGAAACGGGTGTTAAGACATTTTTCAGGCTGAAAAGGTGTTTCAAATAAACGTTTTGTAAAGAAAAAATATAGTGGTTTTTCACAACTGGAATATGTTATCCTCATTCAAGAAAAAATTTAAAAATAAACTGTCCAACAATGTTTTCTATGTTAAAACAAAATTAAAGCATTTTTTTTTATTTTTTTATTTCTCATTTGACCAACATCTCATCTCTTTAGTTTATTTGAAGCTTGAAACAAAAGGTGACTTTCACTCATTCATTCATGAGAAAACTAGAGATTAGGGGCCGAACGATATGCTTTTTTTGGGACCGATACGATATAAAACTTTTAACAAAGGCCGATAGCTGAAATAATGGCCGATAAATCTCCCTCACAAAAAATAAATAAAAATAAATTTTCTTAAGCTTAAACCCTTCATTCTCTGCCTTTTTGATGCAAACTTATTTCTCTATTACACACCAAAGAACTGTCTCAGTAACTCACTAGGGTTTCCAAGTAATGCAAATAAGATTTATTTAGCAGATCTCAAAAACAACAGAACACAAACTCAGTCACAGCATAAATCTAACATTCAAGTTTTTTCTTGTAAACTGTGGTTTCCACAAATACATTTTAACTTAAAAGAATATTCCACCGCTCAGTAAAATTGTGTCTTGTTAAGATTCCCCAGAGTTAGACAAGTCAGAAAAAGCATTTTATAACCAGCCCAATATGATCTGGCAGCAGTTGGTTTTCTTAGTTTAGCATAAAACAACGTAAGTGAATTCACATATATTGTAGTGTTTTTTATGTAGGTGAATGCAAGCCTTCCCTTCCATTGCTTTATGCTAAAACAACTGGTTACAACATGTTTTTTCTGACTTGGCTAACTCTGGGGAATCTAACAACACACACAAGTTTAGGGACAGACGATCCCGATAAGAATATTAAAATAATAAAAATGCAGCAATAAATAAAACGTAATACTTGTGCTTTGTAATAAAGTAACACTCCGTGGGAGTTAACTTGGTGAACTTATTCACCCTGGACAGGAAATAATTGCACGTAAGAAACATAAATAAGAATAAATTAAAAAAAGTTCCAAAACAATAATTTGTGTTCAAAGGAGTGGAGCCACACAACATGAGTTCATAAAGCTGGCGCCATCTGCTGGATAGGTAGCGCAATATCAACCATATCGGCCGTCTTTTTGGCCAATAGCCTTCGTCTTCGTCTTCCTCCGCTTATCCGGGTCCGGGTCGCGGGGGCAGCATCCCAATTAGGGAGCTCCAGGCCGTCCTCTCCCCGGCCTTGTCCACCAGCTCCTCCGGCAGGACCCCAAGGCGTTCCCGGACCAGATTGGAGATGTAACCTCTCCAACGTGTCCTGGGTCGACCCGGGGGCCTTCTGCCGGCAGGACATGCCCGAAACACCTCCCCGGGGAGGCGTCCAGGAGGCATCCTGACCAGATGCCCAAACCACCTCAACTGGCTCCTTTCGATCCGGAGGAGCAGCGGTTCTACTCCGAGTCCCTCCCGAATGTCCGAGCTCCTCACCCTATCTCTAAGGCTGAGCCCGGCCACCCTACGGAGGGAACTCATCACTGCAGACGCCGAACCAATCCGCCTGTCGATCTCCCGATCCCTCCTACCCTCACTCGTGAACAAGACCCCGAGATACTTAAACTCCTCCACTTGAGGTAGGACCTCTCCCCCGACCCGGAGGTGGCAAGCCACCCTTTTCCGGTCGAGAACCATGGTCTCAGATTTGGAGGTGCTGATCCTCATCCCAGCCGCTTCACATTCGGCCGCGAACCTACCCAGCAAGAGCTGAAGGTCAGAGCTGGATGAAGCTAGGAGGACCACATCATCCGCAAAAAGCAGAGACGAGATTCTCCTGCCACCAAACTCGACACACTCCACACCACGGCTGCGTCTAGAAATTCTGTCCATAAAAGTGATGAACAGAACCGGTGACAAAGGGCAGCCCTGGCGGAGTCCAACCTTCACTGGGAACAGGTCCGACTTACTACCGGCTATGCGGACCAAACTCACGCTCCTCTGGTAAAGGGACTGAATGGCCCTTAACAGAAAGCCACCCACCCCATACTCCTGGAGCGTCCCCCACAGGGTGACCCCATTATCAGCCGATAATATCGGCCGGCCAGTATATCGATCGGGCCCTACTAGAGATATTATCAGTGTACCGATATTGTGGCATTAGAATGTGATATCCGAAAGTATCGGATTTTGCATTTTGAAAGACGCAACTTTTCCATAACATGCTCATGTTACTCATCTTAACCCTTCAGCTACGTCTCCTCTCACAGAATAAGTCAAAATTAGATAAGGTCTGATTTATAATTTAGAGATTTTTTATTCTGTTTGGCCTAACTGGCCTAACTTAAATTGAAGTAGCTGTCTTATTTTGCACAAATAATGTTTAAAGTATGCAGGATTGAGGAGATGTGAAAGTGGTTACTTAGAATAATTTAGTTCTTCAGTATTTTGTGAGGGAGGACCCTGCATATATCAGTACTGGTTTATATCGTTTAATAAAAATTAAGAGTATATTGGTTAAAAAACATCTGTCGAACATCCCTAGTGATATTAAAATTGTCATAAAATATGAAAAACTACAACTTTTGATCCATTTTATGTTTTTTGTTTGTTTTTCTCAGTTTTCCCAGGAGCTGAGGAACAAGGTGTGGCCCTCCTTTAGGCAGGCAGGTGTTCGCCCTCACCCACTGGGCTGCATGGACTTTGTTCCCACCAACTGCCACATCAACCTGATGCAGGTCTCCTACCCCAAAAGCACCACCTCCGCCGGCAGGACCTTCAGTATCCGCTTTGGTCGCAAAAACTCAATCTTTGGCCTGGACCCTGACCAAGGTAGTATTAACACGTAAACGCGCCCAAATCCAAAATAGACGTCAGTCGTCGTTTCTGTCACATTTTCACAGCTTAAACTAAGCTTCACCCAGTTTGGTTGTAATACAGCTTAACCCGTTTAACACCCAGCTCAGTGATCCTTTTTGCTGTTTCCCATCCGTGTCCATTTAATTCCCGGGTTATCGATAAAAGGATGCCAACCACAGCTTCGCACAGTAGCTGTACCGGTCTCAGCGAGGAAACTTACTGTAGACTACACGAGCGGTTTGCCATTAAGACTCTTTTAGCTTCACACTATGAATGCACACAAAGTGCTGCCTCAAGGCTACGTTGGCATCTCTCTGTGCTGCTGCAGGTAGGTGCCAACACGGGAAGAAAAAGCAGTTAATTTCAACAAGGAGTTCAGAAAGTCAGTTCGTTTGGATGCAAAACGTTTGTCCCATCCTTCACGACAGCCTCATTTTCTCATTTGGTCTTAATTAAGAGCCTTTAACTGCTGAGCCGTGGCTGCTCTCAGTAAAGACCAAAACGCAGCACAGCTGTCTAGACAGCAGATCTCTCGCTTTCGTCCAAGACGCCTCGTCTTCATCTTTCCTTTAAGCTCCAGCCGCCAGCCAAACCATCTGCCCTGCAGCTTTGGTTGTCTCGATATAACAACAGTGTTGCTCTCAGTATGAAGTTTGATTAACTGAGATGGTGTAAGAACCAAACAAAAGAGAGTCTCACTTCGGTTGAGTCTTGCAGATTTTAAAGGGGGATCTATGAGATGTTAGAGTTTAGTTTGGCATTTAAACAGTTTAGCATCCTGTTTTTTGTTCTGCACATCAGTTGTGCTTTTAGAAGTTGTTTTCCATTAAGAGGAAACTGAAACCAGACAACAATGTTTCTCTACAGGGTTTTAACATCTGGGTTAGGTCTGATTGTTTAAGCTGGAAGTTGTTTTCATTGCACGGAGATATGGGTATTCACTGTCCTTGTCCTGTCCCGTCTCACCCTGTAGCACAACTGAACCCCATGTCCCACACTCAGCACTGCGTGGCCAGTATGGGAGCTCCTTCCTGGAGCTGCTCCGGCCTGGAAGCGGATGAGGCAGATGGCAGCAGGGAGGAGACTCTGGATGGCGGCGATGGTGTGATAGACGGTCGACAGGGCGTCCGTGAGGAGGGTGGACTGAGTTTCCTGCTAAAACAGGAAGACACAGAGACGCAGGACGCCTATGTTTACCTGTACAGCCGCTTGGATGTTACCCTGAGAGAAATGAAGCAGTATGTTGCTCAAATCGATGTGTAAGTGTGACAACCCATTTTCTGTCCTGAGTGTCGAACCACATGTTTATGTCGTCATAAATTATGTTTCCTGTCATTTCAACTGAAGATGAGCGAGGCTGATCTGTAAATTGTTTAAAAAATCTCTTAAAGAGAAGCTTCTTTGTACTTGGTCACTCTGAGTTTATCATGCAGATGAAAATAGTCTTCCACCCGTTTCCTGCTTTAGCTGCTGATAGAAAATAGACGGTCAAACGCTCCGATTCAACAAAAAAAAAGCCACTCAGATCTACGTCTCGCTGTAGATTGGCATTCGTGGACTCACCCATCTTGACGGGGTTGGCCGTTTTTGGTTTAGCATCTAGGAGAGAGCAGAGAATGTCTCTGCTAGTAGAAGCTAACCATTAGCATTAGCAACTCCATCACATGGCAGAAATCCTCCAGGCTTGTTTTATTAATGCAGATAAAACATCAGCGTTGCAAATCAAACATAGTCAGTCACATTACTGTTAGCCAATCAGAGGTGATTGGCAGGCTTCTACAGAGCCTGACAAGTTGCTGAACAGGTGAATCAACTGTGTTGAAGCGGGGAACAACTAAGACATGCTGGATAGTGGCTCTCCAGGACCAGAGCTCCCTAACAGGAGCTCTAGGGCGTATTTCCTCACAGACACCCACTCACAAGACCGTAATTTATACCAGACACCTCTAGTATAAATATGTTGAACAAATGAGTGGTCTTGGTCTAAAATGCTCCATATGAAAGTAAGCTAGTACAGGGCATCTGCAGGTCCTTAAAAAGTCTTAAATTTGCTTTTCCAAATTTAAGGCCTTAAAAATCCTTAAAAATGACAAATAATCCTTGAATACAGTTTCCAAAGGTCTTAAATGACCAAAGACCCAAAAAACAAGATTCTTTTATTTCTATAAAATGTTCGTGAATTTCTAGTTAGTGTTCAGCATTTTTTGTGTACGATGTTGGCATAAGCGGAACCGTACACATTCAGTTGGTTGTGAGGGGGGGCTATTTTTAGATGAGCACATTAGCTGGTTAAGCTAGTGGGAGCTTGTGCCATGGGGAAGTGCAAGTTCAATGGTAACTGGATGGCTAATCAGGCAATAGCTGGAAATTATAGCTAAAATTTAATTAGAAATATAGCTTAAATTTGGTCAAAGTGGCCTTCAAAAAGGTCTTAAAAAGTCTTAAATTAGGCTCCCTTAAACCTGCAGATACCCTGTAGTATAAAGTCTTTACGGTGGCTGCATAACACCAGGAGCTGTTATCTCAGACCTCCTCCCTCCAAGGCTGTTGGTCAGCCTCTCTTTGTCTGTCTGCCCTTTGCCTTGTTTAAAGCTGAGGATTTACGAAAGGAACATTCTTCTGGACCAAAATATTTATGGGCCGGGCCCAGTACAGGAACAGGGAGTGAAGCCAGGATAACATCAAGAGAGGGGGACAAACATATTGTGTGTCCTTGCAGAGGAAAGGGGTGCGACAGCGTGAATGAATAGAAGTGTATGTTTGTCATCACGGGGGGTGGGGGGTGGGGGTACTTTATCGTAAACAGAAACTTAATACAGCTTTAATACGAAGAATTTATTCGTATTAAACTAATAATGTTTTTTGTTTAACCTGCCAAACTTTTTTATTTTTGCCCAGGCTCCTGTTGTCTATCACTGAACCCACACGGCTCGAAGTGGAAAGCAGGGAGCCCCCGGCCTACGAGCCAGGTCAGCCCCCGTCTTTGGCCCCCTGCGAGGATGGCGGTGATCAGGACAAAACGGAGCAAGGCGGCATTAAAAAAGTTTGCTTTAAGGTGAACGAAGAAGACCAGGAGGACTCTGGGCATGACACGATGAGCTACAGGGATTCCTACAGGTAAAACACCTTCATTAAATAAGGGGGTGGGGGTGTGATGCACAGAAGTAGGCAAAGCTAATGTTTATTTCACACCTGTGGACTCTATAAAAATAAAAACAACATTCAACTCTCTTGTTACCCAACTAAGTTGTAATGCTTCCCCCTTGGAGGCCAGAATTGTTTCCAGATGTTGGCTTTTTAGCAGAGAAATTACTTCAAAATGTTCAGGTCGGCTCTGGTTATGTCATTTGCACGTTGTGAGTTAATCTGGACTTTTTCTGTGCGTGTGCATTTCACTGGGCCGATCTCCACCGAGCCCCACCTTCCACCACCCACTAAGACGCAGTTATCGGTTGTTGCTGTGGTGGCCGTGTGCGTAATTGAGCCAAATATTCAGGGCGCGGCCTCCGAACCCGCTCTGTCATTAAGGCCACGCCACGTAAAATGTGACGACCTCATTGCAATAAAATGCAAAGGAAAATGGAAGCCGGTCACAAACACAAAAGGTGTTTACTAAAGACTTGAAAAGCCAGAAGAGAAGAAATGGCTCTGTCAGGAAAAAAGGGCATCAGTGAATAAAAAAATGTGTTGGTGGTTTTAACATTTTCTTGCTGTGAGAGTTTAAATCAGGTATAAAGAAGCATGGATTCAGTTGGAGAAATGCAGCGTTAATGCTTGCCAGACCTTTCGACTTATCTATCCTAAACCACATTATGGTATCTCCAGTGAACGATTGTCCTTACCTGCTTCAAATACCATCTAGTCATTTCTGCCTCCTTATAACCTATAAATAGTGTTGATTCAAAAGATTTGATTAAAGGTGTAACGAGTAAGAGTTTTACAGTGAAACAAAATCACTAAACATAATGTCTCAGTCGTGTTAGAGGAAAGGGTTTTCAAACAGGTTTCTTTTCAGTCGGCTCGGGGAGTGCTAGTTTTCCTCCTTTTTAAAAACGCTGAAGAAGGACGTAGTCTTTGTTTACAATCTGTCCCTTCTCCAAACTTCCTGGTTTCAGAGCCAATCATGTTTGAGCATGCAAGGTTGTCAAGTCTACACCGTAATTCATTTGTAATTCAACACCGGCCAGAAACATTGAGAGCAGATTGGAAGCTAGTAAAAAAAAAAAAAATAAGCGACCAGAAGCAAAAGCAAAATTTGTTTTACTCTAATATCGAGTTAAGAAGAGGCTGTTGTTGAGCTAACAATGCTAGCAGTGAATTAGAAGCAAATAATCAACTCTAAAAATGTCTCAAGCTAGTTTTTCAATTACCAACAAATCAATAATACAGTGAAATGTATTTATCTACTTACTGTGATTGACCCGTCTTCTCTTGTAATCTAAAATCTTCTGGTGCTGAGCCGTAGCTGGCAACAGCGGCTCACAGCAGACGCGTTTGTTTTGAAACATGGACTGCAGTACCCACTTTTGACCACAGGATGTCATTCTTCCTTCACGCACCTTTAAATGTATTCACTTTGCATAGGATTTATTGAAGACAAATATCCATTAAATTCAACAGGTTTCAGCCAGCCCAACACGTTTTTTTCAGTATAAATTCTGATTATATTTCTGCAGACTGAGTACGCGAGCTTTCCATGGGGCTAATTTGTTCTCAGTGTCCATGCACACGTTTCACTTTCCCATGTTTTACTTATTAATGTTTCAGTTTTCCTCCAGTTTGCCGACTGTCAAAAATGTGTTTGTGTGTGGTTTTGTTGGGCTTACCTTCCTGGCAAAAACGCGTCTGCAAGGACACACATCTCACTGGTGCTCGCACTTTTGGCAAAGCTTAAATTAGGAAATTACTGTATTTCTGCGTGTGTGTGTGTGTGTGTGTGTGTGTGTGTGTGTGTGTGTGTGTGTGTGTGTGTGTGTGTGTGTGTGTGTGTGTGTGAATTCAACCCAAATGCAGATTGGGAAATTATATTTAATTTAACTCTCTCCTTTTAGTTTTATTGCTTCCCACTACCCCACCAGTACACACTAGAAACCACAGAATAACAGGGCAGGTGATCTCCAGCTCGATTTGCCCACTTTTTCTTCCAGGCAAGCCCAATATTAGCAGAGGAAGAGGAGACAAAGCCACTGTTGTCACTGTTTATAGTCACTCGTTGGCCGTTGGTCAGGGTAATGCGGGTTGTGAATCATTCAGAGCTTCTCTGAGGGGATTTCAAGCATGTTCACTTAAATCCATGTATAATTTGAGCCACATAAATCCTACACATGCTCCCAGTAATCACGTTGAATCATGTGAAAATGTGACTGTAAACGCCAAACTAAGTTATTTCACCAACCTGTCACAGGAAGGCAGGAATTTGTGCACCGCAGCATGTAAACCTGTCAAAAAGACCAAGAACGTAATTAAATGTTTGAATCTAATTCAGACTTGTTTTATTTTATGACTGATCTGTGTTAACTGGATTCTCCTCTATGCAATCCCGGAGTTGCTGCTGTGAGACTTATTTAATCATTTTAGGTCTTGCAGGCTGTAAATCGCATAATTACAGGTTGCTGCCTTCCAGATTCTGTTTGTGGTTTAAGAATGAAACGACACCTTTTGTTTTTACACTCGTATAAATTCTGCACGTTTGTGTCTGTGCGTGTTTACAGTGAATGCAACAGCAACAGAGACTCAGTGCTGTCCTACACCAGCGTACGGAGTAACAGCTCTTATCTGGGCAGCGATGAGATGGGATCAGGTAACAGATGGCCTGTTTTTTTTTTCTTAAGTTTGTCCTCTGGCACAAGACTTCTTGTCTTTTTGTTTTGGATTTCAAGTTTCATCAAGTCTTACATGTGATGTTGGGGTGTAGTGCTCTAACACCATCTAATAATGTAATAATGTCAAATAAAGAATATAATTAATCTAATTTAGCTTTAGAAAAAGTTGTTGTATTTTGCTACTTAAAAAAAAGACGAGTACTTCAGACATTTTGGGAGGGTTAATTGTGGTCAAGAGCTTTCTAAACCTCAGATAAACCCACAACCACATTTTATTTTCTGAGCCAAGTATGTGTCCTCTGTTTTTTATAAGCTATACATTCATTCAGTTAGAAATACTTCCCTTTTAAGTGGGATTTAAAATGTGCAAATGGCATGAAATACATCTCAAGTGTTTGGTTCCAATAGGAGATGAGCTGCCTTGCGACATGAGGATTCCCTCTGACAAACAGGACAAGCTTCATGGTTGCCTCGAGCACCTTTTCAACCAGGTGAGTCATAGCGTGTTTCTCAATGTCAAGGAACCTTGCCTTGATGTCTTGGCCCTGCCCCGGTTGCCTAGGAGATACGTCATCAGGAGCCGCCAAGACTTGTTCCAATGTTCATGTGTGTTCTCCGTTTGTTAGCCGTTTAGCTAGCAGAGCAAGGATACACGGGAGGTGTCTTGTAGCCTAGCCTTGGTAAAAAATTACCCCAGAATACACCGCAGTACTTTCAAAAGGACGGCGGATCAGAAGCCGGCAGCTACTTTGGGGACAATTTTTAAGTTTAAAAGTAAGTCAGCTAATTTAAAATGTTTTTTTTTTTGTATCCAAAGAAGTTATCTATGGTTGGTTAGTTGCTTAGTAATTGCCGCTTTGGTGGCTAGCGGGTAGTAACTCGCTTATATATTTAATTTAATGAACATATACACAATTTAAAAAGTAAACTAATACATATAAAATATAACGTTATCTGCCGTGTCACGTGACGTTACGTGACCGCCGTGGAAGCCGCAGTCACGTGATGCAAGTCTGTTTCATTGAACTGTTTTCTTTGACCAAAGATGGACAGTGTCCTCGTAAGCAAGGCGCTTGGCCTTGCAAGACATCGCCTCGCAAGGCCAGGCGCCTTGACATTGAGAAACACCCATAGTGTTTCTTTTTAACTTTATTCAGTAGAGCTGAATAAAATAAATGCTTCATGTTGGTGACGCATTGACTTTTTGAGTGTTAAGCAATTCTCCAAGCATCAAAACAATCCATCTGTTTTCTTAGTGTTTGGTTTTAGAAACTATATGACCAAAACATGCCGTTTCAAAAAGTCTGTTTGTGATGTCGAAAAGGGAACTTTTTGAAACGACTGTTTTTGGTGATGTAATTGGGATTTACTAAATGCAAAATTCATGAAATCTCATCTGCTGGTTGTCGGAGCGTCTCAGCCTGTAGCAGCCTGGGTGGGTGGTGGGTGGGTGTGGCCAGCTACAGCTCGTTTTCTTAAAGCGACAGAAACCTGAAACGGCTCATTCTGGAAGGTACGAAAACTGTCAATAATAGAAGAATAGATTTTATGTGAAGAACTTCATTAACGTGTTTTGTATTGACCGTAGAACTATTATAGCTTATGAAAAATGTTATACTACGTCTCCTTTTTTTTAACTTCACAGTGGGCTAAAGGGCAAAACAAATCTACCTTAAATTGATCCACTAACATTAACATAATGCAATTTCTTATATTTCTGAAACAAGTCTTAAAATAAATTCAAACTCATTCTTAAAACAATCTCAAACCTTCTCAATTATGTGTTGATTTAGCCTCCTGGAGAGAGCAGAGCACATCTAGGCTATTAGAAGCTATCCATTTGCATTAGCCACTCCACAACAAGATAAAACATATTTTAGCTTGTGGTTTATTTATTTTTAAATAAAACATCAACGTTTTTTATCCAACAAAGGAGAGCTAATGGAGGCATCAGATGAGTTTTGTTCCTGTTAGCCAATCAGAGGAGAGTCATTTGCATATCATAAATGTTAATGAGTTATACATGAATTTCTGTCTTCCCCCCCCCCCCCCCCCCCCCCCCCCCCCGATAGAGCAGCGCAAGAGCTCTTTGTATGAGCTAACCATTAGCATTAGCAACAACATGGCAGAACTCCATCAGTGGAGATGAAACATCAACATTGCAGAGCAAAGTCAGTGGTAGAGTCATGTTGCTGTTATCCAATCAGAGACCACTGCAAATGTATTGAAATAATAACTTTAGGCCCACTTTAATGCTGCATTTTTAGCCCCTAATGCTAGCCATGTTTTAATGGCTCTGTCAGCAAAGTAGCCTCTGTTTGTGTTGCTTTCTCCTCACTGAACACACTTTTTACAGCATTTTCTGTAGTAGTAGATGGATGCAGTGATGCGTGAAAGGATGTGAATGAGCACAGAAAGGCTGGGTCTACAGACAGTTGTAGTGAATCCTTGTTGTTTCCTTACAGGTCGAATCAATCAACAGCCTCCTGAAAGGGCCTGTTATGACCAAGGCCTGCGAGGAAACCAGACACTTCTACCCCGACCACAGCCAGCCAGGTACACGTTTGTGTCCGTGTGGGTTTAAAGTGCACATGTTGGACATCAGGCACGCAGACAGACTCCCTGTGGGTTTGTGCAAACAGGGTTTCCTCAAGCGGACGACTGGATCGCTCGCTGTCGTTATGCCATCTACAAGAACATCCAGGAGGACCCTTGGAACCTGCCCAACTCAATCAAGACGCTGGTGGAGAGCCTGCAGAGATTTGTGGATGGTGAGCTGAAGAAAAGTGCAAAAGCACAGCCAACCGGTCACATGATCGCCTGCAGTTGTTCATTTTTGCTTTGATTCTACCTCAACAGATGGAAAGAACCGGCTTCTCCTGGCTTTGCTCAAGTGCACAGGTCAGTCCTAAAACACAAAATGCCTCTTATTCGGAGTGAGACAGCTCCAGGTAATCAAACTAGATTATATTTAGTTTTCATTTTCCATGAAATTAGCAGAAGAGACAGGTCGTGCTCCCGTCAGGAAACAGGAACAGTCATAACTGGAGAATCTTAAGAGATTGCTGTTGGTAAATGAGCTCATCCATCAAGTCCTAGCCAGTTTTATAGAACACCTGCTGATCCCTTTAACACTTATGAAGTTCCCACCTGCTTTGTTTGAAAGCCACACTGGAGAGTTTTTAACACTTTCAGGCAGGGGTGCCCAATTCTGGTCCAGCACGTTTTAGTGGTTTCTCTGCTCCAATACGCTTGATTCAGGTCACCTGTGCAGCAGCTCATCAGGCTCTGCAGAAGCCTGTTAATCACCTTCTGACTGAAATCAGGTGTGTTGAAAAAGAGTTAAAACTAAAACATGCCGGATACCAGCACTCCAGGACCAGGATTGGGCGTCCCTGCTAAGCTATTGCTTTTAAACTGGTTTCAGTGGTTCTTGAGCCAGAAACTTGAGCAGCTTCACATGGGACAGCACTCTGTAGCCCTCTGCTGACCAGAAACTAAACAACTTTGGTTTGGGTCGGCTCTAGTGGGAGGTTTCTACCTGCTTTACAGCTTTACTGTGCTGGGAGCTCATATAAAGACTAGCAGTTAGCTTTTTTCGCTTACTGGCCATCAGTAAAATAATTTGTCCTTGGCATCGGGGTGAAGTAATGTCTTTGGAGTTTAAAAAAAAGTTTTTATCGCCATAGTTTGTGAAAGCAACAGGTGCGTTAACCTAAAAAGAATTGTAAATTTAATTTGGAATAACATTTAAAAAAACTGAAATGCACTTTTCTGAAATGTTTGTGTTTGTAAAATGTAAGTTTATTGTTTTGGATACGTACTGCGTTTTTAAAAAAATGAATAAAAGAGCAATGCAATACATCACCACAGACTAAACTCTCCAAGGTTCAATTTGGTGTGCCACCCCAAAAATTTGTTTGGCCCCATCTTGCCACTCCTATCAAAATTTTCTGGAGGCGCCCCTGGAGGGCTAAAGCCAGAGTGAACATTGGTGCGGCCTACATCCTCTTTCAGTTTTGAATAGTCTAAAAATGTATCAAAGTCCTATTTTTTCTGTTTTTGAACTGCCAATAATCATATATTCATAAACAGATGCTAAATATAAGACAACGTTGTTATCTGCAAAGCCTGCAACAGTTGTAATTCTGCTTTCAACCAGTAGGGGAAGAAACGGGAAATGTAAGTGTACAAGCTGTAGGTCATTGTGCTACTGGTGGTTTTCTGCGTCACACATTTTCCTTTACTTGCATGTTGCTGCTGCTCTCTCTTCCTCCTCCTTTTTGACGTTATCCTTTCTTTTCCATCCCTCCGTCCTCCCTCTCTCTCTCTCTCTCTCTCTCTCTCTCTCTCTCTCTCTCTCTCTCTCTCTCTCTCTCTCTCTCTCTCTCTCTCTCTCTCTCTCAACAACAGACACTTCTCTGCAGCTGAGACGGGATGTGATCTTCTGCCAGGCAGCGACGGGCGCCTTGTGCACGCTGGCCGAGCAGCTGCTCACCGCCTTACGCTCGCGGTTCAACAACGCCGGCGAGTACCAGGAAGACGGCAAGGAAACCAGCCGCAAGTGGCTGGAGCAAGTTTCTGTCATTGGGGTTTTGCTGCACTTCCAGTCCACACTTGCTCCACATCTGGTCAGTGCAAATGTTTCTCTTTTCCCTGGTTAAACCTAACCTTACAGCTCAGCAGCTGTCCTGTAGGTGTAAACTCTGCTTTTTTCCCTCCCTCCTTTGGCAGAAAGAGGAGCGGACCATGCTGGAGGACACCAAGGCGGCCCTGTTAGACCTGGACAAAGTCACTGTGTTCTTCAAGCCACTGGAGGATGAGTGTCTAGTTGCAAGTAAGAGACTCCGTCCACAAAGACAGACTTTGCTCCTGATGAGAAGCTAGGTGGTCTGACCTGCTTCAAACAAACTTCTGTCAGGAGGATGTATGGAAGTTATTGATGCCCAAAATGCAATTTAGCCTAACCAGATTTCATTTTCTTTTCAGTGAAGAGCGACTAAATAGACTTAAAACAACATTATGGTGGCTCCATCAATTATCTTTAAGCCGAGCAAGAGAAGTGGTTTTTTTTTTTTTTACATCCTCTGTGTCACAGATGGAAACTCTTGGCAGACTGTGACATACAATTTATTCTGAAGCGCTTCTTTGCTGTGACACAAACAGAATATGTGAAGCACCTTTAGATGAAGAAAAAACACCTTTATTAACAGGAAAGTAGACAGAAATAAAATTAGTGGCGGATGGTGAAAATATTCTGGGTGGGGCTATGTTGAAAAAATGCCTTATTTCATTCTAAGTTTTCAAATGAAAAAAGAATGTGGCATTAGTTTGTTTTTAAGCTTGAATTTTCAGTCTGTCTCATGTTCAGAGCATCCACACCCCAACGTGCAGTACTCATTTCCACCAGTAGGTGGTAATAACACAACGTAGAAATTGAATTACCGGTAGATATCCGGTTTTGAACATTATAATCACAGAAAATGAGAACAAATAACACATCTTACCTCAGCAGCTGCAGGTATGAGTTCATATTTACCAATTTAAAGAACAAGTCACCCCAAAATCAAATTTTTTGCTGATGATGTATAAATGTGTGTGTAATTATTCTGTAGACACATGCAGTCAATTATTTGGCCCTTTAGTGCATTTGAATTTAAGTCTGCCATCGCTATTGGCTAAGAGGTACCCTATGATGTTATCTGGTACTATAGGATGTCAAAGCAACGCCTCCTTGTGACGTATTTTTCAAACAGGAAATGGGAGTGGCGTGACTTGCTCTTTAAATCAACTGTGTGTGTGTGCGCATGCGTGTGTGTGTGTGTGTGTGTGTGTGTGTGTGTGTGTGTGTGTGTATGTGTGTGTGTGTGTGAACGAGGGAGAGAGACAGAGAGGGGAAAGGAGATCCAGCAACTTCCAGCATGCTAGTTAACTAGCTACTTCCTGTAGCAAGGGCGCTATCAACTGGTGCCCCATAGACAATAAATTAAATTATGCCGATTGGCCAAAATTCTCCAATTATCCCTAGCAACCAAACACAATTGGCTGTTTAGATGCAGCTCAGGGGCACTTTTTCCAGAACCTCATTCACTTCACTATTTAAAGAGAGACAGCTGGTGAAAATGATATTTAAACAGACACATTTACAGCAGATATATAAATATGGGATTCTCCCTTAACACCATGCCCTCCTGGCCAAGCCACAACAGAATAAAATCCTTACAATCAAACCCAAAGTGAATTTGCTTTTGCAGCATGAAAATGTGCATTACATATTATTTTGCATTACTTGCAAACAGCTCAAGGTCAAAATATCTATTATTAGAGTAATCTATTGTTCTGTCATGCCTCTTTGTGAACTGAGGAGTCGCTCAGGTTGTTGTGAGCATGTTTACTAAACAACACACCTAGGTGACTTGTTTTAATAACGCTGCTTCCTGTGCTTTTCTAATTGCCCGGGTTACCATGAACCTAAAAGCCAACTTACACAAAAGGTGGCTTCATCTTGCATAAGTGCACTTTTCCACTGCCTCAATATGGTCAGTGAAGATTGCAGCTCAAAGGAAAATCACTCCAGGCCCTTTCGTTTTCAAAGAGGAAAACTGTGGGATAGGCAGAATCGTGCTGCTCCAGATTTATGCTTAGCTGCAGAAAGTATGCATGTATACAAACGCAGAAAACCGTGCACACTAGTAGTGACAGGCATGCAGAGATTTATATCAGTGCAGGTTTGTTCTTGTGTTGTTTGAAGTGGAAACTGTTTCCTTAGCGTGATTTTGTTGATGCTGCGAACAGCCAGTGCAGTAGTGGAGGTGGGCGGGCAGTGGCATCAGATATTGATTAGCTAATAGCAGCAGCAGTACAACTCCATGCGAGTAAAACACGCTCCGCCCGAAGCATCAAAGCCAACTCTAAAGGACCAGGACTTGATGGGCTTTCCAGGAAGGCACTGACCCTAAAGGTTACATCGTAAAGGTCGCTTCTTCCAATTTCTCAGCTCTGGTCAACAGTCTCTGCTGCTAAAATGTTACAAGAATAAGTGCATGGTGTCACAAATACGGTATATTTTCACTTTTTATTCTTAATTGTTTTCTTCCATGCAGTATGTACTTATTAGAGCCACTCAGATAAAAAAAACAACAAAGGACATTTGCTTTTTTTTGTAAAATTAATTAATTATTTTCTAATGTAGAGATTTCAGGATAAAGCAGCTTTTTCATGAAAATCAGGAGATAGCTTAACGCTACTGGGCTCCTCAGGCTTTGTTATGTTTTTATTATTACTGTAACCCAGGGACCTGCAATCTGTGGCTCTTTGGATGTTCTACGATGGCTCATAATAATTTAGACTACAAATTAAATAAAAAAGTATACATATAATAAAAAGGCAGGTTTAAGTATTTTCCATTAAAACAATCATCCCTTAGAAATAAAATAAAAATTTCTATTCAGATTTTTTTTTTTTTTCATTTTTGAAACAAAAATGGCATCAAAATACTTTCAAAACATCAAAAAGTTATAAAACTTTTTGTGTTATTTTGGTTCAGTGTAAAATTATTCTGCCTCCTTCACTGCTTGGAACCTGATGCAAGTTATGGTGTGTTTCTAAAAATATTGTTTACCATTTAAACATGTTCTGAGGTCTAAAACCACCATCATTTTCTATTTTGTCACCTGTAGCACAAATAAGTTGCCGTACCCCTTGACGAGATTAATATTGTAAACACCAGCTTGTGGTTTTGATTGAATCCTTAAGTTAAAATAAGACAACTCGAATATATATTTTAATCCTTGAAGTTGTTCATCCAGCCTGAATTGATCTCCCTGTGTTGTTTCTTGTGTCTGTGCTGCAGACACACCTGTGTCGTACCAGGTGGAGGGCAGCCGGCATGCCCTGAAGGTTACCATGTACCTGGACAGCTGTCACTTCAGCGAGCTGCCCAGTCGGCTGCAGAACGGAGGCAGCCTCAAGCTCCAAACCATCCTCTTCACCAGGGGTAGGACTGGGACAGTTTAAATGGAAATGTTTGCGTTAAAGGCAGCAGGATGTTTTTATTATATTGGATTCGTCAGCGCTGAAGCCTTCTACACACACTAGGATACGCCCTAAATGCACCTAAAGTGCTACGGAAATCAGACATCAGAGCAGGCTCCCTCTCAGCCTCTCACAGGTGTACGTCTGCTGATCGCTTTAGGTGCTTTTTATTAGGTTACACCGAAGCCATTTATTGGACTCCTCCACCTTTGCACTCTCTTTTGCTTCTTTCAGTTCTCCACCAGAGACAGCGGGAGAGCATTAAGCATCTTGCCCCTCTGCCAAATAGCCATTCATTTCCCATACATAAGTGCTAACTGGAACTTTAATCCAATAAAATAGCTCCTACTGTTCTGGAAGACTGGCAGGTTTGTGGTCGAACATCGCCACCTACTGGTTAGTAGACGTGGCTGCAGGCTAGGGGGACATTCATATTAGTTCAAGAGCTTGCAGATTGAAGATATTTGGAGCTTAATCTTTCTTTTTATAATGAAAGCACCTGAGCTCAGAATAAAATCTGCTTTAGTGTTTAGATGGTTTGTTTATTTGATTGAAAAGCAGATTTTTGTAAAGTTTTATAAAGTTTGTTGTAAATAAAATGAATTGTAATCCCTTCTTTTTTCATTTCCAGCGTTGGAGCGTGCAGAAGGAGTGTCCCAACCAGAGTACACTGACCTGGAGGATTTCCAGCAGCGCATCAACGCCGTGTCGCTGGAGAAGGTCAAGGCGTACTATCGCAGACTCAGGTACGCCATGCTACACGGCCCCTCAGTGACTCTCAGGAGAAACCCACTGCTCTCTGTTGGTCTGCATGAACCACCAGATCGCCACACGCCATTTACTAAATCCCAAACCTTCTGAAGAAATGCAAAAGACTCCCTGAGATGGATCAATTCTCAATATTTAGGTTGTGTTTTCATTTTTGAGAACAACAAAACTAAGAAGCCATCTTTATTCTGAGTTTTGACATCAGATCTTTACTAAATGCATCATGATTCTGTTTGTAGGACAAATCTATTAGACAGAAAAAATGTCTGAAAAACAAAGTTCATCCTAAACTTTTCATACAAACTTGGAAGCAGCAGCCAGTGCTGATCCAATACCCTACATCAGGTCATCAAAACGTGTGAACACTTCAGTATAAGAAAGATAAGAGCTGCCCGTTTATGCCAGTTTATCCGTGAAGCTGCATCCTAGACCATTTTGGTCTCAAGCTGTTATTTTTTTGTAAAAGTTGATACAGGACCCAGAGAAGGTATTCCACCCTTTTCCATCGAGGACGAGGTCCTGCCTCAGCTGGAGGAGTTTAAGAAGCAGCTGTGGTTTTGGTGGTGCTACAAGCAGTAGTTGTTATTTTTCTAGCAGATGTGCTTGGCGTTGGAGCAGCTGTGGAAGCTGTTTTTACAGGACCAGAGCGTTTGCAAAACGGGAGTTGCCGCGGCTCCCTGGGGAGGATAAAGGTCGTTTATGAGATCAGACCGTGGCAGTAATGTGGCGCAATCGTGGCAATTTTATAAAAGATTTGGTGATGGCGGCATAAAGGGGGTATAGGGACAGTCTCTGCGCTGCCGCAGACTTTCGTTTATCTTGGACATAACTTGCTTTTTATTGCGATTGAAGCCGTGATCGTTAAGTTTATTTAACAAGCAGCTCCTAAAGGTGTCTGTCCCCATCAGTCCCTGTGCAGCCTCTGGTGATCTGAGCTTCAGCTCTAACAGAGAGGCTCGTGGAGCACTGCGGCGCTCCAGTTTGCCATCTCAGCTGATTTTGTTCAAAAAACAAACCTTATTGCCTGTGTTTACTTTCATTTTCAATAAATTTGCCAGCCGGAGCTCAGCAATAACTCCCCACGTCATCATGACATCTGCCTCTGTTGCGCCAGGGCGCATACGACAGACCATTACCGCAATATTACTACCAAGCGAGGCGAACGAATGCCGCAAAATTAATGCAACGCCATGACGGCGTGGCGCGTTTATAGACATACCATTGCGGTAATATTACATGGTGTGTCTTGTAAAAGCACCTTAGTTTCTCAGGGTCTTTTTCACAATTGAAGGAAAGATGGAGTGTGAAGTCAATAGGCGGATTGGTGCTGCGTCTGCAGTGATGCGGGCGTTGCACCGGTCCGTTGTGATGAAGAGGGAGCTGAGTCGGAAGGTGAAACTCTATTTACTGGTTGGTTTATGTTCCAATCTTTCTATCAGTTTTGGTAGCGACCCAAGAACAAGGTTGTAAATGGCCGAATTGAGTTTTCTTTGCAGGGTGTCTGAGCCAGGGGGCACTGGCCCATGCTGAAATCTGATTGGCCCCCTGAACTGTTCAGTCACTCATCTGTACCTTTGCACAAAGATCAAATTATCAGTAGATGCAATTCCGCATCCAAACTTGTCCAGTGAAAACTTGTTGCTACGAAAGCGTGAAAGGAGGCAGCAGGAGGTGCTGGATCATTCCCTGGACTTGGGAATTTTTTTACCTTGCAGGGAATGACAGAACAGTTCTAGTTAAGGTTAAAATAAGAGCTAGAAATTTAACTCAAATGCTGTTTTAGTGGGAGACCAAATATATGTTCATGAATGGTGATTATGTCAATTCCAAGCAAATCTCTTAATGATCCAATTAGGAATTTCTGGTGTGAAATCCTGTTGGGCTCATATTTGGACTCATCTCTATAAATATTGTGGCCCCTTGATGGCCCCACACTCAGAAAACTCTTAGAGCCGCCACTGCTAGCGAGGGTGAGAAGCCTGGCCATCTGGGAGGAGCTCGGAGTGGACTCGCTGCTCCTCCTCATCGACAGCAGTCAGTTGAGGTGGCTCGAGCATCTGGTCAGGATGCCTCCTTGATGCCTCCCTGGTCAGGTTTTCCGGGCACGTCCAAACAGGCCCAGGACACGCTGGAGGGACTGTGTCTCTCAGCTGGACAGGGAACTCTTGGGATTACCCAAGAGGAGCTGGCCCAAGTGGCTGGGGAGAGGGAAGTATGGGCGTCTCTGCTTAGGCTGCTGCCCCCGCAACCCGACCCCGAATAAGCAGAAGAAAAAAGGGAGAGATGGATGAGTTGTTACATAGAGTAGAGATGTTTGGTTATGATATACAAAAGCACAGTTAAAAAATAAACTAATGTCACGCATATCCCATGTGAGCTCAGGAGTGAAAGGGTTAATGAATCATAATTTGTTTTATCCCAGAATAATCACGTCAAATGTGAATTGGTGGTTGAGTGACGTGTGCATTCAGCAGGACAATAATACCAAATACAACAGCAAAATAATATCAGTAAAGGTCCGAAAAAGAGAAAGCAATTGTTTACATGTCAGGAAGATTCTTTGTTTTTCCATAATTCATGATTTTCTTTATTAAATATTCTTTATCTGTACAGTAGAAGATCTGTTGATTTTAAAGAGGTGTGCCTTAGCTAGTGCCCGACTCAACGCTCAAACAAAACGACTCATGGGACTCAAATTTTGTGCAAATTTTAAGCTAAGTAATAAAATAAAATTGAAAGGATTTTGTTCCTGCAGGGCTTTCTACCTGGAGAAGTCGAACCTCCCTACAGACTCGAACTCCACAGCAATGAAGATCGACCAGGTAAATATTCACATTCAGCATCATGTTGTATCACACCAACAAAATCCTGCTCATGTCATAAAAGTCATTTTATTTTATATAATGTTGTGACTGAATGTAAATGCTAAGCACAGATACTGGGCCTTGAAGTTAGAGACCTGCAACCAAGCATTTCAAAAGTAAGCTGAACTGGTTTGCCAGCCCGTCATGTGGAAAGCCCCCACTAGCTTCCCAAGATCTCCTGCTTAACTCCAACTAACCTCAACCTTAGCAACCGCTTCATGTCCACTCGACTCCTTAGTGACCCAGACTGACAGTAGTTGGTGTAAAATGTGTAGAACATGCAGAAAGATCCTAGAAATAAACACCCGAATGTGTGATTTGATTATTGTTTGCATTCTTGTGACAAGTCAGTTACGCTACTTATCAAATAATTTTCTAATTTATTCCCATAGTTGATTCAGCTAATTACTTAAAGCTGGGGTCCGTAGTGTGATGTCATCAAGGAGAGGAAACAAATCTGACTGGCTGTAGACCCATCTGCAGGAAGGAGCTAAAGGCTATGCCTCATAATGTGCACGTGCACAGAAATAGCGTTGTTGCGCTAACAGACAAGTAATGTTTTGGATATGTTCCTGCTCAAGCACACCTGGCTGTAACTGCTGAATCGTCTCCTCAGCCTTCATCTGGTTCTCCAGGAGCTGCTAAACACTCATTTGAATCAAATCTGCAGTGTTCAAGCTGGGAAACGTCTGAAACCAGCACAAATCCGGCACTTGCGGTGCTAGCGCACTCCTGCTAAAGCTGCAACAGGCTAAAGCAGTAGTCTGTTGTAGCACAAGGCTGAATGCTATGCTAATCTCTGCTCCAACACACAAAAGAAACTAATTTTGGTTCCCCTCCCTCCTCTTTCACAGTTAGCTTTAAGTAGACTTTAATTCAGTACAGGTCGGGTTAGCGTTTAAGCTAGTTGAGAACTGGGGTGCATTCTTGTTGATTGACAGCTCCCCCTTGTGGATAGGTAAATCTACTGGTTAACTACTGGTTAACGCTTTAGGCTTGTGTAAATGATTAATTTTGCTGCAGAGGCCAGGTGAGAGACTTAGGGGGAATATAAATTATGAAAGATTACCTACCTTATATCATAGAAACGGGTCAGATTATCAAATGTAAACATTTTGGAAAAAAAAGTAAACTACATACCCCAGCTTTAATCTTAGGCTATTCTGTATTTATTCAAATTGGTTTTAAAATGATCAAAATGACCTTTTTCAGCCATCAGTAGTAGTTTAAATGACTTGTCAAGATGTGATGTTGAGTTATTGGATGATCTCCTAATTAAATTCAGCTTTTCTCCAGTTGCTGCGACCCCTCAACACGCTGGACGACCTCTGTCGGCTCATGCAGTCCTACGTGAATGCGCGTCCGAGTGTCCAGGGCCACCCGTCAGGTATCAGCGTGCTGTGTGTGTCCTCTGAGCTGTGCAACCGCCTGGGAGCCTGCCACATCACCATGTGTGGCACGGGCATGCAGAGGTCAGTCCACACCAGCATTTTTTAAACTGCTTGTGTTGTAATCGCTCCACCGTCACCTTGAAACCAGGAGAGCAGAATTCACATTCGTTATATGCTCTAATTAACCATGAAAACTAAGCTGGACCTCCTCAAGGTGTTCCGCAGATGTGGACAACCTCATCAAGGACCACAAAGTGATCTGTTTGGCCCCTTTGTTTTTTATAAATTTCTGCAGGTGTACCTTAAATGTGACACTGGAGCAGGCGATGGTCTTGGCCCGGAACCACAGCTTATTGCCGCGCTGCTTCATGCAGACCATGGACATTATGAGGAAGCAGGTGAGACTTGGACACAAGGGGTGTCAGATTAAAACGTCTCCATCAATGCGTGTGCGTCTCCCTCGTGGAGCTGACGCAGAAGCATACTTAGGCTTTAGTGTTGTAGTCGGTCTCTTCAGCACATTCTGAAGCATTTACTGAACTTAACTATATTTAAAAATGAACTTTTGTGATTTTGTGGACAGTAACGGGTTAAAATACATTCATACAACATGCCTTTTAGTTTATTTTTTACTCGTCAGTTTACACTTCGTAGCCAATGATTTTGTTTGTAGCTTGTCTGTTTCATTTGTTATTGTGGGGCGTATAAACCTAAACCCTCTGTTCATTCAGGGGGCAAGAGTTGAACTCTCTGCCAAGAATCTCAAGGTGATGGACCAGATGCCTCCATCAGCGCCAAGGTACAAAACCGTTCCCAGTCAGCTCTGCCCCAGTCATCATTTTCTGTTCATAAACGAGGCTGAATTCTTGTTTACTGCTCTTTGCTTCCTACGCTGTAGGAAAGAAAATGTAGAATTTCATTAACCAAGTTACGTCAACTTGTTCCATTTAAACCTACACTGTAAAATCTCGTTAGTTCCGCTTATTTAAAAAAATAAATAAACATGCAAACTGATTGCACTTAAAATTTAAGTACAAGAGACTCGATAATTATGCGTTGGAGCTACATGCACTTAAATACAACTTACTTAAAAGGCGCAATATGTAAGAATTCTACAGTGAAATAATCACAAAGCAGACTAATGTATCGATCCAGCTGGGTAGCTGTTTTTATCAGTTTGTGAGGTTGCCGAATGTACGGTGAGCTAACACAGCAGCAGGTATTTGTGATTCGACACCAGCCAACAAAAAGCTCCAGAGTTGTTTAAAGAACCAAAGCCAGTAAACAGGAGCGACCCAGTGGTTATTTCTTGTACCCCTAAGAAGCCACAACATATTTTTGTTTACTCTAGTGTTGAGTGAGGTAGGCAGAGGCTAAGCACTCAGAGATTTGCTTGCTGAACTACTACCAAACATCATAAAACATAACTTTATTTTTGTCTTTTTTAAACAGGCTCTTCAAGTTGTGCTTGCCACCCTCAGACGGTGACCTCTAATAATCCCTCCCAGGAGAGGAGAAATGAGGAAGTGGAATTATAAACGGGATGACAAGAGATCATAAGACTGTCTTTTCATTTCTAAGCGAAGCTGCCTCTCCACCCACCACCTGCAAGGTCAACGGGGGTCATCTCAGCGTGGAATTTAATGTATAAACTAAATGAAACTGTTCAGACAACAACAAAGAGGAACTTTTAATCACACACAGAAAGGCTGAGTCATGTACTGCGACTTTGGGATGTCTGTTTTCAGACGTGAAACTCATCTGAACAACAAAACAATGGGTGAAATATCTGCGACTTATGGATAAATGAAAAATACATTCAGTGTTTCAGCTCATACGTGAGCTCGTGTTATTAACTGGATTAACCAAACTACCTGTAGCTGACTGTTGTCTTCAATGTTGATGTTACACTCTTTGCCTTGGACTGCAAATCTCCAGAGTTGCTTCTGTAGCTGTGGGCTGGCGTTCCCCAGGGCTGACTGTTCGGACCACAAGTGAAGGAAAAGATTTGAGTATGCTGGGACTCGTGCGCTGGCTGTGTAGTTGCAGAAGGTCAGAAAATAGAACGTCGAAAGCAGGAAGTTGAGTGACAGGTGAAAAGATTGGAATGGGAGGGGGTCCTTTTGCAGCCCATTGCATGTGGTAATTGTGCAATTACTGTAGGTTTAGTATTACTGCACTATATGAAGGATAGTTATTTATTGTGTCCCGAAGGAACAATTTTATTGCTTACTTCTTCAGGTATTAAAGAGTCTAAAAGCATTCCAGCCTACTTATTGAGCAGTATTTAAAGGACCAATGGCATGCCAGTTTTAGATATACCTGCTTGTGTATGTCATTTTTTTATTTAAGTGTATCATCAGGAGTTGTTGCATTACTCATCAGGGCATGTGAGGGATGGAATAACTAAAGCTTGCTAATGAGAATCCAGACAACAGTAGCTAAAAACAAGCATTTATTCCAGAAAGTTCATCAGTTGAGATGTTGAATCGATGCTAAACTCTTCATATATTAATGTAATTATTGAAAGACTGCCTTATGTTGGCTGAAATCTGACTTTTTAATTGGAAACAGTCATGTTTATTAATGAAAGAAGCACAGTGATTGGTCCAATCAGTGTTAACAAAACGTACTGTAAACCGTTTTAGGATGTAAACAAAGGGATTGTTTTAGTGACTCAAACACAGTAACAATAGTTTACTGCAGGTTTTATGCTTTTGTAAATACATGCTGTAACAATTCAGGCAAGATTATATAGAGCTGACATTGCAGCAAAAATGCTATAAGTTATGCTGTTTTTTTTTTTAATATAGTATATGAAACATTTTGTACTTGTGACCATGTAGAAGCTGCCTCTGTTCTGGAGATAAATTCACTCGCAAATTGTTTTTTATTTTTTCTCAGTATCAAGAACTCATCTTTAAATGCTGCGTTCATTATCATTTCTATTTATTTGAAAACAGTCTGGTTTCTCTCTCTCTCTCTCTCTCTCTCTCTCTCTCTCTCTCTCTCTCTCTCTCTCTCACACACACACACACACACACACACACACACACACACGGGTCATTTTTCAGCCGTATCATCCATCATTTGAATAATTTCTTATTAGCGCTTGGCTTAGAATGGGCTCTTTAAATTTACAGTTAGTTACCATAAGGTGTGTGTGTGTGTGTGTGTGTGTGTGTGTGTGTGTGTGTGTGTGTGTGTGTGTGTGTGTGTGTGTGTGTATATCATTTCAGATCAACTAATGACTGCAGCATGTCGGTGTAGCTGGACGAACACGTCACTGAGTAAAGTTTTTCTCTTGTGCATAACTTAATTTGGGATTTTATGTTGCCTGAACATAGCTGTACAAAAAGTTTTGGGTTGAATCTTTCTAAACTTGCCAGTGTAAATGGAAGCTTAACAAGTTAGTGAATAAAACGTTCTTGGCACGGTGGTGTTTTCTTTTCAATGAGTGCTTCTGGTTCTTGGCATGTACACTCTAAGAAATAAAATGTTGAATCAACTTAACTTTGCTTAAAGCTACAATTCAGAATCTTCCCCCATCGATGGCGTTTTAAAAATCTGTAATAATGAACCCTGTCCTGTTGTATAATTAAAGCAATACATCTCTTTCTTTAATAATCCTACCCTCGTTCCCTAGAGCCCCGCAGCATTAGCCACTGGGATATGTCGGCGTGAATCTGCAGACTCTGGGGTCTGCAGCTGTGAACTATTGTGGAGCTCACACAAGTGGAGGCTGGATTTAGCTCACAGAAATAACTTTCATTTCTGAAAAAAATGACATCTCATTGGTTCCAAATGTAATATTTTCCCATCTGTTGTTCCTAACGTTGCTCAGGAAGTTGTAAAACAGCATGATATAGGTCCTTTAAAACACGACTTAGCCCTGGTTAATCACAGCATTTGGAAAGCAGTCTATTTTTCAAAACTGTAACTGAGGCATTCCGCTAATTTGGAGTGCCACCAAAAAAATGGCCTGTACTTGATTTAGCAACTTCTAGGGTTCTACAACCCCCCAAGTTGCTTTACAACATGAACAGTAATCCACCCAAGTGCAAACACCTTCACACGCTGGTGGTGATAAACTACTTTATAGCCACAGCTTCCCCTGGGGTGGACCGACACCACCGGTCACTCCCACAGCAGACTGGTTAAGTGTCTTGCCAGCAAGGGCACTAGCATAGTCAGGGCTAGAACCTGCAACCCTCTGTCACATTTAACTCCTCTGCCATTGCCGCCCCATGGTCACCTCTTGATTTCTTTCTGACCTAGGAACAACCATCAGGTACGGATCAGCTGACCGAAGTGCTCATGGTGGTTCAAACTGGCAGAACAGATCCAACATATAAAATGGAGCCCTTTCACGGTTTCTATGGTGGCCCCATAGGCGTTTGCTCACAAAACATTAATGTGGCCCATGTAGGGCCACCGTGGAAACCACAGAAAACCAGGTGGGACTATTCTATATTTGCCTCAAAAACATGTTTATGATCATTATTACTTTTGGGTAAATTGTAAGTGAAATATTTATGAAGGTGTCCAACAAACAATTTCATCTCAATAATTATACACGGTGGTGGCAGTGAGATGGTCTGGGGCTGCTTTGCTGCTGTATTTTAGGGAACTTTGAATTCTGCCCCCTGCCAGAAAAACCTGAAGGAGAATGTCTGAGTATAAAAAGATCATTCATGCTAGAAAATACTTTGAATGAGTTCAAAAGCAGATTTGGGCCAAAATCCTTTCACGGTGAAGCAGGACTCATTACAAATGATTGACCTGTAGTTGTCACTGATCTGAAACATTTAGGTGTGACCAAAGAGAAGCAAAAGCAGGAGAAATCTGTGAGAAATGAAATTTCCTTCTGCTGACACGGATTCCCCCCCCCCCCCCCCCCCCTTCCCTCAGGGACCCATTTCGTTTTTCTTCTGCAACCCATAAAACATCTTGACATGATTTTGGTGCATTTATCTGACTGCACAGAGTTGCACCTATGAATATTGTATAACCGTGCATCATCCAATAAGAGCTTTGACTGGAGCTTCTCCCTTGTGCAGGAGAGGTTACCTTAGGTTACACTTTCAGAACGGAAACATCATATTTTCATCAGATTGTGGTGGTGATTGCAACATTTTCTTTATACAATTCTGCAGACTATAGAGCAGCAGGTGTGGCCTTTCCAGCACTCCTGGTTGCATATAAGAAATTTTTACTTTTTATATGAAGTTTCAGTGATGAAATCATCGTGGATTGCTTCTAATTTGCTGATGCTTGAGGTAATTAGAGTGGATTGTAATATATTTGCATTCCTCCCTCCCATGCTGTGCCTGTCAGCTAGCCGGAAGGTGCATTTTTTCGCACGGTTGTTGCGATAAGACTTCTGCTGGGACCGACTGCATCCACCAGCATCACACACCCCTCAGCACCGGTGATGCATCCCCGCGGCAAGGGCACGGCCAACTCCTCCTCAGAGGCGAGTCGACTTTAGAATGGTGCAGAAATCTCTCAACGGCGGGGTCTACCCAACTCAAGCCGAAGAGAAGAAACCCAAAGTCGGGTTCGTTGGCTTGGATCCGGGCGCGCCGGAATCCACCAGGGATGGGGCGCTGCTCATTGCGGGCTCGGAGAGCACAAAGCGGGGCAGCATCCTCAGCAGACCGCGGTCCAGCATCTCCTGCGGGAGACCCAGACCGTCGAAGAACAACGCCAGCTATCGGAAACTACAGAGTTTCCTGTACAATGCGCTGGAGAGACCGCGGGGATGGGCGTTCGTCTATCACGCTTACGTGTAAGTGCTTTTCTCTGGCTTGCATCGGTCATTGTGGCCTTTTTTCTTCTCGCACATCGCTGTGTCATGGTTTCAGGAGGTCCTGGTGAGGAGTTGTGTATTTATCTGCGGCGCATCAAAGGGCTAAATCCACCAAACTGCTGTAATCCCACCATAACTCATCACTGCTGACTTCTGCCCATGTTCATGTCATTCAAAGGACTTCATGCGTTCGTGACACGTGTTCCTTGTGTGCACGCCGGGTGGATTCACCGGGTTTCAGCACCGGGAAGTGCGGACAGCTCCTCGGTACTTTCTCTAATTAGTCCAACATTGCAGTCTGGCTTTGCGCTGTGATGACTCCACATTTATGGAACCATGTGCAGCCAGACAGCAGCTTCACTAACCAACAGATCTTCTTTTGAAATGGCAGCTGGAGCAGGGCTCTTCAGGATTTTGCTGCGTTTTGTCTAAAGATGAACGTTTCCCTAAAATAAGAACGAGTACTAAAAACTATGCGACAGTAATGGCTTTTGGAGGCAGATTGCACAATAAAAAATTGGTACTGATCCATTTAGCCATGTGTCTCCATAAAGCTGTCTGATTTTCTAAATGGATTTTGTGTAATCGAAGCCAAGATATTCACTCTTTCCATTTAGATTCTGCAAACGAGGGTTTGAAATGTAGATTTGAGCTCACAATTATGTTTGTTATGCTGAGGCATACATAAATAGGTTGCATACATTTCTAAAACACAATTGCATGAAGTTTGTGCAAAGAGTCATCATTTGCAGTGTTGGCCATTGTTCAAGACCCCTGCAGTTCAGCTTGGCATGCCATCAGTCATCAGTCATTGGTCCAAAGCCTGACTGATGGCTGCATTTTCTTCATAATTGATGCTTGTTGATTGTCAGATTTTATGTGTTTTGTTGATTTTCTTCCTCTTGAGGATTGAAGATCTCACTGGGTAGTTTACAGGTCATCAACCCAAACCTTTGATGTTGAGCCACTTGGTTCTGGCTTCCTTCTTATGACCGTGTTTCATCACGCTAGAAAATTTAATGTTTGCCAGAGAATCGTTGAATCGCTGGGAGGAGTTCCTCAGGGAGTATGTTTTGCACCCTTTTGAATTCATGATCATTCTGAGGTTAAACTGTGAGTTAGTCCAGTCACTTGGCCAAGAAGCAACCCCACATATATAATAAAAACTGACAGGAGATTGAATAGCTTCTCCAGGCCTCATCTGCACAATCCTTTCAATGAATGCCAATGCGTCCCAGTTTTTCATAACTAGAAGTGGCTTCTTTGCTGCTCTTCTTCATACCAGTCCATTGTCCAGAAGGCTTCTCCTTATTTTTGATGCTTGCTGGATCTTTCTTGATGTCTTCAAGACTTTGTCACAGCAAATAAACCTCTTCCCTTGAAGCCCTTGATGTTCCCCTTCTCTTTGCGTTATGTGAAATCCTGCTAGCACCCCGTGGAGCTCCCTTTTCTGCAAAACAACAATGACCGTGTGCTTCATTGCAGGGTAACAGAGAAATAATTAATGATTTTAAGCCCCACCCTGCTTTTAAAGCATCCAGTCTGATGCTCTAATTCAACACGGCATCCTCATCTTTATCAAAGCTCTTACTTGTCTTAGGAAGATTGCCCAAATGGTGTCAGCAGGAGGCAGGGCTGAAATGCCAGAACAATTATTCATAATTCATGCTGCAACACATTGAGTTTGTGCACACTGCTACCAAAACTTTGTGACATTTAATATTTGAGTAATTCTCAAACTGTTTGACTACAGCTGTATTCTTTAATTCTAGCTTATTCCGAAGTGCCCTTCGGTGATGCGTGACTCCTTCCAGTCCGGTGAAAACGCCTGAGCAAGGAGGTGAAATGGCCTCAGCTTAAAGGAGTTCACTGTGAGCAGCATATTGACTCCCCTGGGATGATGCTTAGGCCTGCGCTTTAATGTGAAGACACACACACACACACACACACACACACACACACACACACACACACACACACACACACACACACACACACACACACACACACACACTGGAATATTAACCGAACACTACAGGAGAAAGTGAAAGCTCTTTCACCCTTTGATTCCTCTATCTCGGAGATGAATCAGTGGTGCTCTCAGAAAGAAAGTGTTTAGCGTTTCTAAAAAGAAAAAAAACATGAAACGAGCAGTTTGGTCTCATTCTTCCATCATGGGATTCTGCACAAATGCGATCGAGGCTCTGCAGTTACTCCATTTGTATGTTTTATGCATTAGTAACCACACTTCATTTAATCTTCCAGCCTCTTTGCTTCTAGTCTGAGGATTTATGAAGCAATCATGATAACGTCAGTCGCATCTTTCCCCACTTGCTTGGTTCTGGTTGTATTGTTTTTAAATCTCTGACCCAGATGAGATTTCGACCAACGCAGTGACTCTGCTGATAAAATCAGGTTAATAGAAGGTTCAGCAGCAGCTGTTTTTCTCTCTGTGATGGTTTTGAATTTGGAAATGTTAGCCAGGTGTTTAGTTTCAAAGTGTGACGCGTGTGGACGATCAAAATGTGGAACATGAGTACTTCTCTTTACCTTCTTTCCTCATTTCTTTTTGTCTTCTGTAGCCATCTGAGACTGGGGCTCAGGGTTGCACGTTGTCGTAAAATGTGTCTCAACGTGGTGTCCAGATTTTTGTGTCCTATTTGTTTATGCTGCCATATTCCTGATTTGGGGTCAAGTCACAAGTTTTCCCTGATTTCTGAGCAACAACATCAGAATGAATCAGTTTTCCACCAAAGCCAAACAGAGAAATGCTAAGAAAAAAGCCCCCGAAGACTGGAGGCTCGAGCAGGTGATCCATCAGTGAAACAAAGTTCGTTTAAGTGGATCTGGGAGACGAATTGAGTCCGTGATCCAGTTTTACAGTATTTTGCTGAGCTGGCCTGCTGAAAGGAAAACTTGGAAAGAAACAAGGCAAGGACGATTTAGTGGACAGATGTTGGCTGCCAAGCTGCAGCGACATGACTGAGAGCCACATTTAGGGAGAAGTCCTGAACAGTTTGGGCTGAGACGTGCTCCTGCGCTGCTCTAAACTCTAATAACAAACCATAACCGGATGTAAAATGTCTGCTTGAATCATCCAGCACCAGTGTTGGGCAAGTTACTTCCAAACTTTAATGCATTATTTATTACCTGTTACCCTCTTTTTAAAGTAGTTCATTACATTACAATATTATGTAAGGCACTACACTACTTTTGCATTACTTGAAGTTACTTTCACCAAAACAACTTCAATATGAATCTGGTAAAGTGATGCTCAGTGAGCTCATGACATATATGTGGAAGGTGATGTGGTGTCTGAGCTAGGATTGCTGTTAAAAACAGCAGTGCTTTAAAATGATTGTTTATTAAATAAAAGCAACAACAATCTGTACTCTCAGCACGCTGCCATCTTATATTAACTGAGCAGGGAGTGAGGTGGTGGGGGCTCCAAGCCTATATTTGCCTTGGTCCTCAAATGCCTTGATACGGCCCTGGATGTGGGACTGACTTCTGGGGTGATCTGATTCTATCACATGTATAAATATTAAATGTTTATGTATTATTGCTTTTCACTGGTAAAAATGTGTATTGGGGATAAATCTACCTATTTTTTCTTTTCAAGCACTTTGTTTTGTTTTCTTGATTTTATTGGAATGATTTCCGGCCCTTTCTCTCTCTAACCTTCCTGCATGCTGCATGTTTTCTCCGTCTTCCAGAAAAACTGTTTCCTAGATTTCCAACTTTCTAATCAGTGAAAGGGATCTACCGAACGCAAAAAATAAAAATAAAAAAACAAACAAACAAAAAAAGCTTAATATGCGCTGCGTTCCAGCAGCAATGAGTTGAAATCACCGGGGCACAGATTATGAACTCAGCTGAAAAGTACATGAAGTACCAGAGGATATGGGCTGATATACACGATCACAAACAAATTGCTTTGTTTTGGTGGAGCGATTTTGTGAATATAACAGCGGCCGCGCGCAGGACGCAGCTGGAGTATTTGAGCCATTACTGCTATGTCCTCTCTGCTCATAGAATGCCCGCAAAGCTGAGTCCACAAATGACGTCATATATGTGGATACTGGATCTTTTTTCAGGCTTCCCGCAATTCGAATTTTTAGGAAACCCACATCTTGATTCTGGGTTTAAAAATGCATTGTAATTACCGCCTTACTGACAATTGTACCGAGTAAATATTACCATTTTCTTTCCCTGTAATGCCTTACATTACCACATCACAGCAAAAAGCATTCATTACAGTAATTAATTACTTTTGTACCGCGTTACTCCCAACACTGCCCAGCAGGATACAAAATTTCCCTCAAGAGCACAATTTCCTTAAAGCAATAGGATTATAGCCACCACACCCGTATTCCAGTCAGACGACTTGTTAGGTTGTCTAAAAGTTACACTGAAAACAAAAGTGGGTTTGATTCGTCTTTATTATTTTTGAGTTAATTTTCCTTCTCAGTAGCAAAAACATGAACTTTATTTGACAAAACATCATTTAAAAGTTACATTAAAGGTTAACTTTATTCAAAATTTTCATAGATTTTCAGTGGTTTCTCTGTCAGTGCGCCCCAGGGCAGCTGTGGCTATTTCGTAGCTCATCACCATCAATGTGTGAATGTGTGTGTGTGTGAACGGATGAATGATGTACTGTAGTGTAAAGCGCTTTGGGGTCCTCTGACTCTGAAAGGCGCTATACGAGTGCGAGTCATAGTAGGAATGAATGTCTTGCAAGTCGTAGCCTGGCAAGCCAAACTAAATAAATGCATTATTTAGTCTGGCCACACTCCATTGACGGCTCTCGGTTGTGGGGCGGGTTCTACCGTTGTCTTTCAAATGATCTCCGCATTCCACTGGACAATGAATGTGACATACTCTTGTTTCACTCTGTTGCATCCTCCCACCCACCAGGCATATAGAGTGCCCTGATTGGCCCACAAGGCGGATAAAGCTCTGTGATTTGTTCACTA